ATCAGCTAAACTCTGGAAGTCTCTCCCTCTTCTCCATCGTCTCACCCCACTCTTATCTCGCCCCAGGGCCTAAATGGAGAGCTCTTATAGACGGCTTGCACAGGCACGATGGGCTGAACGGCCTCCCTCAGTGCTGAGAGTCTAAATCGATAACTACTGATTCGCTGAAACAGCTCGGATCATGTAGGATAGACACGTCAAAGTGCTTAACAGAGACGATAGGGAGGAGGGGAAATTTAAGGGAATTTATAGACGGGAGAGGTTTTTAAGAGGGTTTTGAAGGGGGTGGGGGAGAATAGCGAAGTGAAGAGATTGGGGGTGGGGGGAGGGTGTGGGTGGCGGGGGGTGCAGAGCGTGAGGAACGAGCTTGAGGAGGGAACTCTATATTTTTTTATTTGACCCCAGAGCCAACATGGGGTCCCTTTGGTATGACTGTAATCCAATTAGATGTTATTAAAACGTGACTGCCTGCGTTCCCAGGGGTGAGCCTCATTAGTTAATTACGCGGATCTGAATAAAAATTGCAACTTTGGGTGGGAACGGAAGACCCAATTTGCATATTTTAATCTGCCCGCCGAGCGTGTGGCACATTAATGACAGGACCTGTGTGATGGCAGCGTCGCCTGCCAGGCTGCAAGCCACATCCGCTGTCACTCTTCCAATTCCTCTGCTTCAAACAAGTGTATAGACCCATCGCAACAAAACACTTTGGAATTGTACTGCACCCCCTCCCGCACTGACAGTCGAGGTGGGGGTAGGCACGATCTCAAGGGAAGGTCCTCAAGAGGCTTGACCTAAAAATCGGGAGGGAGGATTTTGGGGGGGAGAGTGTTCCAGAGTTCTGGGGCGCAGTGGCTGAAAGCACGGCCACCGATGGTAGGAAGGAAGTGCAACTTATCTCCTGGTGCCTGTTCCGAAATCACCCCAGTTCTAAAAGCCAGCGTTCCTCTTGCTCTGCTGTCTCGGTGCACCCGAAAGAATTGCAATCCTTCCATGCCGTTTGGAACTGCCGCGGTGTCGAACGAGACTGTGTGGAGGACCCAGTTCCTCGAAGCGCTTCACAGGATATACTGCGACGTGAATTTACTTAAGTAAGTTAAGATCACTGCGGTAATACTTTAAGATGCACGGGTAGAATTTCCATCTGGGTCTAGATTTACTCCATTGCATTAGGGTTAGGCCACACTTCCCGCTCCATGTCAGAAGGTTGAGGGTTTGACCCCCACCCTCCCCACCTCCTCCCCCCACTTTGGGGTGGGACTTTGAGCTCAAGGTCTGCGCTGATGCTGGTACTTGGGCAGCAGGGGCAACGATGACATGAAATTACCTAGAACGATAACAATCCTTGCACCGTATTCATCATGAACGAGATGTTTCAAGGGGCTTCGCAGGCTTCATTACTCCCAAGTGTAGTGACTGTGTATTTTTGTAGGCGAACGGGTCAGCCGGTTTGCGCACAGCAACGTCCCGCCAACAGCTCTGACCGCTTTTTATCGGCCAGGTTACCGACGAGAGAGAGAGAGAGAGAGATTTTTTTACAAAAGACTTTTAAAATAGCTCATCCAAACCTAAACCCATCGTAAACGTGAACACAATAAAGATAAGTACAGATGTTGTCTTTAACCCCTCTCTGTTTGCATTCGTGTTGTTAGGTTACGAGGTGGGTTTACGACTGGAGAGTTAATTGTCTTGTCGGCGTAATCAATAGAGCTTGAATATCACAGTATGGCTCCCTCTTTACCTCCGACGATCAAAATTACTACTCAATTAATTTTTTTATGCTAATCTGACATATTAAAAAAAATTAGCCAGTTTCTAAAAATGAGTCAGACTCGATTCACTTCGGCTCGCAGTCTGAGGGAGCATCGTGGAGTCCCGTAGAATAGTGTTCAGAGCACTCGCCTCGCAAGCGAGAGGACCCGGGTTCAATTCCCGGATAGGGTGAAACCTTAGTCAAGTTCCCTTACTCCACACGCCTCTGATTACCGAGCGGTAAGTAGGAACCCGGTTGTTAGTCGATTGGCGGATAATAATCCCCTCAAAAAAAAATGTGGTCACTCACTGAATCCACGACTGTTTCCGGGGCACTGCTGTGTGCAATTCCCTGCCGAGTTTCACCCACAAAATACACAGTTAAATCCACATTGCAATATGTTCCGTGAAGCGCTCTGAGACGTCTCATCGACGTGATAAAGCGGGATATCAAATGCAATGATTATTTCCACTATTATTATTATTATTATTATTATTATTATTATTATTATTATAATGAGCTCCCCTGTCTGAGTCCTGTTCAGTTGGACGTTAAAGACAATTGGCCCTATTGGAAAAGTGAAGGGAGATTCTCTCTCCCAGTTTCTCTGAAAGCGTTTCGCAGAATTCACTGAAAAGTAATTTGTGGTATTGCTTGTGGTGTACTCATCCCCTGGTCACCAACACAGTTGCCAGCCATCAGAATGGGTTTGGATTTATGTCCTCCACGGATTACGGAGCATAACGTTTATATCGGTGTCTGGTTTGGAGCCTTACGTCCGACTCGGTATTTGCCAGAGCTTTTCTGCGAAGAAAGCAGCGTTAAAAGCCCAATTTGAAAGTCCTGTGGCGTATTCGCAAGTCACGTCTGACAGTTTCAAAGACCTTCGCAGTTGCTTTGATGATTTTATCAGCTGCACACGTCTTGACGACTCTCTTACAGAGGCTTGTCAGCCTCAAAGCCCTTTCAAAACGCACATCTTACTTCTCTGGTGGAAAAAGAAGAGCAACTTCTCCTCTGATCACAAAATAACTACTTTTCGCTTTGCGTTGATCTTTCAGGGAATAAATTTCACTCTCAGTTCCTCCCACCACCCCGCCCTATCCCTCCTTACCCCCCTCCACATCTGATTTATTTCTTGAAAGACACGCTGCTTTGAGGTAGAATGTACTCTCAACCGAACTCACCTGGGCGATGATTTGCGTCAGTGTTTTGGATTCAAAATGGAGTTTCTCCTCACTGTGTAAGCCAAGGCAAAAGGACAAGGAATGTCAGCTTGGCTCAGTCACTAGCACGCCCACCTGTGAGTCAGAAGGTTGTGGGTTCAAGCCCCCTCAACTCCCACCCACCCACGTCAAGGCACTTTCCACCTACGTAGTTTCGCCCACAAAACACACAGCCACTACACTTTTCAGTCTATCCTGTGAAGCGCTTTGAGACGTCTCAAAGACGTGATAAGGCGCTACATCAAATGCAGGGATTATTACTATTATATTATGGTCCTGTGCGGAGTCCTGTAGCGAATTGGTTAACGGGAGGGGCCGTTTTGCCTTCAGACTTAAAAAATGGCGGAAAATTCTGTTTGGAGGGCGAAAAAAAACAGCTTCCAAATTAAGGGCGGATTTGAGAAGTTCCGACCATTCTGCCTGACTTCAAATTCTGAGACCAAGTGGCTAAGACTAAGTGGAATCTGGGGCCTCGCGTGGATGGATGGATATCTGATACATGCCCGATCGCCGTCGTGACAGAAGCTTCCGGAGCCTTTGATCAGAGGCATGGAAAACCTGCTCGCAGCATGGCTGAGCAGTGAATGTTCAATTAATTACCGTAATTCTCATCGATAGCTGGTGTCTGATTTAATGAGCTCTCCCTCTCTCCCCCTCTCTCGTTCGCCAGTAATTTCGCAAGACACCATTGCACGCTCCAGCTTTCCTCTGGCTCTTGTGGTTGGCTTTGATAGTACAACTGTTGGGTCAGAGGATTGGGGGGTTTTGAAACCTCACATGGAGGTCCTGGGCTAGACTGACACTCCAGTGCAATACTGGGGGTGGGGGGCGGGGTGTGTGGAGCGGGGGCTGAATTGTCGGACAGTTGGCGTGATGGCGTGTTTAACATCCACCGGAACAGGCGGACGGGAGCTCGGTTCAACGTCTCATTCGAAGGACAGCACCTCCGACACGCGCCCAGCGCTGCATTGGAGCGTCAGCTTAGACCGTGTGATTCCAAGTCCCGACACGGGAGCTTGAACCCCCACAACCTTCTGAGTCAGAGGCCTGAGCCCTACCCCCCCCCCGCTCCAGGCTGTCAGGAATATTTGCGAGGTGTCGCTGCGTGCAAAATGCACAGTCACCACACTCGACGGGAAAACTACGCGAAGCGCTTTGGCGGGCACTTTTGCTTTTTAATCGTCGAGAGCGACAAGTTAACAGTATCGGTACTCAAGGACAAGTCACTCTTCGTCAGACACAGCCCATTGCCAGTTTACAGTGCCACCACAGCGGACGCTCTTCATCTCTGCCTCGCAATCTACGCCTTTTCGGAAGCTCCGCAGTCTCTCCCCTCCGTTTCCCCCACCCCCACCCCTTTGTGTCGCCGATAGCAGATGCAATTTCAAATTAAAACGAGAAGGGAAAACAGGAATCTGTTTTGAATTTCTCTGTTGAATATGGCTCCTATCTTCAGTTCCGCTCCAGTAGGCTTTGTAGCCATTTTAATTATCTGCCCGCAGTTCACAGAGAGACTCTTCTGCAGATGTTTCCATTTCGGGGAAACGAGCAGATAGATCTGTTGATGTTTTTTTGCTTTTTTTTTTTCTTTTGGCCTTTTTTTCTTCCTCCCCGTTATTTTCGTCGACGCTCTTCAAATGGCGGATGAATTGCCTTCTCGTGAGCGGGTCTCCCTGTGGGATGGATGGGGCAGCGCGAGCGGGTGAGGGGTGGATCATCGAGCGAGGGGCTGGGCGGGTGGGGTTGGCGGGTGTGGAGGGGGTGGAGGGAGTTTAAATGCAACGATAGCAAGTTTCGTTGATATCGAGCCTTTTCGTGTTGGGAGGATGTCCCAAGGGCTCCGGACAGTCGAGGGTTTGGACCCGAGCTTCGTCTGCCCTGATTCGCCCACAAAATATACAGTCAATTCACTTGACGGTATATTCTGTGAAGAGCTTTGAGACGACTCGAAGATTTGATAAAGCGCTGTATCAAGTGCAAGGGTTATTAATTCTTCTTCTTATTATTATTATTATCCACAGAGCCCATGCGAGCACCGAAGGAGCTGACGTTTGCGGAGATCAAGCCGCGGCAGATAACACTGCAGTGGGAGCCGCTGGGATATAACATCACCCGTTGCCACTCATACTTGGTCTCTGTCTGTTACCGTTACCTGTTTGGCCCCGGGCACAACGGGACATTCAGAGATTGCCTGCAAGCAGGCGTCGGGAGCTCCGAGCTCACCATCAAGAACCTTCTGCCGTACAAAAACATCTACGTCAAGATCATCCTCTCCAACCCCGAAGGAAAGAAAGAGAATAAGGAAACCATCTTTCAAACCGACGAGGACGGTAAGGGCATTGTTGGCTTTCGAAGCTATTTTGTTTTCTCTCCTGTCTTCCCACCTGCTTTTGCGCTCGCCCCTCCCTCCGCCCCCTCTCCCCCCCCACCCACACAGAGGGCTCTTGAGATAGGTTGGCTTCGCAAAGGGCTTATAAGGGGTCACGTTTATCAGCTAAAAAAAAAATGGCCATGCAGGACGTGATATCGCCGTGTCGTTCCTTAACACGCTGGGGCCCAGTGTTATGGGGGTGATGGAGGGGGGGTGGGGTGGGGATGGGGACAACTTATAAAGGGGGTCTACCTCAATTCAAGTCTCGACCCCTGGAGCTGGAGTTCAACCAGCTAAGAACACGGATAGCTTTTTTTTAAAATAAAATACACCTGTATCTCCGCTCTGTTTTCTCTTCAGTGCCTCTTCCCTTCCCGTTTGTGCCAGACAATGGGGGCTGCAATTTTCTTGTGCGCGCACTGACTCCACAACTGTAATTTAAATGTTTTCTGCTGTCACAACCGGGGAAGAGGGAGCTGGCTTGCGGCTCGCAGCTCTCGCTTCGGTTCAATCACAGCCCTCACGCCCACACTTTAACTCCGCTCGAGCCGATGCCGTCTTCTCCAAAGACATTTCTTTCCGAGCGTAAACAACAAATACGACAACAAGTCACAGTTGTACAGCGCCTTTCCTGTCGAGAGTAAAACAACGAGGGGTGTTGGGGGTTGGGGGCTGGGGGTGGGGTGGTGGCAAACAACAGATAGCCATTTCTGAGGTCAGTTGGGTGTTTGGTGACGCGATAGAGTTATTGAAGAACGTAGACTCACATATATCAATAGCAACAACAACAACTTGCATTTATTCAGAGCCCCTCAGGCAGGGTGAAGGAGCCTGCGTACGTGGCGGGTGGGGGGGTTGGGGGGAGGTGACCGTATGCACAGACGAAGAGGAAGGTCTTCAGGCACGACCGGAGGGTGGGGAAGGAGGGACAGCATTCCTGTGCAGTGTGGGGGGAGCACAATGTTGTCGGAGATGCCGTTCTTCGGATGAGACATTAAAACTTGGGTCCCATCTGCCCGTTCAGGTGGACGTTAAAGATCCAGCAGCACAATACTAAAAAAGAGAAGAGAGTTTCTCTCCTCGTGTCCTAACCCTAAGCCACAAGATAAAATCATTCCCGCACTTCATGACTGTTTGTTGCCTTGTCCAAATTGGCTGCTGCGTTCACCTGGAAAGTGCCCGCAGTCACCACACTTTACATTAAACCCTGTGAAGCGCTTTAAGACATTTTGATGTCTGATAAGATGCTGCACCAAATGCAATTATTACTATTAATAATTAAAAACACATTAATAAGGGTGATAATAGCCTTTGCATTTGATACAGCTCCTTTCATAAGGTTAAGGTTATGGCGAGCATCTCAAAGCAATTCCCACGATTCCCTGTAAAGTGTAGTGACCGTGTGTTTTACAGGCGAACGATATACAATGCATTTGGAAAACAAATTGCAGTAATTACTTTACAGGGTGCGTCGTGATTATACATTCCAGGCTTTTCTTTCACCGCCAATTTTATCTTATTTCAATGTGATCTAAATCCCACTGATCTTCAAACACTCGCTGCAAGCAGTGCGTGGAATGAGCTTATAAATCAAAATTATTCAGGTTTACGTTTATTAAAGAAAATTGCTTGCGCTGTGTAATTTTCAATTGAAAGAAATCACTCTCTAACCTTACGGGGAGCAAAGCCTTGCTTTGTTTTTTTTTAATATATAAATATCTAATTTCTTTAATTTACTCAGTCGATTCGGCAGAGTCTCCGAGGCAAGTGATGCTCAGTTGTAACCATTACCATTATTATTATTATATTATTATTACCAGCGTCCACCCCTCGAGGGCACTGTTCTTCCTGGGTTTCAGCTGTGAAACCCTAACCCGAACCCTTTCTCAATGGAGGATGGACATTGGGAGGTGACCCAGTCGCCCATCACAAGAGGATAGAGGGAGGTTAAGACTTCCTCGGGTTTAAGGTTGAAGCAAAGGATGAGCAAAGAGTGACTGGGGACCCACCCTTCTCACCTAATTCTGGAGAGTATGCGGCACAGGTTGGCACCTGCCAAGGCTTGGTGCGGAGTGTGGGGGTGGGGGACGAGTCCCAGAGATGTGCGTTCGTTAGTTGGGGTTAGGTAAACTGCTGAGGTTCGACCAGCCAAAAAGAAAAATGTATAGGTTGCCCATTCCGAGCACTGTCTTGCAAGCGTCCCGCTGCTCAGATCACACTACTTGTTGGGACTTTGGTTTACAGGGCTAAAGGGAGGCAGTCGAACAGGAACAATGATAATAATAATAAGAAGAAGAAGAAGAAGAAGAATCTTTGCATTTAATACAGTGCCCTATCACGTTGTTGAGACATCTCAAAGCGCTTCACAGAATATACTGTAACGTGGAGTGACTCTGTGTTTTGTGGGCGAAATGCGAGGGAAAAGAATCACAGTCTGTTAGTAGTTCAGCCACCCCCCCAACCCCCACCCCCACCGCCTCACACCACCCTTCCAGGCTCCCAAAAGGTTGTTGGCTTAGGGGCGTTGGGGGGAGATAGAAACCCCCAGCGCATTCTCACCAGCGTCAGCCTCCCAAGTACCAGCGCAGTCCATTCAGTTGGTATGTCACTCGCGACGGCCCCATTTTCCGGACAGAACACCTGGGGTAACGTCGCTGTCTGCGACTTATTATGGTCCAAGGGGTCACAGAGTGTAAATTAATATAGTCGTGAGATCTCCGGCACCGAGCACCGGTTTCAAGCCACCGGCCATTGCAAGTGTTTCCCAAGCGGAAATAAAAGGTTCCTGCGGGGCAGAAGGACAAGCTGGAGCTGTCTGCGGTAAATAAAGAGGCATCATTACATATGAGAGTCAGGCAGAGAGCAACTCAGCGTGAAGAACAAAGCTGCTGTTTCCGATGAATCCAAATCCTCTTCACGTCCTCCATCTCAGGTGTTGATGACTGCTCCCCCACCCAGGCATAGACACCAATCTCAGTCGAGGTCACAGTGTGCAAATAGGACATGTTCTCCTCCAGGCAGAGAAAAGCGTGAGATTTAGAGAGTCCCAAGACCACCTCTTTATCTCTTTAGCCGGACGATGCCTTCATTGACAAGCACTCCTTGGAGCAACCAAAAGGGCCGGGCAGCGAGCAAGCGAGGAAAGAGGACTTCCTGCCTATGGAGGTGGCTCTTATTCCACCCACAGACATCAATGCAGACACTAGAGGTCATGGACGACTGAGGGAAGCTCTGAGACCGAGACCGTTTCCAATAGTAATTTGGTCACTTCAACCCACGACTGTTTGTGGGACGCTGCTGTGCGCCACTGGCTGCCGCGTTTGGCCCACAACATACATGGTCACTCCACTTTACAGTATCTTCTGCTGAGCGCTCTGAGACAAGTTGTTGTTTTTTCTATAGTCTGCGAAGCGCTTCAAGGCGTTTCTTTCTGAGGCGAACCGCGAGTTATCACCGTTGCACGAAAGCTCGCTTCCAAACCTGAAGCTCTTATCGGAAAACAAATCTCCAACCGAAAGTTCCGGGTTTCCGAGAATTGATCCCATTACCCCTGGAGGCAGTGACCTTCAGTAAAATGCCCCGCATCAATTTTTTTCTCTGCCTTTAAACTCCTGTTACAGGACATTAGGTGATAGAGTATCTCATTAAGTGATGAAGTACCTCATGAGCCAGTGTAGAGCCACTGGCAACAACACTGTTCAACTTGACAGAATTCTCTTTTGTTAGCTTCTTTAAACGAGTGAAAACCTCTGAACACTTAAAACGTTAAAAGTTTTATCCTCTCCTCCTAATGTTGGCCAGTCTGCGCTCTGACTTGTGTGGTTTAATGCGGTAATCCCTGCTGGTCTACTGCCTGATGACTTCAGTGTGGCTCTGTGCGCCCCGAGGCCAGAGCCTGGCTGAGATCAGACCTCTCTGTCTCCTGCTGTCACTTGCGCTCGCTGCTCTTTCGGTGAGGAGTCCTCTGCCACCACGTCCAATGGTGGACAGAAACGCTCCCGTTGTGTTAAGCTCCGCGCCCCTCGGTAACCCTGAGCTTTCTGTTTTCGGGGACGTTGCTGTGTGCCAAACCAGTGGCCGCGTTTGCCGACAGAACACCCAGTCACCGCACCTCACGGTAAAATATTGTGAAGCGCTTTGAGACGTGCTAGGGTTTATACTCCACACGAGCCTCTGCCCTGATTATTCCCCTCTCCTACACCCCCCACTCTCTATCAGCCTTCTCCCTCACGAGTACCTCAAGCTTCCTCTTAAATACTTTCAGGCTTTCTGCTTCGACCACGTCTTGATTGATGGGTCGATGGATCGATCGGTTGATTGACCGAGGGCCGGGGAGGGCAGCTTCCAAATAAGACAGAATTGAAGATTGTTTCAACAATTTGTACGTTTTACCTATTCCCCACCCGAAATCGCGACCCTCCCCGCCCCCCCCACCCATCTACCCCCACCCCCCACTCGCTTTCTCCACCACCTCCCACTCACCTCGTCAAGAAACAGCGCAAATTAGACCTTCCTTGCTTTTACGAGAGCTGTTATCAAAACGATTTGAACATCGCTAAAGACTGTGATTATCGTACAATGTTAGGAGTTGAGGCTGGTTTTCGTGGCCGTGTGTGTGATTGTGGATAAGCAGAGACTTGTGGGGTTTACAGTGGTCATTGAATGTCGTGTGAGCGAGTGACTCCCCCCCCGCAATGTGTACATCTCTCACTGTCTTCTGGGGTAATACTGCTGTTGATTTAATTTACTCCTCGTGCCAATGGAGACAGTTCATTATCAAGCTGTTCTCCTTGATATAACTCGCCAAGGTGATGTTTCCCAGCAGGTCCTGTAACAGTACCTCAAGTCCAATTATCCTGCCTTGCCCCGTATCCCTTAATACCCTGACCTAACAAATATCTATCCACTTTATGATAAACATTTACACTGCGCGCGCGGCGCTCTGGACGTGATGTCAGCACCAACCTGGTGACCTGGAAGTCGACCTTTCGCGGAGAAGCCCGAAGACCAACTTCTAGGCCATCGGGTAGCCTCTGATTTCACTTCCTGCGTGTGGGAAACCAGCCAGTGGACGTGGTCAAGCCAACCACAGATCCACGGTGAAGTTAGATCGAGTCACGCAGAGCGAAACAGCACAGAAACCGGTCCTTGCTGGTAGTTTGTACTCTACACGAGCCTCCAACCCTCCTAACCCCCTCACCTTAGACCCTTCTCTCTATTCCCTTCTCCTTTGCATCCGCACCAAGTTCCTTCTTAAATCGAAGTTGAAGTCCGGTCAGGTCCGGATCTCAACTTACTAAGCCTTGAAGCTGCATCAGGTAACAGACAGAAATCCAACAATAAATCCTTTCTGTAGAGAAGCTTAGCATTAACACAAAGAGGAGCTATGACACTACTAACAGAGTGGTGCTGGCCCTCGGGGCTGCACAGGTAGTCCATCTTACCAATAACATCATCTGTCTAACTAACGAGCAAAAATCCATCCCCGTCCCTAGCGAGCTCCTATTAACACAGCTCCAGTTAGTGTTAAAAATGGCCAGGTCCCAAGTTCTCTCAAGCAGTAGAAACCAGCAGTCGATCGGTTATAAAAGCCGCTGTATGAGCCAGAGAGCAGTGTGGGAACGCTCGGAGTGCCAGCACAGCAAGACCGAGAGTCTTGAGACTTGTATCTTGAGATTGAGTGCGTGACAACAGGAGTTTGTTTTAATATTCGTCTCGGGAGCTAATGGGCTTGTCCCTGTTCGCCTTCAGTGCCCGGTGGGATACCAGCCGAGTCCATTAGCGGGACCCCCCTCGAAGACATGATCTTTCTGAAATGGGAAGAGCCGTTGGAGCCCAACGGGGTCATCACTCAGTACGAGGTGAGAGAGACTCTGTGTAAATGCATGTTGTATAGTCCCGAGGATGTCATCTGTTTGCTCGTATTATTGAACGTGTTATTTGCGTCCGAATTAACGCTTTACTCTTCAATGATTGATTTCATCGCTTTTCTGAAAGTTATATAACAATAACCTCACCACCAACAGCACATTCATCACCCTCACGCACACACACACACACACACACACTTACGGACGCACACACACACACCCACACACACACCTAAACACACACCCACCAATACTCACACCAACACACACACGCAACACACATATACACACACCACATACACACTATGGGCTTCTCCGCTACTCCATTCTAATGATGTTCTCTTCATCGACAGATAAGCTACCAAAGCATAGAGTCGTCCGACCCCACGTTGAGGATCCCTGGCCCACGGAGAACGCTGTCTAAACCCAGGAACGAGACCTACCATGTCTTCTCTAACCTGGACCCCGGCACCACCTACCTCTTCTCAGTGAGAGCCTCCACGGGCAAAGGATTCGGGCAGACCGCACAGACGGAAATCACTACCAACATCTCGGGTAAGTATCCAATCCCGGAACAGCAGAGCCGGGTGTCAGCCTGGCTCAGTGGTTAGCACGGCTCGGATCTGGGTCAGAAGGTGGAGTCCTATTGCGTAGGGATTAGAGCACTCACTTCGCAAGCGAGAGGACCCGTATTCGATTCCCGGGCGGGGCGAACAGTTAGGCAAGTTTCTTTGTGCCACGCGCCTCTGTTTACCTAGCGGTAAGTAGGAACCCAGTCGTTAGTCAGTCGGTGAATGGTTTCCCAATAACACCTCCAAAAATAAATGCGGTCACTCAATCCACGACTGTTTGTGCGCAATTGGTTGCTGTGTTTCGGCCACAAAATACACAGTCAATCCACATTAGAATATATTCTGTGACGCTCTTTGCGATGTCTGAACAACGTGATAAGGAGCTATATCAAATGCAAGGATTATTATTATTATAATAATAACCGCAGGTTTTATCTGGCCCTGCGACCCTCTGGAGAAGATGTCATTGACTCATCCTCAGCCTCTCGTCTCAGAGGCTGCAGAACTGCAGAGCTATCTGCTCATTCCTCTTGATCGTCGGAGGGATGGACAGGGGGGGAATTGGGCAGGAATTCACCGTTAAACATGGCTCAGAACGCCAACACGTCCGTCCCCGATCTTTGCGGAACGAGACAACTGGCTCTCCAGATGCGGCCAAGCTAGCAGAGCGCTGAGGGGTTTAACGACAGTATTTTATGCTAATTGCTTTTAATCTGCACCATCTGTTTATTAATATCCTCCGCACAGACAGACAGAGGGGAAGAAAGTGTTGACAGAGCCTTGTTGTAGTGTCAGTGCCTGATAGGTTTCAGGGAGAGGATGTGGGGGGGAAAGGGAATAAGATAGATTGGTAATTAATCTTCGGTGCTGATGAGAGGAATCACAGAGAACATCGGAGAAGAGGGAGACAGAGAGGCGGGAGCAGTGGGGCGTGAAAGGGGGTGGATATTCCGATCCACGATCCATTCCATCACTCTTAAGATTTTGTTCTGAGTTATGACTGACTGATCCCCCGCCTTAGACACAAAGGCAGCGATGCAACTGAGGTGTTTGCCCCTCACCCACCCCAATGTGTGCGTGTGTGGGGGGGGGGGGGGGCGCGGGGGGGAAACGGGGCGGGGGGGCGGTGGTTGGATCCACAAGCTTCTGAACCAATGGTGCGGTTCCTGTGCGGGCCTGACAGACATTGTAGTGGCCTCACGTGTAATTAACGGTAGCCGCGGTATTGAGTATGTCAGTGACCGGAGTCTGGCTTGGGTTGCGGTTGGGAGTTGGGGATGGATTAGGAGGAGAGTTTGTAAATGAATACGCTCGGTGTGAAATACTCTTGTATGTTCTCTTCCACCCACACAGCTCCCGCCTTCGATTATGGGGAGATTCTCCCTCCCCTGGACGAAACAGAGACCACCATCACCGTCCAGCTGAAGCCAGCAAAGGGCCGAGGAGCTCCAGTCAGGTGAGATGGACAGAGGGCAGCGGGGGAAGGGGTGGGGGGGGGGCAGAGGGGAGAGGAGAGGGAGGATCAAAGGGCAAAGATCGTCCCGCCAATAATGATGGGCTTCCGCGTCTGTCATTGGGAGAACAGCCAAACCAGAGTTCCACGTTCCAGAGTTCCAGGCCTACGACGCATGGAAATCTCCCTCAAGGACTCAGCGTTTAGAAGTTGAACGTGGAATGAGAATCACCTGTCTGCCCACCCCCGCCCCCCAACCCCGGGTAATTCTCTAACGCAGCTCTGAAAAGACTCGGTCCAAAAAATGGTGATGGCAGACTTATTTAGCAGCTGTTACCTGGAAGGGAGAGACGGAGAGAGATAGAAAGACACAGAGAGAGAGAGAGAGAGAGAGAGGCAGTGGGGGAAAATGATGTATTCAATTACTCGCAAAGGTTGAGTCAATTTTGATGCAACGACTAGATGATTAAGCTCGCAGAAGAGAGCGATGCATTCCGTTGGAGCAAGTTAACATGTAAATGAAATGTACGGCAAGACCAGAGGATTAATGTGAGACATGGTGGCAGGTTAGGGGATCTGACACTTTGCTCTAACTTAGATTCGCAATAAAAAGCTGTTGAGAGACAACACTAATGACAGCTCAGTGCAATGCTCCTGCTAAGCTAATTTAGCTGTCGGAGACTTCTCAGTGTATGAACCTGCCCTGAACTCAGACTCACACCTGGCAGGATATGTGGAGTCCTGTAGAGCGGTGGTTAGCGCCCGAGCCTGGCAAGCGAGAGGACCTGGGTTCGATTCCCGGGCCGGGTCTACCCAGCAGTAAGCAGGAACCCGGTTGTTAGTCGATTGGCGGATCGCATTCCGGGGGGTAATAATCCACTCCGTAAAAAACATAACGACACAAATTTGGTCGGCAGTTCGTGGGACGCTTCTGTGTGTGATTGGCTGCCGCGTTTCGCCCACAAAATACACAGTCGGTTTACTTTACACTTGAGACTTTTACAAGCGCTTTGAGACATCTCAACGCCGTGATAAGGTGCTATATCAAAATGCAGGGATCATTATTATTATTATCCTCTCCTTTCCGCGCCCCCCCTCCCCCCTACACCTCCCCCCGCCCCCCTCCGGAATTATCCCACAAACCAGTTGGGCTCTGAACGAAGAGTGTGTAGCGTCAGTGAAGCAGCGACAATGAGAGGAAAGGGTGGCCAACGAGACGTGGGTGGCGGATGGAACTTGGGGCAGAGCAAAGCGTCTTGATTTCCCTCCTGTGTTGCAGCGTTTACCAGGTGGTGGTGGAGGAGGCTGGGCTGCAACGAGCCCGGCGAGCGGCGAAGACCAACGAGTGCTTCCCTCTCGCCTTCACCCGGGACAGCGCGGCGGACGAGGGCTCCCAGCACTATTACAGCGCCGAACTGCAGCCGAGCGACCTCCCCGATCCCACGCCCTTCACCGTGGGCAACAACAACACCTACAATGGCTACTGGAACGCTCCGCTGGAGCCCAAGAAAGACTACCACATATACCTTCAGGCTGTGAGCTTCTTCAAAGGGGTGAGTGGTAGGGAGTGCGGTGGGGTAGGTGGGGGGGAGATCATTAAAGGGCACCACGGGGGTTGGGGGTGGGGTGGGGGAGTATAGGAATTGCTATGATGAAAAGACCAAGGTCCATCTCGATCGCCTTCTACCATCGATGCAGTTGCACTCTGCACTAATGGAGATGTTAACACCAATTCATTCTATGTGGATTAGTCTACAACAGACTGGAAAGCTTTGGGAACCTTAGATCCAAAGTTGCCCGGTTCTTCCAAGCCATTTTACACTTACTATATGTCATGTGCAGCAGGCTTAACTATCATAATAATATTAATAATAATAATAATCCTTGCACTTGATATAGTGCCTTATCACGTCGTTGAGACGTCCGAAAGCACTTCGCAGGATACACTGTAAAAGTTTATTTGGGGCAATATTGGCCGGGAGAGCGGGAAAGAGAAATTCCCTTTTCTTTTCTTTTCTTTTCAAATAGTGGTACGGGATATTTAACATCCACCAGAACAGCTCCAGTTTAGTTTAATTCAATTAATCTCTTACCAGGTACTCCTCAATGCAATCCACATCGACGTGCAATGAAAAGACTTTGAGTCGATGGGGGGGTTCTAATTTGTGATCATTCTTAACGGGATTTCTTATGGAGGAGGTTAGGGAAACCAGAGCTGTTTTGGATGGAAAAGAAAGTAGGTGGCGAGGGCCACTGTCAGGGGAGGCTCAGAGTTATGGGGGGGGGGGCTTGGATGAGCCGGTATGCGGAGATACTCACTAAATTGTTTAGATTTAGAGGCTTAAACGTGAGCGAGCGAGCGAGAGAGGAGCATAAAGTCATTAAAAGGAGACGAACAATATTTTCTAAAGAGGGGGATAGAAAAACAAAAAATAAAACTCCTCCCGGAGGAGACGGGGACTGAGCAGAGTGTGTAAATTGTGAAGTTAATGTGTTTGTGTCGCCCCGCCGATCGCACACGCACACAAATCAGTAAGCTCTCCCCGCCCTGTAAATCACTGGGCTGGTTGTCCGCTGTGCACATGTTATTGGCCGGGAGGGATATATTGGTCTCTGGTGGATTGGAGTCCGATCGCTCGTCGGGAAAAACTACACAAGGTCGATGAGGCATGATCGCAGGGAAGAGAGTGAGTGTGTTAGTGTTTGCGAGCGTGTGTGTGAGTTAGTGTGTGAGTGAGTGTGTGAGTGAGTGTGTGTGTTAGTGTGTGAATGAGTGTGTGAGTGAGTGAGTGAGTGTGTTAGTGTGTGAATGAGTGTGTGTCAGTGTGTGTGTGTGAGAGAGTGAGTGAGTGAGTGAGTGAGTGTGAATTAGAATGGGCAAGTGTGCGTGTGAGTGAGCGAGTGACCGACAGTGTGAGTTCAAGCGAGTGAGCGAGCGAGCGCGAGAGCGAGTTAGAGTGCGCGCGCAGCGGAGGAGACGGAGACGGCGTTGAGCTCATGGCGGCACACCCTTCAGCGAAAGAAAGGTAATGAAGTAATTAACAACAAGTGTTTATTTCGTTCAATAAAAAAAAAGAAAGAAAGATAAATACATGTGATTGTGAGACTGTGAAATGACATCGTCGAGCCACAGGAAAAGAAATTACCGCTTTCCTGAAAAATATCTGCCTGGTTGTTCCACACTAATTTGAATATTAATATTATGCAACGATGGCGGGGGGGGGGGGATTTTATTATGCATTCCACGCTCCGAATTGCAGCCCCTCAGCAATAAATACGTGGCTGTTTCTCAGCGTGAATCCCGCAGAATTATTGCACGGCCGTTCGGCATTTTTCACTTGAAGATTTGCAACGATCTGCGGGAAAGAACTGCGGCTTCTCATCCAGCGCTTTGTTTCGTTCTTATTTCTGCCTTTATTTTGGCTGTTTTCGCAGGAAACCAAGATAAACTGCGTCCTGATTGCCAAAAAAGGTGAGATCCTTTCCGTGTTCCCCCCCACACCCCACACACCCCCCTCACCACACACACACACACACACATACACACACACACACCACCTCTCTGTTCCACGTGTCCTTCGGGTGAAACGTTAAACTGGGGTTCCGTCTCCCTGTTCAGGTCGCGTTAAAGATCCTGCGACGTTCTTTGAAAGAGAAGGGAGTTTTTTTTCTTTCCCGGTGTCCCGGATGACAAATCCCACCGCCCCCCCTCCACACACACCCCCCCCCCACACCGCCGTGCGCAAATTGTCTGCCGCGTTTCCCCCACAAAATACACAGTCAACCGACTTTAGCGTCTATCCTGTGAAGCGCTTCGAGACGTCTCAACGACGTGATGAGGCGCTGTGTCAAATGCGAGGATTATTATTTATCATTATATCTTACAACTGACAAACTTAACAGCACAATAAAATGCCGATTCGGCCCATCGTGCCCACATGCCGGCTCTATGGAAGAGCCCCTTCCACTCAGTCCCATTTACCTACCTTTTTCCACCCTCTCCGCCCCTCCCTTCCATTCTCACCCTTCCCCCTCAACTCTCCCCCAACCCCCCCAATTACCCCATTAGGTGTCTGCCTGGCTCAGTCGTTCGCGCTCTCACCTCTGAGTCAGGGGGTTGCGGGTTCAAGCCCCCACAACAAGGACTTTGAGCTCACAGTCTGAGCTGACAGCTCAGTGTTGGCAGACCTTGATGCTGGAGGTTGAATCCTTCAACAGTTAATTTTTTTTTTTTTGCCTTTTCCTTTCCCCTCTCTCCTTCCCTCCCTCGCTCCTCTCTCCTTTCCCCTTTCTCTCCCTCCCTCACTCTGTCTCTCCTTCGCTCCTCTCTCTTTCCCTTCCTCTCTCTCTCTCTCGTTCGCCTTTCTCTCCCTGGCTTTTCCCTCCCTCCCTCTCCTTTCCTCCTTCTGTTCCCTTCCCCACCTTTTCCATGTCTCACCAGCAGCTGCTTGCAAGGAGAGTAAGAGGAGCCAGGAAGCAGCCCAGCGCTCCGAGGAGATGGGGCTGATCCTGGGAATCTGTGCGGGAGGCTTGGCCGTGCTCATCCTCATCCTCGGGGCCATCTTCGTCTTCGTCAAGAAAGGGTAAGAGCCCGACAGCCACTCCCGAGACCTCGTCTTGCGGTCAACGTCCACAGGACGTCATTTCAAACACCCCCGAGGATGATCACTGGCTTGTCAAGCAACAACCGCACCAGGGCACCTTGCGAACGATTACGCGCTCAGAGTCAAACCAGCAGTGAGAGTCTTACACACCAACGGAAGCCTCGAGAGGCCAATAGCAACAAAAAAAAGTCTGGCTGAGGTTTAAGAAGTTGCTGAGACCACGAGGCATCGAGCAGGTTCAGGAAGGCCAGGGGTGCTCGCTCAGCAAAGATATCCATCACTCCTCATTCTCCCCCACCACCCACACCCCCCCCTCACACACACACAAAGTGTTTAGAAAACATGTCTTTGCTCATTTAGATCTAAACTGTGGGTTGATGAGCTCTTGTCCTCCTGTCTGTATCAACTGTACTGACTTTATATCGGTTTGATCCGATATACCATTGCGTTTCCAGCATTAACTGAGTCACTCACTGTTGTGTGTATGTGATGCAGCCAAGTGTGTGAGACTGACACATCGTCACTCCGCAATGCGTCAATCAACTAACAAGTAAACCAAGGCTTGTGGAGTTTGATCCATACGACCGTTTGCTGGGAGTATGAATTCTCTCTCACCCGCCTGCGTTTTCGCTTCTGGAACGCACGCATTCTGTAATGGGGATCAAATATTATTTGTGATAATAATTATTACTATTAGTAATTATTAATATTAATGATTATTATTGCATTTGATACAGCGTCTCGTCACATCGGTTGGGGCAGCTCAAATTGAGCCACGGCAGCACGCCCCTGGTCGTTCTCCTCCTTTTCCTAATTCCTCCCAATTCTGCGAGGTCAGAGGCTCGGGTGAGCTGCCATGTTCTCGGTTATGTCGACACGACTAAACAGAGAGAAGAATGGGGAGAGACCACGCTTTGAACTCGGTCCTCAGCCCCTCAGCACAGCAGGGAACCGAGATTGTCAGCTCAGCACACTGGGGGATTGAGCACCTGATCACCTTGACATAAAACCCTATTAATATGGTTTTTTTTTAAGTCCCTATATCTTTATGTGATATAAAATGCCGTTGAGATTCCCTGTTCCCACACCCCCGCTCACTCGCCCTTCAATCTTCAGGGGATTCCAAGCAGAAAATTGAAACTAGCACCTGCCTTTTCACTCCAGCCCACAGAGCAGGATTCCTTTGGAACCCGTGAACGACAGGTCAATAAAATGTAAAGCGCGAAATGAGAAAACAAGAAGCCTCGCTGTACACTCACTCACTCACTCAATCACTCAATCATTCACTTACTCAATCGCTCATTCACTCCCACACTCACTCAATCGCTCGCTCCCACACTCACTCAATCTCTCCTTCACACACTCACTCGCTCGCTCCAACACTCACTCAATTTCTCCTTCACACACTCACTCACTCACTCACTCACTCATTCACACACTGGCGCTTCACTATCTGACCTGCGACCATTTCCAAAGTGCTTCCTGAAGGAGTGAAAAAGCAGAATGGCGGCACTTCAGATTGCCGCTCTGACCCGATTTAGTATCCGGATGCCGTTATTTTTATTAATAATAATAATAATAATCCTTGCACTTGATACAGCGCCTTTTCACATCGTCGAGTCATCTCAAAGCGCTTCGCAGGATTTACTATAAAGTGGATTGACTGTATTTTGTGGGCGAAATGCTGGAGCCAGCAATGTCCCACAAACAGCCGTGGAGTGAGTGACCAATTTTATTTGGGGGATTGTTGGCCAGGCCAGGACACCGCGAGAGAGTAAGAAACTCCCTTCTCTTTCCCATTAGTGCCGTGGGATCTTTAACGTCCATCTTAACAGCGTATCCTGCGAAGCGCTTTGCGACGTTATTGTGACGTGAATGGCGATGTATCAAATGTAAGGGTTGGGGGTGGGGGGGGGGGGGTCTATCGTGTTCAACCACAAACACTCCAAATTTAGGATTTTTCCATGATTCCGCACAAATTAAATTCTAAGACTAATTGGTTTCCATCGGGTGGGGGGGGGAGAGGAATTTTGTGCCTCGCTATTTCATAGCCGTGAGTTACAGATGATTGGGAGAACGCCCAATGGGTTCGTTCACTCAGAGAGAAAGAAAGAGAGACAGAGAAAGAGAGAGAGAGAGAGAGAGAGAGAGAAATATGCACTTTGAAGTTTTGTTTTCCTCTTTCCCAGTTATCACACGTCATTCAAGATTTGATGAATGAGCTTCATTACCCACTGGACGGGCACACAGCATAACGTGTGTGTGTTTTGCAAATCTAAATGCTTTTCTTTTTCCCCGCTGGTCCATTACATTTCTCTCGATTGCTAGCTTTGCATTTGTTGTTCTGGCAGGGGAAAAGGTCACCGTGTCGAGGCATTTCATCGGCTGTCGGCAATTTGCAGCAGAAATCAAACTGTATCAGAAGGGGAGGCAGCACCCGAGAGCTGAGTGGCAATCACTCTTGGAGACACAGTCGTACTAGCGCAATCCTTTCCTGATTCGATCCTGATAAGGGGCAGAGATTCCGTGATTCAGAGTAGTCAGTCGTTGCAGAGGGGAAAATGGACATGTATCTTGATACAGGGGCTCGCGTGGTGGTGGTGGTGGGGGGGGGGGTGGGTGTGTGGAAGGAAAGGGGTACATCTCAAAGCAAGGCACGTGGTTTTATTGTAAAGTGCAGTGACTGCGTTTTGGAGGTGACCGAGCTCGTCCGGGCTGTGTCCTTGTTCAATGCTATTAGGGAAAAAAAAAGGGACATTGTGTCTCAACCGACAATCCCCCACCGCCGATAAAATTCATCATTCACTTCATGAACTCATTATGTCCTCGCGACGTGATAAGACGCTGTATCAAATACAAAAGAATATTTCATTTTCAAATAAGCACTGGGATCAAGTGTGGATTATGGTTAAAAAAAAATAGCAAATGCCACCTGTGTTTGACTTGATGAATTTTCAGACTAATGGAACTTTTCCAAAGTGTTTGAATCTTTGCACTGATATTATCTCTGCTCTTCCCTCCGCTGTCCCGGATCTCTCTCCTTTATCAGGAGGAGCTACTATGCCTATTCATATTACCCGTAAGTGGTCAGTGACGACGCTTTTACTGTCTTAATCCCTGCGGCGTAAGGATTTCCTAACTGCGCATAAGTCCCTGATTTCTTCTTAAGAAATGTCGCAAGTTAGATCCCCGTTGTGGGTGTTTATGTAATCGTTACAATATGGAAATCTATGTAAATCTATGAAACAGGCTCCCCGGGGAGACGGTGGAAGTAGAAAGTGTTGTTTCATTCAAATGCAAATGACATCGATTTCTTTTAGAAAATAATATTGTGGGGATTCAGTGTATGAGTAATTTAAGATGACATTATAGTAAGGGTAATAATATGGCTTGAAAGAACCAGGCAATTTTGGATCCGAGGTTCCCAAAGCTTTTCACTCTGTCGCGGACTGATCCATACAGAATTAATTGATTGCTATCAACATCTCCGTTGCCGTAGCATGCGACTACCAGGATGGTAGAAGGCCAACAAGATGGATCTCGGTCTGTGTTTTTTCATCTAGCAATTCCTATATGCAGTAAAACTCGCACACGTGGTATCAGTTGATATTTAATATGACTTATGCAAAGTATGAGTTACGGCAGACATGCACAAGTCATATCATGTATGACTTATGTAGAGTTATGTATAAGTCAGATTTCATATGAATAACACATAAATACACAAGTGCTGTACTGGCTGGTGATATTGAGGCAAGGTTGCTGTACCATGTTTAACCCACGCATATCAAAGCAGTGGCAGCCCATCCCTTCCTGCATACAGTACCGCACAGTGCTATACCTCACGTGCAGAAAAACATGTCGCGTATATAGAGCTAAAAATCACGTGAGAAGCCACGAGACTTACAATGTCCGCTTTCAGGAAACCGACGCAGATGAAGAAGACGGTGATCAGCTCCCGTCACGAGAAAGCTCAGATAATGAACGCGATGGACAGGAGCTTCACTGACCAGAGCACACTGCAGGAGGACGAGCGTCACGGCCTGACCTTCACAGACCCTCACAACTGCAGCACCAGGTGCAAGTCATCCCACAAAGGTAACGTCCTTCTCGCCTCCACCAAGCTGCTCCGGCCTGGGATTTCGGGCCAATTGAGGTTCCGGTTCGCGCTCGTAATGAGATATAATCCGTGCGATCGGTTACAGCATCTAATCACGTGGTCGCGACGTCTCAAAGTGCTTTACAGAATATACTGTACAGCGAATTGACTGCGTATTTTGTAAGCGAAACACGGCGGCCAATTGCGCACAGTCGTGGATTGAGTGACCAAATTTTTTTCGGGGGGTTTGTTATCCCTGGAAAGCGATCCCCCAATCGACTAACAACCAGGTTCCTATTTCCTGCTAATTAATCCGGGAATCGAACTCGGGTTCCCTCGCTTGCGAGGCGAGCACGCTAACCACTACACTAAGGTTGCTTGTCCTGCTCTCTGACCTTCCTGCTTGTTGTTGTTGTTTTCTTGTAACCCCCCCCACCCCACCACCTCCCCATCCATCCCCCGCAGATGACCAGCGCAGTGTGATGAACGAGTCGAGCAGTTTGTTGGGCAGTTTCTCGCGAAGCCCCCGAGGACGAGCAGGGTCTCCGTACCAGACAGGCCAGCTGCACCCCGCCGTACGAGTGGCCGATCTCCTCCAGCACATCAACCAGATGAAGACGGCGGAAGGTTACGGCTTCAAGCAGGAGTACGAGGTGCGATTAACAGGAAAATGGCGAGAAAAAAAACAATTTTCTCCCTCCCCCCCAGTTGTTACCATTCAGTTGTCGCCGTCACCGCGTGGGTTTGTTCCTAACGCAAACAGGGCCTGGATGACGTTCACTGGACCGGAGGTCTCGCGTTCTAAAAATGGCCAACTTCCTAGGCATCGGGTCACCTCAGACACCATTTCCTGCCCACTTGTCCCTTGACGATTCGACCACTCCTCCTCTTAACCCTGTTTCCAGCCAATTAATTCCCCTCTGCAATAACGCATACTTATTGGGTATCGTGCCTGAAATTGCCCTCCACAGCTTTGACCCCTTGTTATCGGTGGAAGGACTTTGTGTGGAGTATAGCATAGACACTGGCACGGACGAGTTGGGCCGAATGGCCTGTTTCTGTCCTGCTGCAGGTCATCGCACGCTGCAACTCTGTATAACCTGCGCCATCTTGTCCTGTTGCCGTGGCGGATGTGTGAGACGCGTGAGACGTCTCACTCGGCCTCTCTCACTGGGGAATCTCAGCGTGCCTTGCGGGATATCAAGCAGCTCGCGAGACCCCAATAGTCGCAGTGTCTGAGTTGAACGCACGCTGTCTTGTCACTGCGGTGGCTGGGAGCTCGCACCTCGCGTCCTGCCCTGACCTCTCGTCCTTTGCTGTTCCTCCAGAGTTTCTTTGAAGGCCAGACCTCGTGCCGCGAGACGTCGAAGAAAAAAGAGAACAGGACCAAAACTCGGCATGAAAACATTATCGCCTGTAAGTGAGTGAGGAGAGCGTGGGGGCGGGGGAGGAGGGGCGGGAGAGGTAGGGGATCAACAAATTCAAAAAGTCACTTCGAAAAGGAAGTGAAGTCAGCAGTGGCCCAACGCCCTGGAAGTTGGCCGTGCGGTGGNAGGGAGGGAGGGGAGTATTTTTTTATTATTTAGAAGTTCTAAATTTGGACAGTCTCATTTCCTGTTAGGAACTTCCAACCCCAAACACTCCCACGTCATCAACCCTTGCCTTAACGGTAGACGAGCCTGTCTCAGCGCTGCTTAAACTCTGTGTGACACCAGAAACCCACACGTGTAATGCTCTCTCCACAGACGATCGTCATCGGGTCAAGTTGCATCCGCTGTTGGGAGATCCCGGTTCAGATTACGTCAATGCCAGCTACATCGATGTAAGTGGCAGGTTCCCGCCCGATGCCCGCCATAACCCTTCGGCAAACCTGGATAGTCACACGTCACGATCCTGGCATTTCACGCAGCACCTTATCAAGCGCTCCGGGGAGGGCTGTCCCGCGTGAAGGGGCCTGTGCGAATGCAAGTTGTTGTCGTGGTCAAAATGTCTCAGAGCGCTTCACTGGATGTATTGTAAAGTGCGTTGACTCGGTATTTTATAAGCGGGAGCTAATTTGCGCTCAGCGACATCCCACAAACGGCCACGGAGTCGGTGACTAATTTTATCTTGGGGTTTGTCGGCCAGGACACCGAGAGAGAGAAACTCCCACCTCTTTTCGAAAAGTGTCTTGAGAGCCTCAACATCCGCTGAACGGGGCACAGACAGGACCTCGGTTTAACGTTTGAAAGATAGAACCCCCAACAATGCAGCGCTCCCCCCACACCCCTCCCACCAGTACTGTGCTAGAATGTCAGCCTGGACCATGAGAAATTCCAGACACCAGCAAGGAAGCCCAGAGAACCACACTGATTTGGGGCTTCGAGCGATCCTAACAGAGCCTGAATTTCTTAAGCCTTAAGACCTTCTTAAGGAAGGTCTTAAGCCTTGCCTCGCTGTCCGTGCTTCCCTTTTTCGTAAAGATTTCTCGGGATAAGACTTTGAGAGACACTTAAGCTTCGGCACCCAGCTCGAGGCATGTTGCTTCTAAGAACCTTTCTTACTGTAAGCTGTATTCGTGTCTGCCTCTTGCTTATCACTTACATGCTTGTATCTCTGTTGGTTTTCACAAACTCTTCCTCATGTGGAGTGTAGATACAGATTAACAGAGAAGTAAGTACATCTCTGCTGGCCTGACCTCGTCTCCGTGGCTTAAAGATCCCTCTCGTGCCCGTTCTTTGGTGTTTGCGTTGTTCTTCTCCTGCCCAGGAGCATCACATTCGGGAAACAAATGGGAGCATTTGGGATCGATGTTGCATGTCGAATTGGGAAATTGGCACATGTTTAATATCATTCCATCGTGGGGTCTCGTGGTGGGGGGGGGGGGGTGGAGGTGGGGTGGGAGTTTGGGGTGGTGCGGGGGCTGTAACGGGAATGGTAAGGCTGCTGCCAATCATTCTGAATGTCACTGTCGAACATTGGCTAACTTCTGAGCCATCCTTTCGAGAAGGTGGACTTGTGTCAGTGATTCGGGGAAGCCATCTCAAGTCACCTCAGGGCCTCTAGCCTCTGGTCACCAGTCAGCCCGTCGTGAGCAGGCGATCCAAGTTCTACAGAACCCCAAAACGGGACACCCCCCCCCCCCTCTCCCTCTTCCCTCCACCTCACCCTCTCCCCACCCATTCGTTTAAATATTTCCGATCCCGTGAAACATTTCCCGCACCAAACCAAAATCTCTCGTATTGATCACCGAGAGCTGGCGAGAGCTGCCACTCATTCCGAAGCGATTGGGAGCAGCCTGCGTGTGAGTCCCTTGAGCACTGTTCCGCATCTGGGTGTTGTTTTGCCGTCTGCATTTCTGTACCTTACTGTTGCCTGGCTGGAGTGTGCATGCGGAGTATCTCCTCTACTCCATCGTGACAGAAACTCACTCAGGACAAATTACATTGACGTTTCAAACGTTTCACTGATTCAAGTCTTTCATTAGCTCAAATGGATAGAGTTCAGTGAAACCCTCCCTCTTCAACTCCCCACCCCACTTTCCCCACGCACCTAGTCCAAGGCTGGAACCGCTGTGAGTTAAGCTGTGTTGCAAATCCCTTCCTAATTAGCCCGAGACAAGACGATTGGCCTGGCTCCTGTTTTCACACGATGCAGAGTAGAAAACCGGGTTAGACAGGAGACTTACCTCGGGGGGGAAAAAAAGGTTATCTATCGAAACCTAAAATGTAGCCACCCGACGATTGGAGCTGTGAGTTCACATGCAACCCACTGCGTGTGGTGTAATGACCCCTTTCCTTTCCCCCCCACCCCGTTCTCCCCACTTTCCTCCCACTCCCCCCAATTTAGCTCCATCCCAAAGGCTAAAGTGGATTAAGTCTGCATGCCTCACATCCCTCAGCACGCTCTGAGCCATGTTTTACAGCCTGCGCGCGCGCGCACACACACACACACACACACATACACACACGCACAGTCCTGTTGATTAATGCTATCTTTCTTCTCTCTCCTGACAGGGTTACCACAAAGCCAATCACTTCATCGCAACTCAAGGTACAAGATTATTCTGTTGTGTTTTTTTTTGGGTCACTTGCTACCCGGCTCGAGGAAGGATAGAGATAGCCAGGATCAAGAGGGGGAGGCCATTCAGCCCATCCAGCCTGTTCTACCGGCTTATCGGATGAGGAAAAGCGAACCTGAATCCCAATACCTGCCAAAATATCTCACCATCTTCCACTGCACACATCTGGGGGAGGAGAAACAACAAAAGCAAGACAGCCAGATAGCTGAGGGTGTTGGGGGGTGGTGGGGTGGGGTATATGGCTCGGAGGCTAGAGTAGGGAAGGTTGAGGTATGTAGGGCACGGAATGGACAGTGATGGAGCAGTCTCAACGAGCTGGATGGCCCTGATTTCATATGTTCCTAAAATAATGTTCCCCCCCGCCCCCCTCTCTCTCTCTCTCTCTCTCTCTCGCTCTGCTCGTCCCAGGACCCAAGCAGGAGATGGTCTATGATTTCTGGCGGATGGTGTGGCAGGAGCATTGCGCCAGCATCGTGATGATCACCAAGCTGGTGGAGGTCGGGCGGGTAAGTGGTGGCGGGGGATGGTGGGGTGATGTGGGTGTGCGCGGGGTGGTGGTGGGGGGGGGTGTGTGGGGGAGAGTAAGGGCGGGCGAGAGAGGGGAGAAAGGGGGTTACTAAGTGGGGGGTGGGGGAGAGGGAGGGGGTTGGGGAGTTGACGTGAGATGACCCGAACCTCTTCGCCCACAGGTCAAATGCAGCAAATACTGGCCCGACGACACCGAGCTTTACGGCGATCTGAAGGTCACCCTCATCAAAACAGAGCCGTTGGCGGAGTACACCGTCAGGACCTTCTCACTGGAAAGGGTAAGACCTCCCACCCCCACACTCCCCCCCCCCCCCGACCCACCCCCCACACAAGGTGCGGACCGCAATCCAACCTATTAAGAGCTGTTTTTCCTCCCATGTTTTAAGCCTACCCCCACCCCCACCCCCCACCACACCGCCCATTTATCGTTGTCTTTTCTTCGCTCAGAGAGGCTACTCGGCCCGGCACGAGGTGCAGCAGTTCCACTTCACGGCCTGGCCGGAACACGGAGTGCCGTACCACGCCACCGGCCTCCTGGCCTTCATACGATGCGTCAAGGTCTCGAACCCCCCCGACTCGGGCCCTGTCGTTGTCCACTGCAGGTCAGTATTGACTCCTTCCCTCTCTCTCCCTCCCTCCCTCCCTCCCTCCTTCCATCATTAAACTTCCCTCTCACTCCCTCCCTATCTCCTTCCCCACGTTCTCCTCTCCTCTCTCCCTCTCTCTCTCTCTCTCCCTCTCTCCCTTGAGAGGGTCACATCGCGCTTACCTAATTCCGGAAAGTATTAGGCGCAGGTTTCGGTGACCCCGGAGTGTGCGTTGGGGGGGGGGGGGGTGTGTGAACGCGTCGGGGGTAAAACAGCATAGCTTGCCAACGTTGCAGTAAGGCTGTCACACCGCCAGCGAGTGAACAGCGCTAAGACCATTTTGCGAGCTCAGAGCTCCTGTTACGTGCCAGAGATGCCGCATATTTTGAAACGTACCGAAGTCAAGGTTTTTATTTATTTATAGGCATTAGAACTCCAGGCGTTTGTCAGTAACAGAATGAAGTGTCGTGGGAGAGTGAATTGTTCATTTAACGGGAATTAAATGTGTGGGGTATTAACATATTAAGAGACGACTAAATGCTTTTTCACAATCGCTGCCCCAAAGGTGTTCATGATCCCTTTTTGTGACTAGAACCCCCCCCCCAACCACCTCCCCCACCCCCACCACCGCTGTCAACAATTTATAACGATAACCATCCTTGGTTTGATCCAGCGCCTTATCACGTCTTCGTGAAGTCTCAAAGCGCTTCACAGAATATACTGTAAAGTGGATTGACTGTGTATTTTGTGGGCGAAACGCAATAGCCAATTGGGCACAGCAGCGTCCCCACAAACACTTGGGTTTAATGAACAATTTTTTTTTCTCTCTCTTGGAGGGGTTATTACCCCCAGGAAAGCGATCCGCCAATCGACTAACAACCAAGTTCTTACTTACCGCTGGGTAAACAGAGACGCGCGGAGTAAGGGAACTTGCCTAACATTTGGCCCTGTCCGGGAACCGAATAACCAGGTTCTCTCGCTTACAAAGCGAGCGCTCTAACCACTACGCTACGAGACTCAGTTGTTACTGGGATGCGTCGTGACGTGCGTGCGGTGTGCGCGGCGGTGATGGTGGTGGGTGGGGTGTGTGTGTACGCCTGTTCCGCTCTCTCTGACTCGGAGCCTGCATTTGATCGCTTAGTGCCGGTGCCGGGAGGACGGGCTGCTACATCGTGCTGGACGTGATGTTGGACATGGCGGAGTGCGAGGGAGTCGTGGACATTTACAACTGCGTGAAGACCCTGTACGCGAGGAGGATTAACATGATTCAGACTGAGGTAGGCGAAGGCGACAGACTCGGGGAACTTGCTTATTTATTCCCAGCGGATGTCAAAGCAAACTGAGCGTCCGTGACGACAGGAACACAGACGGAAGACAATAATCCTTGCATTTTACACAACAACTCGCACTCGTCTTCGTACCCTTCACGCCCTGGCACCTCCCTACGCCCTACCTCTCCGACCTGCTTACTCGCCCACCGATCCACTACCTCCACGTCCGCTCCACTTACTCCAGCCGCCTGCTTGTCCCGGCTAATCGAGGCAGGAAGAGAGAGTAGTGAGAGAGAGAGAGAGAGAGAGAGAGGAAGATGGGGGTGAGGAGGGAATTAAATGTATTGAAGAAGGAAGGTATTGGCGGGTGTGGAACGAGAGGGGGTAGTTTCCCCACCGCGGGAAAGGATGAGGGAGCGAAGTGGGGGGGCGGCGAGGCGGTGTGGGGAGCATCTGCTGGGTAATAACCTGATGAGTGTCTCTCTCTCTCTCTCTTGGCTTGAAGGAACAGTACATATTCATCCACGACGCTATCCTGGAAGCTTGCCTGTGTGGGGACACCTCCATCCCGGCTTGTGAGCTCAAGCCCACCTACAAGGAAATGGTCAAAATAGACCCGCAAAGCAACTCCTCGCAACTGAAGGAAGAATTCCAGGTGAGTTTCTGGAAAAACTTGTTCAAGACTTCCCACCCCACCCCCCCCCACTCCACCATTTGTTATTCTTTCTCTCACAGACAGGTTCTGTACCGACCTCCCTCTGCTCCATGTCCCTCCACCCCCGCCCCGCCTGGCCCACCCCACCACTGGCGGTCGGACCTTCAGTCTTTCTGCCCCCGCCTTATGGAACTCCCAACCCACAGTCCCTTCACCCCTGCCCTCTCCCTTGCCTCCTTCAAGGGCCGTCTCAAATCTCTCCTCTCCGAGCGCGCCTTCAGTCACGCTCCCCAGCCCTCGCTGCCCCAAAGCGCCCGCTTAGCTCACCTCCTCGTCCCACGTTGTGCGTTCCAGACGTTGAACTCAGTGACGCCGCACCTGGACATCGAGGAGTGCAGCATCGCTCTGCTCCCTCGCAACCGGGAGAAGAACCGCAGCATGGACGTGTTGCCTCCCGACCGCTGCCTCCCCTTCCTCATCACCGTGGACGGAGAGAGCAACAACTACATCAACGCTGCCTTGATGGACGTGAGTTCTCGTCGCTTCGACATCGGGACGTTTAACGATTGTCCTGACCGACAATCCACAACATACAATCACACAAACCACACACACCCACACACACACCCTCTCCACACACACACCCACACACACACCCACACACACACAGATAAAATCGGTCACTCAATCCACGACTGTTCGTGGGGACGCTGCGGTGCGCAATTGGCTCCGACTTTCGCCCACAAAATATACAGTCAATTCACTTTACAGTGTATCCTGTGAAGCGCTTTGAGACATCTCAACTACGTGACAAGGCGCTGTATGTAAGGATTATTATTATGCAAGGATTATTATTATAAAGTGCAGTGACATACGTGGTTTTGGTTAGTTCTTCCTCTGACCACTGAGTGGAGCAATTAGTGACGCCAAACACACAATGGGGAAGGAAACTGGCACTCCCCAACCTTCCCACGCCCATCAACACTACGTCTCCCACCCCCACCCCCTCCCCAACACCCCCCCTACTTCTCCCCCTCACACGATCGCAATCCACTTCTTTGTGGTTCTTCGTGTCTCTGTGCTACAAAGAGGTGTGAACTTGGCTCGGTTTAGTAGCTTTCTCACCTCTTGAGTGAGAAGGTCATGGATCCAGGCCCTACGTTGGGGACTTTGAGCTTACAGTCAAGCCTGAAGCGTCGGTAGAGTGCTGGGGGGAGCTCCGCATCGCCCAAGGCGCCGTCCTTCGGAGGAGACATTAAACCAAACTCCCCTGTCGTACCCTACTCAACTGGACGTCAAAGATCCCAGGGTGCTATCAGAAAAGAGAAAGGTGTCTCTCTCCTGGTGTCCTGGCCGACAATCTCCCCTTTTCCCCCCTCCCCCTCCCACAGCTAAAATTGGTCACTCTTAACATGGCTGTTTGTGGGGTATTGCTGTGCGCAATTGGCTGCCGCGTTCGCCTACAAAACACACGCAGTCACTACACTTTATGAGAGAGAAGCGCGTTACGGTACCAAAAAACAAGGTCTGTTGACTGAAGTGTTTTTTTTCTCTCTCTCTCTGAATCTCCTCAGAGCTACAGGGGAGCAGCAACCTTTATTGTCACCCCACATCCTTTACAGAACACAACCACAGACTTCTGGAGACTCGTGTATGATTATAATTGCACATCAATAATCATGCTTAACCAGCTCAATCAGCTGAACTCAGCCTGGGTACGTTATCCCCCACCACACCCGCGCGCATACACACACACACACACCCTCACACACATCATAACACAGCCCCCAAACACCCCCACCCAACCGCCCCTCCCTCATACACACATCAGCCCACACACACACACACACACACACACACACACACACCACACGCACAAACACGCAGCCGCCCCCCACCACCACCTCTCACACACACACGCACACACGCACACACGCACACACCAGACAAACACACACGCGCCGTCCTACACACACGCAGCCCTCCACCCCTCACCGGACAAACACACACACGTGCGCACACACACACTCGCAGAACAGTATCGATCTTCCTCTTTCATTTCGGAGAAAATTGCCAAACCGCAGGCTTAATGTGAAGCGGTTTCCTCTCTTTGTCTCTCACCCAAGTACCCCTCAGAGAGAAAAAAAAAAGCGGACCTCCAAGTTGAGAGACTGTTGAGACCGTCCGAAATGTAAACAGAGTAACATCCAGATCCCGGGTGGGAATTTGAGACAAGATAGAGTTCCGACCTGCAGCCAATATATGGCTTTATTTACATTAACCCGTTTGTGTGTGTGTGTGTGTGTGTCTCTCTCCCTCTCTCTCTCTGCCCTCTCGCCAGCCGTGCTTGGAATACTGGCCCGAACAAGGACTGCAGCAGCACGGGCCCATCCAGGTGGAGTTGATTTCCCGCACGGCCGACGAGGAGATTGTCACCCGGTTGCTGCGGGTTCAGAATTTATCCCGGGTGAGGATCGACTTGGCGAATAACCGTAATAATGTTGATAAAAATCCATGTATTTTCTACAACGCCCAGGAGGACGTCCCGAAGTGAACGCAGTACAAATGTGGAAACAAGGGGAAGCCATTCAGCCCCTCGAGCCTGTTCCACCATATCTTTTAGATCATGGCTGATCTGTACCTCAAGTCCAATGACCCGCCCTTGCCCCGGATCCCTTAATACCCTGACCTAACAAATATCCAGCCAGTTTGCACACAGCAACCTCTCCTGCAAACGGCCATGAAGTCAATCGACTGATTTTTATCCGATGGGATCGTTGGCCAGGACACCGGGAGAGAGAAACTCTCTTGACCCAAGAGCTCCGCATAATTCAGGCGCAAACAGGAACTCGGGCTAACGACTCGTGCAAAGGACAGCGCCTAACAGCTTCCTCCCCACACCCCAGCACTGTGCCGGAACACCTCCCTGGACTGTCAGCTCAAAGTTTCTTGACTCCAGGGGCTTAATGGCGACAACCCACTGGCCCAAAAAGTATTACCAAACGAGCCTGACACCTGTCCTGCGGTGTTAAATAAATTTCCTGTGTTGCTTTTCGTAACCTTCTTTATTAACAAATGTTGCAACAGAGGATCTTGCACAGCTCAGGTTTCCAGTTCATTGTGATTTCACATCCATGGCAGGAGATTAATACTGAGCTGTGTTTATCGTCACAAGTAATAATAATACTTGCATTGGGAAATTTTGGTCATCCGGGTGTCTGACACACGCAGAAACCCGTCACTGTATCGAAACCAAACTGAGAATTCTGCGCATTCCCATCTACACGTGGAATTTCCAGAGATAGATCGTTGGAATGGAATGCGCTCCCTGTTCCTGGAATGACGCATCCTGTTTACCTCATCCCCAAGGCTCGGGGACCCCCGTCTGTGCGTTGGGGTAACTGCTGGAGTTGAACCAGCTAGAACCACTTGGCTTGACATTGAGAGCCCTGTCCGGTGGAAGGAAATTCAAGCCCTCTGAGATGCCGCCTGGCATGACGGGCGCTATATAAACACAAGCTGTGGGTGGCTGGCGACTTGGCACAAGCAAAGCCATGTGTCTGTGAGACGTGCGGGGTGACTGGCTGACTGTAACGCTCACTGAGGGACTGGGAACCTGGAGTTTCTGGGAAGGAAGTGCTTGTGTGCCACAGCTACTTATAGCACGCCTGACAAATCCGAAAGCACAGACCACCACCACCACCTGTTTCTAACCAAAGAGGCTAGAAGCCAGCCAACCTGGCATTAACCTTGGCTCCCCGGCCGCCCGGTCAGCTGAACGTTAAAGGTCCGATTCCTGACCGACAAACCACCTCCCCACCACCACCCCCAACCATCCTCAGCTCCGCATCAGTCTTTGTGGAAGGGCTTTGTGGAAATTTACTGTGAATTGCGTATTTTGCAGGAAAAGTAATGATTTAATTGGTGGAACGTCCAATGCGAAGGGTGGGGGAGTGGGAGGAATCCAATGCCATTGGGAAATGTGCCGGGTCTCACTGCTGCAAATCTCTAATCCCGGTCTCTTCCTGGTTAGTTACAGGAGGGTCAGCTGATTGTCCGGCACTTCCAGTACCTGCGATGGTCGGCCTACAGGGACATCCCCGAATCCAGGAAGTCGTTCCTGCACCTGCTCAAGCAAGTTGAGAAATGGCAGACGGAATCCGGAGACGGAAGGACAATAGTTCACTGCTTGTGAGTGGCCGAGTGTGAGAGTGAACTAACAGCCTCAGCCCAATACGAAGCACCGGCGACATTCACACGGTGACGTCTACACGGCCTTTCACGTCGGGAGGACGTCCCAAAGCGCATACCGATCATACAACGACGACTTGCACTTACAGAGCGCCCTCCACACAGGGTAGCGTCTCAGAGCGCTTCTCTCGTGGCTTGGCACCCGAGCTGGGGAATGGCAGGGGTGGGTAGTTAGTGAAAGGATGAGATCAGATGGGGGTCAAATGGCTTTCTTCATCCGAACTCACCTCCTGAGTAACTGGGCGCTCCGAAGCTCGAAAAGGATCTATTGTAAGGGTTTATCTGCGGGATAAACCGAAAGTAACTCCGGAGGTAGATGGAATAGAATCTATGTGACTATGACTGTGTAAATCTAAGCGTCTGTGAAACTGTGCGTCACTAAATGAAAGGCGGGATGTGACGATGACCCCCGTGACGTGTCTGGTTTCAGGAACGGAGGGGGCCGCAGTGGGACTCTCTGTGCCTGTACCATTATCCAGGAGATGATCAGATACCAGAAGATGGTGGACGTTTTCCACGCCGTCAAGACATTGCGCAACAACAAGCCAAACATGGTGGAGTCCCCGGTGAGTGGGTGGAGGGGTGGGGGTGGGGGGTGGTGGTGGGGGGAGGTGGGCTTGCTTTGGTCAAGCCGGGAACACCAGCTCCAGCGTCAGGATGAAACGCAGGCTTCGGCCAGGTAGAATTCGAGGGCCTGCGAAGCCCGCCCACACTCAGCGACCTCTCTCCCCGCTGTTTAATGACATTTTGAACGGCAATTGAGTTTGAAACGAGTCTGGCAGCCTTTACCGCGGCATCCATCAGTGTCCTCCCCAACTCCACACAAACCCACTGGAGCCTGAATGCTGACATTCAGCCTCGCTGATGTTCCAACGGCCTTGACTGGAACATGATTATTTTAATCAAGGTTTTTTTGTGTGTGTGTGTGTGTTTGGGAGTGGGGGGGGGAATCTCCTGACGGTTTAACCATTTCACGCTCGACGCGGCAGAAAACGCCTTTGTGCTCTTGATGCAAAGCGGAGTGGGGGCTCGGACGTCAGAGGACACGAGGTGGTGGCAGTACCTGTGTCGGGAATGTTTCGGGAGAGAGAGGAGGAGAAAGAGAGAGGGAGGGAATGAAAGGAGTGAGAGAAAAGGAGAGAGTGAAAGAAAGAGTGAAAGATGAAGACGAGTGTGAAAGAGAGTGTGTGAGAGAGAGTGAGTGAGTGTGTGTGTGTGTGTGTGTGAGAGAGAGAAAGAGTTTTTAATAAAGAAATATTTCACACAGCAGCTTCTGAGCTCATCAAACCGAGTGTCTCTTCTTCTTAGAAGCTGTGACTTCTGAGCCCATTTATTTTAAAACCTGACTGTTCTTTTGGCGGAAATTCAATCTGCTAAAATGCAACATGTGCGAGAAAGCTTGTTAAAGGTGTGAAGTTGACACACTACTGCGGTGCTCTGGATATTGCTGGAGCTCTCTGCCATCACGCGGGTCCTTTTAACCCCCTCGACACCAGCTGATTGAGAAGCACGGAAGGAGTGTAAGCTTCTACACTCACTGCGGAGTCCACCCCCATTCCGCCGATATAATTGACTGCAGTTTTAACCTAAGAACGCACCCGCTTTAACAGCGGCTTTGCGACGTCTCAGCAATGTCCGAGTCGTGTAGCTCAGGGGTTAGAGCAATTGCCTCGCAAGCAAGAGACCCGGGTTTGATTCCCGGGCAGGGGGCAAAACCTTGTTTGCCTAGCAGTAAGTAGGAACCTGGTCGTTAGTCGATTGGCGGATCGCTTTGCCGGGAATAATAATTTGTTCGAACAAATAATAATAATAAAATTGGTCACTTCAATCCGCAACTGTTTGCGGGACACTGCTGTGCGCAATTGGCTGTTGTGTTTCGCCCACAAAACACTTTACAGTATATTGTGTGAAGCGCTTGGAGACGTGTCGAAGACGTGATAAGGCGCTGTATGAAATGCAAGTATTATTATTATTACTATCACTACTTATAATCCCTCCGCTTTGTGTTATTACAGGAACAATACCGCTTTTGTTACGACACGGCCCTCGACTACCTGGAGAGCCTGGAAGCGAGATAGCGCCGTGTGGTCTGGGGCTGAACGGAGTCAATACGGGGGGGGGGGGGGTTGGGGGTAGAGGAGGAGGGGTGGGGTGGGGGGAAGGAATGGCCAGCGGTGACACCGACCCTCCTGACCACCCACGCACACGCGCGCGCTCACACACACACAAACGCACAGGCGTGTGCGTGCCAGTCCGCAAGCTCAAGCTCTACTAATGGGGACAGCAGATGCAAAAAAAAAATGAACAGACTCAAAGAAATAGTCTGTTTGACCCTTGGGATGCCAACCAACGGGACGCCATAAGCGCTCAAGCGCGAGAGTGAGACTGATTCCCCCCCCCATAAAAGGAAACGAGGCGGAGGGGGCACTTGGAAAATGACCAGGGAGGCAGTCAGGGATTAAATGAATGGCCTGAGGTGCACAGACTGAGCCCCCCCCCCACCCTCCTACCCCCCCATCCCACCCAACCACACACGCACGCGCGCGCACACACACCCAGCCTGGGCACGCTGCGATTTACGGCTGGGCAAACGGGTCCAGTTCGCCCGCATCAGTGAGCTTCAGCGAACTGGACGGGCACGGTTTGGATGGCACACAGAGGCAAACGGACCGGAACGGAGGAAAGAGACGAGCAGAACTTTATTAAAGACCGACCGGCAAAAGGGTTTATCAAACACTATATTTTTGATGAGTTTCCATTAAGGGCTTGGCAGTTGAATATAAATATACAACATGCCCTTTCAGTGTAATATACCGACCGAGGATGTGTGTTTTTTTCACCGTTGAAACTCTTTAAACCCTATGCATTTAATCGCTGTACACTAATACCGGCCAATGTTGTTTTTTTTTTAAAAAAGCAAAAATCTCGATTTTTTACATCACAGGTGAATTATACTACAAAATAATAGGACTTTCTCACACGCTGAAGTGAAAATTGTCATCTGTTAATTATACTTGTAAAGCATTGACGGAGATAAAAAAAAACTCATGTTTTTCTTTCTTTACACACGCTCTCTCTCTCTCTCCTTTTCGTTTATTTTTTGATTCGGGGGAGTGGGGGAAGAAGAAACCTCGCCCAAAAAACGAGCGACTGAATAAAAACCGTGCTGTCGTTTTGAAATAAACTGTAAAAAAAAAATGCAAATTTTAATCGGTCGCTTTAACACGAGGTTCAGGAAAGAAAATGATTAAGAAATCGCGAATTTCTCTTTTCCTATCGAGCGCGAGCTGTTCACCGCGGTGCGTTGCTTCCGCCTCGCGAAACCGTGGCGTTTAAAAAGCGAGACGCGGCAAGAAAAGAAACCCCCAAAAATTACTGTGTTTTTTTTTTTCGCTCTCGAAAGTGCACATTTTAAAAAAAAGAAATAAAAAAACTTTTAAAACGCAGGATTACTTTTTTTTCTAACGGCTTGGAAATATATCCTAATGATCCTCGCGTTTGATACGGCACCTTTGCGCGTCGTCGAGATATCTCGAGTTGCTTCACAGGAATTTACTGGTAAAGCAGATAGGATTCCTCGCTTGACTCAGCCCGAGGTGGGAGGGGTGGACCGACAGCTTAAGACACTGCAAACTTTTTAAAACTTTTTTTACTGTTCCTCTTTTCACCCATTCATTACAACTACAACAACAACAACTTGGATGTATATCGCCCCCTCCACGTCGGACGGCGTCTCAGAGCGCTTTACAGTGACGGATCCCGGGGCCGAGCCCAGGGGGGGAAGGGGAGGGAGGGGGGGGGGGGGGGGGGGGCGAAGGTGACCAAAGGTGCGGTCGAAAAGAAAGTCTTCAGCAGAGACCTGAAAATGGGAAAGGAGGGAGCGAGACAGTTCCAGAGCCTCGGGGCGTAGTGGCTGAAGGCGCTGCCGCCGAGGGTGGAGCGGAGGACTCAGGGGACGAGGAGGAGGCCAGACCCGGAGGAACGGAGGCAACGGGTACTGTGCTGAGGAGAGAGGAGGTCAGAGAGGTCGGGGGGTGCAGAGGAGTACAGGGACTTGAATACGAGGGTGAGGGTCTTGAAGTCGATCCTCTCTGGGACAGGCAGCCGGTGCAGTCTGGCCAGGACTGGGGGGGATCGGGGAACGGGTGAGATTGCGGGCGGCAGAGTTCTGAATGAGTTGGATTTTATGGATGGCAGTGGAGGGGAGGCCGGCGAGGAGGGCGTTGGAGTAGTCCAGCCGAGAGGTACAAAGGCACGGACCAGGGTTTCAGCGGCTTTTGGGGAGAGGTATTGGCGGAGGTATTCTAGTTTATCCGTTCCCATTTCTTTCCGCCCTTTTGATGTATATTCCACGCAGCGAGACATTGCTGCTGTGCGCGATTGGCTGCCACGTTTTGCACACAAAATATGCAGTTAATTCACTTTACAGTATATTCTGCGAAATGTTTCAAGACGTCGAGAAGACGTGATAAGGCGCTGTATCAAATGCAAGGATTATTATTGTTATAAGGTCAATCCATGAGCCTGTCCAGCGTCTTGGGGCATCTTCCAACATGGAAGGTGCTATTTAATGCAATTTGTTGTTGTTGTTTGTGCCTTTCCTCCCCAGCACATCCCTTAATAATGCCTCAGTGACTCCCGAGATCCCACCATTTCTTCTCTGTGCCTCTGAGGACCTGTACTTCGGATTCTTATTACCCGGTGCGAAATTTTCACGGATTTTCAATCCCTGAAGATTTCTTCCCCCCTGACCCCTTCTTTGCCCCAATTTTCGAGTGATTGTAAGGATCTTCCAACCAGATGACCTACCGGGGGAAACGTGGTGGGGGAATGAAGTCACCTCCATTTCCTTGGGGAGGTGACCGTCTCAAAAGCGCTTCGCGGGGTTCTACCGAAAAATGTGGTGACTGTGAAGTGTAGCGACTGGATTTTGTGGGTGACGTTGCAACCATTTTACGCACAGCAAAATGCCACAAACAGCCATGAAGCGAGAGAGTGACTTTACTTGGAGGTGAGGGGATTGTCGGCCAGGACGCTGGGAGAGAGAGACTCTCTTTTCCAACAGCGCTGTTGGATTATTTAACGTCCGCCTGAACAGGGAGCAGACGGGGAGTGAGGTTTAACGTCTCAGTGAATGGTAGCGCCTCTTGACAGTGTAGTGCTTCCCTCCATCACTGCCCTGGTGTGGAACCCACAAGCCCTGAGTCACGGCAAAGAGTGTGAGCGAGCGAGCGAGCGGGCGAGTCAAGCTGACTTACAAGAAGTTATAATAAAGACGCAAACAAGCTCACAGCTTGACCTTGTCATAGAGCGAAAGGGCGAATCTGAGGGGAACAGGCAAACGACAGAACTGGTGGAAAGAGGAACCGAAAAAGAGTAAAAATTACCGCTGCATGTTTCTCGACGTGTTCCTGGCTTTCAAAATAAATTGTGGGTTTTGGACCGTGAGTCCAGCGAAAGAGCATCTCAACTAAGCGCGGAGGGGAGGACCTTAAAGCACGGTAAGTATTAAGGTTGGATTTAAAGATGGATAAAGGGGTGGGTGGGGGGGGGGGACGGAGGAAGGAGGATGGAATTCGATTAAAATGGAAGGAAAAATGAGATTGCTCACTCCCTTGACAGGAAGCTCCGTCATCCCGACAGATACCCTTTCACTTGCCCTTCCGTTACCTCCGCAGGGACTCGCATCAACTCGCAGGCTGTCCTGCAAGACCTTCCAATTCCAGCCAAGGCTGTGGATGAGTTGGAAAACGAGTTATTTTCCGCTTCTTTCTCCTACCAATTCTCTTGTTTATCTGTTCCCATCTGCTCGATTGAAACGTTCAAGGCTGAGGTGGACGGATGTCCGTTAGGTCAGGGTAACGAGGGTTACGGAGCAAAGGCGGGTAATTGGATACGAGGTACAGATCAGCCATGATCTTATAGAAAGGCGGAGCAGGCTCGAGGGGGTGAATGGGTTTACTCCATCACCTCGCACCCTTTCGATCTATAACAACAACAATAATAATAGTCCTTGCATTTGATACAGCGCCTTACCATACGGTTGAGAGCACAGGCAGGAAGTGAGGTTTAATGTCTCAATGAACGGCAGCACAACTTGACAGTACAGTTCCCCTTACACCACAAACCCTGAATCAGGGCAAAGAGTTTGAGTGAGCGAGCGAACGAGCGAGTCAGGCTGACTTTCGGGAAGTTATAATAAAGGCGCAGCCAAGCTCACGGCTTGACCTTGTTATAGCGCAAAAGGACAAAGCCGGGAGGGAACAGACAACCTACAGAACTGATGGAAAGGGGAACCGAAAAAGAGTTTTAAAAATGGATCGAGGCAAGTTTCTGGACAAGTTTCTGGATATTAAAAGGGCTTATGGGTAACCCATCTCCCCCACAAAATATACAGTCATTTCACTTTACAGTATATCCTCTGAAGCGCTTTGAGACGTCTCGACCACGAGAGTAAGGCGCTGTATCAAAGGTAAGGATTTTTATTATTATTAACTCTTCCCTCCACAAGCTGCAGATTATTCAGAACCGCAGCTCTCACATTAGGGGAGAGGACCTGAGGCCATTCAGCACCTCGGGACTTCCTCCCGACATGAAATGCGCTGTATAAGTGCAACTTGTTGGAATCATAGAGTCTTACAGCACAGAAGGAGGCTATCCCATTAGCCCCACTCCCCTGCTCTTACCCCATTAGCCCTGCAATTGCTTTCCTTTTCAAGTTCATATCCAATTCCCTTTTGAAACCTGCTACCGAATCTACTTTACACCCACAAAATATCCAGTCAATTCACACGACAGTGCATCCCGTGAAGCGCTTTGAGGCGTCTCGAAGACGTGATAAGGCGCTGTATCAAATGCACGGATTAGTATTATTATTATTTCCCCCGCAGTGCATTTGAGGAAGGAGGGGAGAGACGGGGGTAAAAGCCAGAGGGACTAGGATGGGTGGCATTTCATGTGGGGAATAAACCCAGGCGCGGACTGGCCGGAGGGGGCGGGTGGATGGAGAAGGGCCTGTCTGTGCTTCTCTCGAGCTCTCTCGGTGGCCCTGCACCAGCTCCACAGCCTGCAAACAGCTGACTTGCAAAAGCAACGAGCTCGTCGGAAGGACGTACAGTGAGGATAAACAAGAAAAATGGGAAATAATTGGTTCGAGTTGGTAGCAACCTGTTCCCATTACGCAGTGATAAAAGCAGAAGTGAAAACAACTTGGGTCTAATTCATCAGCACTTTTCATTAGGGGGAGAGTTACTGGATCTCAGATGAACAGCAACAACAACTAGCACGTAACCAGCAGCTCTCAATACGTCTCAAAACGCTTCATCATAATAATAACCCTTTGCATTTGATACAGCGCCTTATCACGTCTTCAAGACCTCTCAAAGCGCTCGGCGGAATATGCTGTAACGTGAATTGACTGTTTTTTCTGTGGGAAACCAGTGGGATTGGGGGGAGGGAAATCAGTGGGATAGGTAGGAGGTGGTCAAAGGTGCAAGCAAAACCGAGAGGGAGGGGTGCCGAGTTGTTACGGTCTGGCGCACCGCCTGAAAAGTTGGCGGAAGCAGATTCAATAACAGCTTTCAAAAGGGAAATGGATATGTTATTTAAGAAGGAAAAAATTGCACGGCTATGGGGTAAGAGTGGGGGAGGGGGAAGTGAATGGGTGGCTCTTTCAAAGACATGATGGGCAGAGGGATTTAAGGGTTGAGCTCCAAGACAACAGGGCAACAAAGCATTTGTAAGCTCACCTGCGGGTGATTTTTTTCCTGCCCAGTGTAGTGACCGTGTATTTGTGGGGCCGTGATAAGGCCCTCTATCAAATTGCAAAGAATATCGTCATTATTTCTGGGATCTCCATGTGTAGGTGAGATGCTCAGTTAGGTTTGGATACGCTTAAGCTTGGTGATAGCTTTCCGCGGGGATTCGACACCCGGCTGACCAAAAATAATTATATCCTGGTTACCTGGCCCAAAACACACCAGTTAATCATTGACTCTATGATTTTTTTGTATAAAATACTCTAGTGTATGAGGTATTTGCTAGAAAATAAACAATCAATCACTGATTAATAATTAATGTTTGGAGATGTATTGATGTCCACAGGAATTAGTTTCCAACGAGAACGGCAACAAATTGCATTTATGCAGCGCCTTTCACGTCGGGAGGTCAAGGTTCTGGACAGTGAGAGGTTTGCACTCGAGCTGGGGGTTGGGATCAGAGAGGGGTGGAGGGCAAGAGGGGGAGAGGGGGGAAGATGACTGAAGGCGCGTTCGAAAATGAAGGTCTTGAGACAGGCCTTGAAGGAGGCAAGGGAGGGGGCGAGGCGGAGGGGCTCCAGGATGTCCAGAGGATGGGGGCAGAAAGGCTGAAGGTCCTACTGCCGATAGTGGAGCGGGCAGGGCGGGGGACATGGAGCAGTCGAGTGTCTGCAGAGCGGAGGGAGTGGACAGGTTGGTGAAGTTTTATTAGGTCGCAGAGGTAGGGAGGAGCCATAACCCCATTCCCCCAGTTTCCAAACCACCCCACCATCCTTCCCCTACACCCCCTAACTTTCCCCCCACTTCCCCCCCCCCCCCGCCTAACTTCCCCCATTTGCTCGCATGTGGCTTAGAGGGTATAAAAGAAAATTAGTAGACATCTTTTGAGCCGAGTTGTGGACAGGATAAGGCAACGGACAGATGCGTGGTTTGTGGGTTACCAGTCATTTTTGGCAAAGTTTTAAAAAATATAGACTTCCTCACAAGGGGTGTCACTTCCTTGTCAAATGAATCACATTTTTACTCTCGCTCTCTCTCTCTCTTTCTCTCTCTGTCTCCGTGTCATTCTCTCTCTGTCGTTCTCGCTCTCGTTTCATTCCCCCCGCCCTCGTCTCTGGTGCTGTGTCATCCTGGTTGATGATTGAGCGCTCACATGCAGCTGTACATATATTTGCATAGCTTAAAAAAACAGAAGACCTTGTCACCAGAGACGCTGCTCGGAGGGTGGTGGTTAGAGAGGTGACACTTCAGGGTTATGAGCGCCTCGGGCTGCTAAGCTGCCGAGCCACCAACGAGGACGTGAATCGCGAGCCGTGCGACTCGATGGCAGACTCGCAAATCATCTCCCTGCAGGACTACGTCTGCGACTTGGATCTCTCCACGCTCCCGCGGATCCTGGAGATCCACTCTGGAGTTTACTTCCAAGGTACGTCCCGGTGGGAGCTGTGTTGGGGCGGCGGGTTGGAGTTGGGTGGGGGGTGGGTTGGGTGGCAGTGGTTGGGTGGGGTGGGGGGAAGCAAATTTCGTCCACAAAACGACTGTCAACTCGCTTTACAGTGTAACCTGTGAAGCGCTTTGAGTCGTCTCAACAACGCGATAAGGGGCTGTATCAAATGCAAGGATCATTATTATTATTATTACTACTATTATGTACATTGAGCTGTTGTGTAACTGCAAGTTGTTGTCGCTATTGTCGTCATTAAGAAACAAACGAGAGAGAGAAAGCCAGGAGGAACCGCGCTGCAAACATCTTGATGCCTTTTGTCGGTCGGCAAATGTTTGCACAATTTTCTCTTAATTACCTTTAACTTCACGACCCGACTTTCAAAATAATCGCCTCTGGGGGTGGGGGCGGGGGGGGGTTCCCTGCTCTGCAAAACCCTCTCCGAAAAGTCTCTCTTTGCCCCAGAGCTTTAGTCAGTGCCCTTAAACTCCCTCCTCATCTCTGTCTCTTCAAGTAGCTTGTGTCCATGAAAGGCTCTGTGGACAACGTGTGACTGTTTGGTTCACCTTGGTGCGAGCTGAGCACTGTGTTTGCTGATGCTTTTCGGGGCGACATTGGCGGGAACAGCGCTGGCGGTCAGGCTATCTCGAGACTGGGCTCCCCCTCTGCTCCCTCGGAATTGAGTCAGTCCTCTGTGGTGGTCTCTAGTCCGGTTACTGAGCCAGACGGGCACGTAGTGCTCCAGGAACATTGCTAATTGACCACACAGCCAGCCTGGCTCATCGGCAGGTCTTGGAAGAGCAGACCAGATACTGGGGGCAAGGAATCTTCCCACTCAGCTCTTGTTAACCCTACATGCCAAAGCCCTAACGGGTAAGGTGGTTGGAGCTCGGCAACCAGCGGGAAAGCTTGCCAGACAGCGATATCAATGGCAAGCTGTGTGACTTTAGCTGGTTAGACTTCAGTAGTTACCCCAATGCACGCGCTCTGGAGTCCCCAAGCCACCCTCGCTCTTGCCAACCTGCGCCAAATTCATTACAAAGATAGGTAGAAAGAGAGAGAGAAATGCAGAGAGTCTGAGAGAGAGAGAAGAGGGGTAGAAGGGAGAGAGAAAGAGAGCGCCTTGATTTCCATGTGTAGGTCACTCAATCCACGGCTGTTTGTGGGGACGCTGCTGTGTGCAATTGGCTGCCGGGTTTCACCCACATAATATACAGTTAATTCACTTTACAACATATTCTGTGAAGCGCTTGCAGACATCTCGACGACCTGATAAGGCGCTGTATCAAATGCAAGGGTTATTATTATGACAATTATTATCATTATTTATGATGATAGGTGGAATGCATGGAATTCTCAGTCCCGGCCGACCAAAAAATAACGGATAGGGGAGAGTTGTCACCCGGGAAAGATTGTGTTCGGTCTAATTTGTAATAAGGGGAAGGGCAGAGTCTCCGACCCTTCGGTTTCCGCACAGGTTTCAGTGCAAATAAACTGAAATGAGTCACAAAAGCAGCGTTGCCTGGAACAAGATGTTCAAAGAAATTCGCCCACTTTCGCTTCCTGTGATTTCAGGAATTGCGATCATTGGCAATGAGATCATGTCCAATCACTCACAACTTGTCAACCACGACAACAGCAAACCTATGTGCGTAACAGCGCCTTTCACATCGGGAGGATAATAATAATAATATAATAATCCTTGCATTTGATAGAGCGCTTTTCACGTCGGGAGGACGTCCCAAAACGCTTCACAGAACACACTGTAAAGTGAATTGACTGTATATTTGGGGCGAACGCGGCAGCCAATTGCGCACAGCAATGTCCCACAAACAGTCGTGGATTGAAAATGACCAATTTATTATTGTTTTTGGTTTTGGAGGGATTATTATTAGGCTCTGTGTGGAGTAAGGAAACTTGCCCAAGGTTTCGCCCTCTGCCTGGAATTGAACTCAGGTCTCTCACTTGGAAAGCGAGTGCTCTAACCACTGAGCTACAGGACTCCACAAGGATGTCCCAAGGCGCTGGACAATCAGTGTCTCAGAACCAGATTGACTCTCTCTTCTCTCTAACCCCTTCTCTCTCCCCCACCACCCAACCCCCCCCCCGCCCCCCCTCACCTCCCTCTTCCTCTCTCTCCTTCTCCTCTCCTCTCTCTCAGGCTCTCTGGATTCCTCTCTATCTTTCCCTCTCCTCAACCTGCTTTCAGCAGAAATGTTCCCGCGAGTGAGAAGCTCGTGGGTTCACACCCCTCCCTCATCCCCCCACCCCCACAATCCCCCCACTCCCGTCAAGTCACGAAGGCCAGGCTTAGGGCAGAACTGGGAGAGGGGTGGGGTGGGGGGGGGGCGTAGGGTGCAGGGAGCGCTGCATTGTCAAAGGTGCCGTCCTTCGATGAGACATTAAACATGTCTTGCTCGCTTGTTGACACTGTTCAAAAAGAGAACGAGTTTCTACCCCCCCACTCCCCCACCCCCACCACCGATAAAATCACTCATTATCTTTGCGACTGTTTGCGGGGACGTGACTGTGTACAAATTAGCTGCCGCTTTTGCCTGTAACCTACACGGTCACCGCACTTTAGAGCTTCGAGATGTGTCCCCATATGAACGTCACACAGGAATTCAGTTTAACACTCCAGATTAATAGCTCCGACATCGCAGTCACCCCTCTCTTGCCCTCCTCAGTGTTGGACCTGATAGTGAAACTGGAACTCCTGTCAACAAGTTATCTCTTATGGTTCCCCTGTTTGCAGTAACAGTAACGCACATCATGTTGTTAAGCGTGTGGGGCTCCCAGAGCAATATTTGTGGAATTGTGACTACTTACTTGCTGCGATACAGCAATAAAGACACCGCACTAAAAGCACCGTGCAGCTAAAGGCAGCTATTATTTATTCCAAGTTTCCTTAATCCGCGCACCTCCTGGTTACCCAGAGCAGTAAGTGGGAGCCCGGTTGTTAGTCGATTGACAGATCGCTTTCCCGGGGGTAACAATCCCCTTTGTAAAAAAAAATAATAATATTTTGGTCACTCAATCCACAACTGTTTGTGGGACATCGCTGTACGCAATTGGCTGCCGTGTTTCGCCCATAGTCGATCCACTCGATAATATATTCCGCGAAGCACTTTGAGAGGTTATAAGTTGCTATATTAAATGCAGGCATTATCATTAATAGTAGTATTATTAATATTACTATTATTATTGTCACCGCTTTGAAACGTGACACATCTGTACACACAACGTCAGCGCAGGTTAAGATGAGAGGACAGGTGGAGTTAATCTTGATCTTTACCTAACCAGAGGCGTGTGGAGTAAGGAAACTTGCCTAAGGTTTCGCCCTCGGCCGGGAATCGAACCCGGGTCCTCTCGCTTACGAGGCGAGAGACAGCTGACCACTAGGCTGACCACTGGGGGGGGGGGAGGTGGGGGGGAAACTGATCCGCCTGAAGCCGGAGCTGACAGCGAATTCTCAACCGTTCTCTTCTCTTCTCCCACAGGATCCGTCTACGAAATTTCGGGAAACGAGTGCTGTTTGTCGACTGGCGACCTGGTCAAAATAATCCACGTAGAGTTGCAGAAGGTGACGTGCGAAAACGCGGAGATCGGCATGACCTATGACCTCCCGCCAGATCTACCCGGTACGATCCGTGACTTTATAATCGCTCCCATTTTAACCCGTCGTGAAAGTCATTCTTAGGAGGCTCTTCAGCAGCAGCAACAGCAACTCGCTTTATATAGCGCTCTTCACCCAGGGCTGTATATGTTTGTCTTGTGTGTGTGTGTGTGTGTGTGTGTGTGTGTGTATACCTGTTTTGTGTGTGTGTGTGTGTGTTGTGTGTGTGCGCGTGTGTCCGTGTGTACCCATGTGTGTCGAGCGTGTGTCCGTAGCGTGCATAAGTGTCGCGTGTCTGCTTCCGCTGGAATCCGCTCGGACAATTCTTCCAACGCTTCGTGCATTATGTGAATATCTCACTGAATTCCCCCCCCACCACCACCACCACCACCACCGCCGCCGCACCCCCCACCTTCCCCCCCAACGCCCCTCCCTCCGCCCTCCCCCCAGCACCCCATTCCCCCGGCAGCCAATTTGCACACACCAACCGCCTCGTTCAAGTGTTTGTTCGAAAAATAATGATGTTCAAGGAGAAGGGTACTTCTGTCTCTCTCTCTCTCTCTCTCTCTCTCTATCCACCTGGTTAACAATCCTTTAGATATAATACAACGCCAGGGTTATTGTTGCTATATGTTTGGCGGGACATTGCTGGGCACATCACCACATAACAATCGGCAATACAGGAAACCTCTCCCACAAAAGGGAGTCCTTTTCCACGTGGTTCCACACATCGTTTCTGACGTCTCAGTATTCTGGTGAAGGCAGAGCAGCCGCGGGCGTAGAGAACAAGCCACAAGTTGTGGTCGCAGCCACCTGCATGAGGTTGGAACAACTTGTCTTGATTTGAAGTCAAACGCTCTCTCACCGCATCAGACCGAGTCTTTCACTGCTTTTACCGACTGACCGCGGCTTCCCACGGACTGGATCGTTTCAGCGTCGGATCAATAATCAGACGCCAGCCCTTTCCTGGGTCCTCCCTGCGCTAACGAATCCTCGGGACCATTGTAGGCGGTGCGGGTGGGGCGCGGGTGGTGTGTGGTGGGGGAGATTGGGGGGGAAGGGTGTGTTCGGGGTGTCTGTCCCTCAAATGAGACGTTACTTAACTCTCCATCTGCTTGTTCTTTAGAGGGGAGTCTCTGTCTCTCTCTTTCTCTCTCTCTCATTGCCCTGGTCGACAACCCATCAGAGTAATGGACCATTCATTAATGAATTCACCCACAAAATGCACGCAGTCACTACTGCGCTTTACAGCATAACCTGCGAAGCGCTTTGAGACGTCTCGACGCGGTTTTCAAGCCGCTGTAACGCGGCGAATAATATTATGAGTATTGTTATCCTTGTTATCTCCATCATTCATCTTCCCTGCGTGCATTAAAAACTGTTTGCCTCCAAAAAAGTCACTACACTTCACTTTAAAGAGACGCTTTTCGACACAGAGAAGACAATAAACACGCAGCTTCTTTCATTACAATTTCTCCTTTCTTCTCATTTCTATTCCCGGTAATAACTCTGAGAACACAAGAGTGGTCCCATTTCCCAGTTGCTCTTTATTTCCTATTTCTTTTCCATCTGTATCTCATCTCCTGGGTTTATATTCCACATTAACAAGAAATGCGCTGAAGTAATGGTGTTAATTTTCAACCTTTCTACTTTGTGAAACACATCTTCGGAGCCAGCAGCACATTAGGTATGAATGCATATTCTTTAGCGACTGCACCATCTGTGGAAATCTACGCTTAAAGCGGAGAGCAAACAAACAGGAGGTGCAACAGGGACAAACAATGCGAGTGCTGGAGGCCACAAAATACATAACCAGCTCCCAAGACGGCACTATGTACAATAAAAGATTACATCTGTATAGCGTCTTTCACGTCGGGAGGACATCCCAAGACCCCCAACCTCCGCTATTGGGGAGCGCTGTATTGTCAGAGGCCCTGTACTTCGGATGAGACGTTAAACCGAGCTCCCGTCTGTGCTCGTTAAAGATTAAATCGCTCCAATCGAAAAGAGAAGGGAGTCTGTCTCTCTGTCTCTCTGTCTCTCGCTCTCTCCCTCCCCCGGTGTTCTGGCCACCGATTCCACCAGATAAAATCGGTCACTCGCTTCACAGCTGTTCGTGAGACGTTGCTGCGCGCAAATTGGCTGCCAACCGCATTGGGCCCGGTCACTGGACTTCACAGTAAAGTCCTGCGAAACGCTTTGAGACGTCCTCGCGACGTGAAAGGCTGTCTCTCTGTCTCCGTCTGTGGTCTCTCTCTCCCTCTGCATGTCCACAACTGTTTGCGGGGACGCTGCTGTGCGTACAATCGGCTGCCGCGTTTCGCCCGCGAAATACGCAGCCAATTCGCTTCGCGGTGTATTCCGCGAAGCGCTTTGAGACGTCTCGAAGACGCGATAAGGCGCTGTGTCAAATGCAAGGCTTTCTGTTATCGTTACTTTTATTATTATTTATTCTATACCAGGGACTTTCAAGCTGGCCCCTTGCAGGTCGATTGGAGACATGATGCAAAGGCACGGGGAGCAAGGCTTCGAGGTGGTGTCATTTCAGAGCGCCAAGGATATCCACACACAGGGCAGTGTCATCTGCAAGGGTGACCCCATCACGGCCACAGGTGTCAAGAGCGTCAAGGGACAGATGTTCGCCACCTGCATTGTGGACGGTCTCGAGGAGCAGCTGTACATCAACCTCCCCTTCTCACTGCCCGGGGAGTTTTCCGAGAACCTGGACCAGTCGTTCAGCATCGATGAGATCCTGAGTTCCAAGCCTCTGAGGAGCAAGAGGCTGATCTACGTCGAGATGGAGCACAGGGTCACTGAGAAGTATCTGCGCGGGGATCTGCTGCTGGAACCTGTGTATGAAATACAAGCCATCATGCACTGTGAGTGAGCAACACTTATACTGATGATGACCACAACGATGATAATAATCCTTGCATTTGATACAGCGCCTCATCACCTCGTCGAGACGTCTCAAAGCGCTTCACGGGACGCGCTGTCAAGTCGACTGACTGTGCGGTTTGTGGGCGAAAATTTAATATTAATAATAATGATTATAATAATAAACCTTGCAAACAAAAAGAGAAGCGGCTGGGAACACTCAGCAGGTCAGGCAGCGTCTAAGGAGAGAGGAAAGTGAGTCAACTTCGTCAGAATTAGGGCATGTTGGGAGGGAGAGGCTTTTCAGAGAGGGGGGAGGCAGCGCAAGGGAGGCAAAGGAGAAAATGGGGTAGAGGGAAAGGGATGATGAGTTTCAGCGCCTTGGGACGTCCTCCCGACGTGAAAGGCGCTCTATAAATGTCATTTTGTGGCTGTTGTTGTTGTTGTTAAAGAGGTGTTAATGAGGTAAAAACAAAGCGGGGTGGGGGTGCGGGGTGCAACAAAGCAGGGGAATAGAGGTGTTAATACCGCAGAACAAAAAGTGTGTGCGGTGGGGTGTTGGGGTTTGGAAATAACTTGCAACAAAACAGGCAGGATATCAAACACAAGAGGGGAAACCGATAGCAAAGCAGAAAAACAGGGTAAAGGGGAAGAACTTCGAGGCGGGTTATTCCGAGAAGAAAAGCAGCGTTGCACTAAATACAAACAAAAAAAAAAACCCAAAGCACTGCAGATGCTGGAAAGCAACCCGAAAACAAAAAGAGAAGTCGCCCGGTTCTGTTTTGTTTGATAATAAACCTCGCATTTTCGATGCGCTTCGCGGGATTTTCACCCTCAAGCGTCGGCGTCTCGAAAGGCGAAGCGATTCTGAGACGTCCTCCCGACGTGATGAGGCGCAGTATCGAACGCACAGAGAGTTTGTTCGTTCTTAACGCTATTCAACGTCTTTGTTTAAAATTTTAAATCCCCCAAATTTAATCGATTTCAAAAAATCCGAGTCCGATGGATCTTAAAATCCGATTATACCCCCCCCTCCCCCACGCCGCCAAAAAAAAATCTGAATTTTCTTCCCTCCTTCTCCTGCCTCTCTTTCTCTCCGCGCAGTGCGGAAGAATATCGTGAAGATCCCGTCGAACCTGGAGGTGGACGTCAGCGACGTGTCCGAGGAGCAGAAGGAAGTCACGTTCATCAAGCCTCTCTCGCTGCTCGACCTGATGAATGAGCCGCAGGACACATTTCCCGCCGCGGTCGAGATCCTGGACTCCCCGGGGCTCCTGGCCCCCTACAAGGACGAGTGGACCCACTGCCTGAGAAAGGGGGCGCTCCTCACCGTGCACAGCAAGCAGGTGACCAAGAAAATCCTGGCCACCTCCATGAGCAACAAGGTGAGCCAGCATTTCCTGATCTCTTCCATGTACAAGGGCATGTTCAGGAGGAGACCCAGGGAGTTCCACACCACCTTCGATCTCTGCAACGCCGTCAGCTCCGAGGCTCCGCTTCACGTTGTGGTGACCAGAGACTGCATGAGCAACGAGGACGATCAGGTGTCCCTCTGCGTGGGAGAGCGCCTGATCGCGTTGGCCAAGACCACCGCTAGAGTGGTGTCCTGCGGGGTCCCTCAAGACATCGACGTCCTGGTTTGCAACAAAGTCGAGGACGACGAGGACGAGGAGGGGATGGTCGAGGAGGTCCTGCTTCCCTGGTACCTGGAGGGACGGTTCGTGGAGGAGATCCGGGACAATAGGAAGTATACCATCTCGGAGATCTGCGACGGATTCAACTTCCCGTTCGAAGTCAAAGTCACGGTGAAGGACCCGGCTTTCAAGATCGACCCCTTGAAGCCGTTCCCGGCCATCAAGCTTGAGGAGAGTATCCTGGTGCCCACCCTGCTCGTCAGCCTGGCCGAGAAGCCTTCAGACTCTTTCTTCATCCCGGTCGAGTGGATGTCTCTGTCTGTCCAGCTCCTGGCGGAAAGGCCATCAGAGGACATCGCTCCCACCCATGTGGCCTCGGTGGTGGAGCTGACCGAATCAATGTATTACGACCTGCGCAAGTGCTCCAACTTAAGCTCCTGCCCTCCGCCTCGCCCTCCAAAGAGAGCATCCAACAAGATCCTCCCTGCGACCTCCACTGCCACCAGCCCTCCCTTCCCCAAAGCCCCAGGACGACAAACCTCCTTTGGTCCCCAGAGTAAGAACGTTTTGAATTATCTTTGAAAGAAACAAATTGTATTTCGACGCTTTCCGCGCTGATAGTGCAGTGATAACGGTCCTCGCGGTTGTTATTATAGCGCCTTATCGCGTGGTCGGGACATCTCAGAGCGCCTCACAGGATTTGCTATCGAGTGTAGTGACTGCGTATTTCTGTAATAGGTGAGGTATAACTTTCTAGACTAGAGCATTACTTCTGGACAGTCACTACTTTAAACGGAGTAAAAACCTTCTATACAGAGGTTATTCTGAGGACACGGAAAGGAGAGCGTGCGGGCGTGAATCCGCGCAAGTGCACAGTCACTACACTCGCCAGTACATACACATACATGCACACAAGACGTTGCGACAATACCTGTGAATCGCTTCAACATTGCGGGTGGTATATTCAAGGTTTGTTATTGAAGACTGATCGATGGATAATTTGATTGATAAATTGATTGATGTAAAAGATAAATTGTTGGACAAGAGGGTTTTCACACATCCACTCTACAATGATTAGTTTTATCCTCTGTTCAATAAGATAGATGTCTTTTCTCCACTGACAGTTAAAGACAGTGAATTGTGTTGGAGTTTGGTTTCACAGGAGAGGAACGGTTTTAGTGAGGACTCCACCCACACACACACACTCGTGCATATGCACACACACACATATGTTCACACGCACGCACACACACACGCAAACACTCACACCCACCAAAATACGCGCGCACACATACATGCACGCATACACACCCGTGTACACACACCACAAGCGCGCGTGCACACACGTACGCGCACATACACACACACACACAAATATAGTCAATTCATTCTACGGTATATTCCGTGAAGCGTTTTGAGACATCTCGACGGCACGTTAAGGTGCTGTATCAAATTATTATACACACGCTCACCCACACCAAGATACACACACATACATGCACGCACATACACGTACGCGCACGTGTACCCACAAACACACGCACATAGACATACAGAGTCCGATCGCCTGCTGCTATTATTGCCAAACAAAACCCGAAGCACCGTAAAAAGCAGCAGCAACATTGCTAATGGTGCAAGTGTACGTGTGAATCACTGGCAGCCGAGCTGTTACACACATCAATATGAATGCCACACGGCGCTGGTCCCTACATCATGCGACTGCGGCTGTTGGAACAGACAGTCCGTTCAAAGAGCTCATTACCCATCTTTGGTTTTTGTTTTGGTGGGAAAATATTGCTCGGGGCTAACATTACCATAGTTACTGAGCAACACACCAGGTAACCTGCCCAGTCAAAGTCATCAATCATCACTCCCAAACCTTTCGCTGCTGATAAACCTTTAAACCCGAGAATGACAAGCTGGCTGTGTGCAGCACTTGTAGCGAAGGTTTCATTATACATTGGCTCGGAGCCAGGTGTTACGAGCGCTGCGGTTGATTAAACGATGCTGTGTGATAACTCTGGGCGGAGGGGTTGAGGGAGGAGGCAACGCTACCTGTGGATATGTTGAGTAAAATGCCCCCTTCGTTTGGGGAGTGACAGGGCGTGTGGAGCCGGCCTGGTAATGCCCACGACACAGTTGCCTGAGCGTCAGCCTGGCTCAGTCGTCAGCGTTCTTGTCTCCGAGTCGGCCGGTTGAGGGTTCAAGCCCCATATTGGATTGAATTATATGGATTGAACGACCAATTTTTGAATTTATTTTTGGAGGGATTATTACACCCCAGGAAAGCGATCCGCCAATTGCCTAACAACCCGGTTCCTAGTTACTGGTTAGATAAACAGAGACGTGCAGAGCGAGGGAACTTGCCTAAGGTTTCGCCCTGGAGCCAGGAATCGAACTCGGGTCCCCTCGCTTGCGAGGTGAGCGCTCCAACCACTCCACCGGAATCTCAAGGTTCACAAGTTCTCCTGAAAGTGACAAGGCGGCTCGAATCCAGCCTCGCTGCTTTTTGCCTGAACTAACTTTATACTCGATACAAAAGGCTAAAGCCTCACTGCCTCCCCATGGGGAAGCCAGCACCCCCCCTCTTTGATTAATTACCAAATTGCTCAGTAACTGTGAAGAAGCTTGTGATCAGCACATCTCCAAAATAGCCAATCAACAGCTTAATCTCCACCAGCGACTGATATCTCTTACGGTTCTCTGTAGGCATTTGTCTTTCTCTACGTGGGATTTTTCTGTTCAGGAGCCGGGTTGAGCACGAGAAGAGTGATTATATTCTTTGCCACGCACAAAAAAAATTGTTTCCGCTTGGTGGAAGCTACCTTGCTGAAAGGCTCACACGGAAACGAGCCGTCCAACGTGGGAAAGGTCTTCAAATTAGAGTTCGGCCGTTTAGGAGTCAGACCAGGAAACTTTTTTTTCACCCACAGGGTAGTGGAAATCTGGAACTCTCTCCCCCAAAATGGTTCCTGGATCCATTCAAATTTGTAAGATTGAGACTGAGGTGGATAGATTTTGTGGTAGGTCAGGGTATCAAAGGGGTACTGGGGCAAAGACGGGTGATTGGAGTTGAGGTACAGATCAGCCATGATCTTATACGATGGCGTAACAGGCTCAATGGCCTGAGTTCAATTCCAGGCAGAGGGCCAAACCTCGGGCAAGTTTCCTTACTCCACACAGAGCCTAATAATAATCCCTCCAAAACCCAAAACAATAATTAAATTGGTCATTTTCAATCTATGACTGTTTGTGGGACATTGCTGTGCGCAATCGGCTGCCGCGTTCGCCCACAAATATACAGTCAGTTCACTTTACAGTGTGTTCTGTGAAGCGCTTTGGGACGTCCTCCCGACGTGAAAAGCGCTATATCAAATGCAAGGATTATTATATTATTATTATTACTCCTGTTCCTATGTTTACCTACTGAACTATCAGAGGAGGTGCCGGGTGAGGAAGTTGCAATCAATTAACCATCTTTCCGGCCGTCAACAAGGGGGGAAAAAGCTATAAAATCACAGCCTGATTCGGTTAGCCTCAAGCGTGACAGGGAGAAGCCATGTTGGTATGATTACATTTGCCCCACGTCGCATAGTGCTGCTGTTGCCACAGCAATGACTATTTTCAGCGATAAAGTGAATTCAGCAATATGTCCGCCCCGTATTTGTCCTACCCCAGGCAAAAGCCTTTATTTACGAGCTTGTGGAAAGCCTGTGATCTCTTGAGTTGTTGGCTGGCAGCTGGCTTAGACAGAACGCAAATGCGCTGTCTGCAGATTGATGTTGTTGTGGGTGAACACAGCGCTGGCGAAAGCCAAGTACTAAGTAACAAATTCATTGCGTTGAACCGATTTGGAGCCATGGCCTGGGTTGGAAATAACGCAGCCAAAAAAATTGATGGGGTCGGAACAATGCAACATACCCACAGCTGTCCAGGCGGATGTTAAAGATCCCGCGGGGCTTCCCGAAAAGAGAAGGGAGATTCTCTCTCCCCGTGTCCTTGCCGACCGTCCCCCAAATAAAATTGGTGGCTCACTTCATGGCTGTACATCGCAGGGTGGGTGCAAATTGGCTCCCGTGTTCGCCTGTAAAACACCTAGTCAAACCACTTTACAGTATTATTATTATTATTATATTCTTTGAGCGTTTTGAGAACTCTCTCTCTGGTTACAAGGTGTTTATCATATGCAAGGATTATTGTTATTATTATTATTATTATCATAGAATCATAGAATTATGCAGCACAGAAGGAGGCCATTCGGCCTATTGTGTCTCTGCCCTGCCAGCGCTTTGAAAAGAGCTACTCGAATCAATCCCCATAGCCCTGCAAATTTGTCCTCCACAATAGCAATAATAATTATAATAATAACCATAATAATAATAGACCAACGCTTCTATACGGTCTCACAAACGACATGACAATCCTTGCATTTGATACGGTAAAGGTCGAGGCACCGGTGAGCGAAACTGTCTCGATCGTTATCTCGCGAACAGCAACAGTTAGTGTGGAATGTGTCTCCGAGCTGATTCAATCATCCCACAAGCATTGAACCAACTGCCGTGCCAGTCAGATCGGTTTGGCTCCGACACCACCTGGTGGCTGCCACTATCTTTGCTCAAGCAAAGTTTCGGCAACTAAAAGTTGGGTTGGGTGGTCCGAGGGGGAAAGCTGGCCAGACAGTGCTATCAATGGCAAATGATGTGGTTTTAGCTGGTTGGACACCCGCAGTTACTACCCAATGCCCACTCTGGAATCCCCTCCCCAAGCCTTGGCTCCAGCCAACCTGTGCCTAGTACTTTCCTGGATGAGGTGAGCAGGATTTATCCCTCCAGGGAGAGGAGAGGGGGAGAGAGAGAGAGAGAGAGAGAGAGAGAGAACATGGGACTGAATGTATTGCTCTCTTTCAAAGAGCCAGCACAGGCATGATGGCCAGAGTGACGGTAAATTCTGTGCCGGAAATTTCTCTGCTTCCTGAATCCAAAGATTTCTTCGCGATCTCTGCACACCGCAAACTCGGCGAGGCGTCCAAACCGTTTGCGCGGCTAATTAAAAAAAAGGCTTCCCACGCCCGCAGTAACACGTCCGCTGCGCAGACAGCTCTCGGTTTGACAAGCGAGAGCAACGGTCATGGAGCTAATCCACTTCTTTGTCCTTTTTCTCAGGGATTGTCAGTAAAAGAAAAGCCTAAGGTTGTCGGCGGTGACAAACCATCTTCCTTGCGCGCCACTCCCAATGAATACACAAAGAACCAAAAGGGAAAGAAGACGAAGACCCCATCAAAGTATTTGAAATCTCCTCCTCAGCGTAAGTGTGAACAATATCAACAACAACAGCAAATTACATCTACACACAGTAAAGGATTTTGCACCTGTGCTGATGGTTGGGATCAGGAAAGGTGGAGGGCAGGGAGGGTAGAGGTAAGGAAGGCGATCGAAGGTACGGTCGAAGAGGAGGGTCTTGAGACGGGCCTCGAAGGAGGCAAAGGAGCGGGGGAGGGCGAGGCCAAAGGACTGTGCATGGAGATCCAAAGGGTGAGGGCGGAGAGGCTGATGGTGGGGCGTGCAGGGCTTGGGACGTGGAACAGGCCAGAGAGCGGATGGCACATGTGACAAATGGTTCGAAAAGGCTTCCGAAAATGCCTTGTGCTGTTTCTTCCAGGCCAACGGAGAAAGGTTTCTCCGAACGCAAAATATTGGCTGTCCGCAAATGGGCTGCCGCGTTCGCCTACAAAGTACACTCGGCAGTGAATCCCTGTGAAGTCCTTCGACTCATCTCGGCAACCCGATAAGGTGTTCCAAGATTATTTGCAAACACGAAACGCAAATATTATTATTGTTGAGAATTTCTGGCCTTACCTGGGCACCCAAAGCCTAGAACCTCGCTCCTGTGTAAGTTGACATGCTATGGCTTGTGGATCCATCACATTTCATGAGCTTGTTTCAACAGATGACAAAAGGCACGACTAACATCACCTTTTATGTAACCATAATGACCATGGTCCATTACACCGCATCCTTTATTAAATAGCTTTAAATCTTATCGTCAATCAATTATAGAGTTAGTGCTCTACAGAGGTCCATTAGCCATCTGCCACACCAATGCTCCTGTGGGTTTATAAAGGCTACGTTATTATCCCTCTACCTCCCACCCACCCCCACACACACACACACGCACACACAGCCCCCCCCTCCCACCCCTTGCTTTGGCAAAAGTCCTTTGCAAAGCGACTCTATTCCAACACTATTGTTCGGTCGGAGTGTTAGGGATATGGAGCAAGTTACGGGTAACTGGACTTGAGGTACAAATCAGCCACGATCTTATAAAACGGCCGAACAGGCTCGAGGGGCTGAATAGCCTACTTGTGTTTCTATGTTTCTAACACACTACTGCGTAATAATCTTGTGACTGCACAGTGATTGTCAGACTATTTTGCTATTAGCAGCTTTGTGGCACTGTACAGGTGATCAGCGAGTAAGTAAGAGAGAGAGCGAGAGAGAGGCAGCATCCAGTCAGCGGTTGAACGCTTACATATGTCTGTAACACTTTAAGATTAATGTTCATAATACTACTCTTCGTGATTTGGTTCAGCTGCATGAAGCATCCTAATAATAACCCTCGCATTTCATACAGCAGCTTATCATGTCATTGAGTCATCTCAAAGCACTTCATAGGCTACACTGAAAAGTGTATTTTGTATTTTGTGGAAGAGACGCAGCAGCCAATTGCGCACAGTGGCGTCCCAGCCGTGGGGCGAGTGACCAATTTTTTTTTATTTTGAGGAATTATTGGCCAGGACATTCGAAGAGAGAATCTCCCTTCTCTTTTCGAATAATGTCATGGGATCTTTAACATCCGTCTGAACGGGCAGATGGGACCTCGGTTTAACGTTTCATCCAAAGGACGGCACCTCCGACAATGCAACACCCCCCCAGTGCTGCATTGGGAGCATCAGCTTAGACTATGTGATTCCAAGTCCCGATGTGAGATGAGAGTGCTACAACTGAACCTGACGCACATCCTGATCCCCGTTGGATGATTAAAGATTGCTTAGTACTGTCATTCTGATGGGAAAGACAATTTAGCAAATGGTTAAATTGCAATTGGCTGTAGGGTTGAGAAAGTGTCTTTTCACTTGAATGAAAACAAGGGATATGACCTTTAAAAAAAAAGCCTCATTCACAAATAAAGATTGGAATATTTTTTGTTTAGTAATTTAACTTAATTAATTATAAAATGCGAACTTGATGGACGATACTGGGCCCAGCTTTGCAGAGGCTTTGCATCCTTTAGGATATATCTTATCCGGACAGCTGTGCCCACGGGGCACGTTTATCGAGATGGTTAGCATTCAACTGTGTTTTTCTTTTAATATTCTCTTAAACTCTTCTCTCCAAAGCACTGCCAGTCAAGGAGATTGATGACGATGATGACAGCGATCATGACTATGAACAGATAGAAGACCAATTTCACCTGATGTCTTTGCAAAAGATTAAACCTTGTGCACGACAGAAATAGGTCCAAACAGTGAACAAGCAGGTGAGAGCCAGATCGATCACAGCGCGACAGTCCACACGAGGGCGAACGGCTTAGGAGTGGGGGGGAGAGAAATTCCAACCAGGTCTAGATTTACTCTACTTTCTTAGCAATTTCAAAGCATACAGCGTTTGGCAAGTCCTTGAATCACAGTCAGCATTTTGACACCGTTTTTCTTACAGGTTTCATTTAAGAACCACCGCCTGATCAGAGAGGAAGGTGAGAGATGTTTGCAAGCTTAGTTAGCGCAGGTAGTTATATAAAGGATGTCTTTTGCATTCTGCTAAATTGCATTGAGGTAAGATGGATATTAACATGTAGAACGCTAGATAGGGTAAATTACTAAAGTACTTTATGGTTTCAAACTGACCAAGTGTGATGAAAAAGCATTTGGTATTGCCTGATTAAAAAGCTTACTTTTACCCTTTCCGTTCAACAACAACAAAAAAGTTAATATTCACCCGAAACACTATTAAATACATGTTGATTATGTAGCATTTAACTTAAATGTGAAAAGTGCTTACGTCTCATTACACCAAGAATATAATGGGAGATTCATTAATTCTATTCGCCAAAAGGTCATAGATGGTTAAACATCTACATTAAGATTTTAAGATGTTTTACTGCGTGAGGTGTTTCCGGCTATAAATTAACCCAGAGAAAGAGATTCACAACAAAATAATGCATTTCTTATTGAACCACAGAATCCAACACAAACACCATGTTCACAGATAAGGAGCGTAACAAACACATAAATTATAATACTGCAACATAAAGGAGCCTTGGTAACTAAAGTAAAGTAACTTGGTAAAGTAACTGAAATATTACTTAGAAATGAGTCAGTGGCAACTGTTTATTCATTTGCCATTGTAGAAAAATGTGATGTAGTTCCAAATTATATATAATTCCACTGGATTCACATTATAATATAAATAATAATCCTTGCATTTGATATAGCGTCTTTTGTGGGCGAAACCCAGCAGCCAATTGCGTACAGCAGAGTCCCACAAACAGTCATGGATTAAGTGTCTGAAATTGTTTTTTGGAGGGATTATTACCCCCGGAAAGCGATCCGCTAATTGACTAATAACCGGGTTCCTACTTACTGCTAGGTAAACAGAGGCATGTGGAGTAAGGAAACTTGCCTAAGGTTTCACCCTTCCCAGGAATCAAACCTCAGTCCTCTCGCTTGCATTCTGCAACAAGTGCGTGGGCACCATCCACCTCTCCAAATATATTTTTTAAGATGTTTCCCTAATTTGCAATGAGCTTTATACAAATCTAAGCAACCTTTTTCCTTTCCCAAGAGGCCAATTCCACCAGTTCTGCTCTCATTCCCGACTAGCTCAGCACTGATGGGAATCAATATTCCCTCTCCCGCAGGAGAAAGGACAAATTAATAATAATAATAATAATCCTTGCATTTGATATAGCGCTTTTCACGTCGGGAGGACGTCCCAAAGCGCTTCACAGAACACACTGCAAAGTGAAGTGACTGTATATTTTTGGGCGAACGCGGCAGCCAATTGCGCACAGCAATGTCCCACAAACAGTCGTAGATTGAAAATGACCAATTTATTATTGTTTTGGGTTTTGGAGGGATTATTGTTAGGCTCTGTGTGAAGTAAGGAAACTTGCCCAAGGTTTCGCCCTCTGCCTGGAATTGAACTCAGGTCTCTCGTTTGCAAAGCGAGTGCTCTAACCACTGAGCTACAGGACTCCACATTGGGTGAAGTCCCATTACAGGCGATGTTTTTGCAGAGCCTCTTTTAATCAATGCATTCTTATATCTTAGTCCATTTTTATCAGTTTAACTTAGTGACACATAGTTGATTTTCAGGCCTGGGTAAGCTAATTTTTGACTCAAATGTCTCTAATTATCTTATTGATCCTCAGTTTCTCTGGAGATGGTCCCTGATAAATGAGCCTACCTACTATGTCAGTACTGTAGCCAGACTGTGATGTTCCTCGCTACCCCATAACTCGTTCGTAATACCTCAACCGGGTTGGGAACAGAGTGAATTGGGGAGCAATGTAATCCCGTTCTTGGTCTTTATAAAGTGAAACCTTAGGACGAAAGGCAGTTTGTTAATCCACAGTTTCACTGATGTTTGTTGCCAGTCAACAGAAGTCGCAAGGTGTCGTGTGATGAATATCTTTGCACAATTTGCTTTTATAAAGAAACTTTCAGATAGAACGTTCTCAATGCATCTTTACACACTGGATCGTTGCTCCGGTTCTTTTGTCCCCTTTAGGACAATTAATATTTAATCAGTTTATTTTACATACAAAAATATATCTTTTTTTTGTTGCTTTACAGCTCCATTACAAACCGAGGATGATGGATCAGTTCAAACAATCGCTTGCAGCTGACTTAAGTTTAGCTGCGTTGATATATGGAAGCATTATGCCCAATGTGCTGCAGGAGAAACGGGGAACTTTCAAAAAGAAATGAAACATGTAAATCAGATGAAGAGGTGGCGGGGGGAGAGGGTGTTGGGGGTAAGGAGGGGTAAATAAAATAGGCCACTTTCATCTCCAGAAACTCGGATGCAGAAAAACAGTGACAAACTATTAAAATACATTTTCGGAGAAAAATAGACTCAGCTGGCGAAACCAATGCAATGATTCTTATCCGAGCTTAGCATTATTTACAACCAGTTGCTTGTGTCTTTAATGTGTGTCTAGGGCATGTTATCTCCCAAGTATATTACGAGTGTATTAATGCTTTACAGTGGGGTTTATGAATCATTTCTAAGTCACTGACTTGCCTGCTGTCATCAGTCATTCTAGTGGAAAATACGACATCTAGCCAATTTCATTCAGTTTTTATATTCATAGTAACCATTTGGTTTGGCGTAGCTTTGCAAATAATATTTTCAGTGCAAGGAAAAACCTGCAGTGTTCTGTGCAACTGCGTTCAAGAGACGGCTCTTAAAAATGCTCGAGAGGCTGCAAAAATACAGCATCGTGGGCTGCTGCCTTGGTGGTTCGGGTAATAAAGCTTCTGCCTCCAGTGTGAAATTGGACCACACACACCAGCGATATTTCTTTTCTATTTTTTTTTATTACATTTATGTCCAAGTAAAATGAAAATGTTTAAAGCTCAGATCACAACCTTGGTGCGTATTGAAATCCCACACCTCACCTTTGGATGTAATGTTTTCAGCAATGGCCTGCCTGGCTGTTCAGTGAAACACTTTAAATCAATCACGTTGGGATAAAGATTATGCGTTGGCTTTCTGTTTATATGTTCGTGCCTCCAAAGTCACCTCACAGAAAAATGCGACACGGCGCGATATTTTTTTTTAAATCACATTTTCCAATTATTTTTGTGGAGTTTTGTAGCATTTTTTTCCCCCATAAACTATAAACACGATTTGCTTTTTGGTCTGATTTTGCCATCGACTTTGAAAGAAATCAAAGATGATGAAAGTCACTCCTGTATACACTGTCAATATAATGTACCAATCTTTTCTTTAATGGTCAGAAATGTTCAGATTATAGAAGAGGGGAGAAAAATCTAATCACATGCTAATGTAATTTGTGAATGGTAATATGAAAAAGAAACTGTGGAGTTACATGCAAGTGGGATATTTTCTATCAGGAAAATTTAAGATTATAATAAGCATTGCATTTTATATAATATTTTTCAAGGCAGGACATCTCAAAGAATTTTGCATCATTTACTGTAAAGTGTAGTGACTATTTAGTAGGCAAATGTATAGATAACAAATGGTATGCGTGTTTGCGCTCATGAATCCGTACAGATCACGTACCTGTGGCACATGGAACTGAATCAGACAGTGGCGAGAATGCTGTACTTACTGAGAATTACTGCAATTTGATGCTGTTCTGTGCTGGGATCATATTGTTTTATTCCTAAACAATTTATTTTGTAAATAAACTGGAAACAAAGAAATAGAATTTTCCCATAACAGCTGTTATCTAAAATTGTTTAGCAAAGTGCTCTTGAAATTACAGTACTACCATTTATTTATTTATAAATTGAAACAAATAACCAATTGTAATCATTGCAATAAAAACAAATTTCCTTTTTCTTACTTTATTAGCAATAGAAATCTAAGTTACATACAGAAGCAAAAATCACACATATTCCAATCATTCACAATGATCACAGAAGTTTCTTAGATCCTTATATCATATTCCAAGCATTTTTATTGAGCTACAAACATAAATGAAGTTTGATCCAGTATAAAATAAAGTCACAAGCATTTACAACATTTAGGAATTCCTGAATTCCCACGCATCTGCTGCCACCCAAAAAAAACAAGTAAAATGACAAGACCCGTTCCAGGGAATTCCACCAAATTACATTCCTTGTATAAGTCTGTAAAGAGTTTCAAATCATTTTGAAACAATTTCAGTGTTACTGTATGTGCAGTAATTAGATGTTTACAAAACTTGGTAGCATTTCTTTTTAGCAGTTTATGTAACGGTTACTCCGAACCCAGCCTGGAAATGGACCCTCCCAGCGACTTGAATGCACTGTCCAACTTTTGATGGAATTCCACTGCTCCAATTAGCCAAGTAGACAATCGCTAATTAAACTCAAAATAGATTGAACATTGTAATAAGTCAACCAATTTACAGACACTATATTTTGTAATATTGACAATCAAATCTGGCTGGAACCTCCACTTTAATTCCCTGATGACACCAGCAGCGCAGTTGGACCCACCGATAAATTTTTGGAGCCAGATTCTATTCTGTTGGGAGTTGTACAACTAGCGTTCAAATATTTTCTAATCTAGTTTCTGCATTGATTTAAGTGCAGAATTACCACCAAACAAAGGGAATCCAATGACTTACAATGCAAACAAAATGTATCAACTCCAAACATCAAGCGAACAAATATTGTTTGGCATTTGATCTGATTTATACTTCACTGCAGTGGCTTCCAGAAAAGAAGTCTGCTTCCTCCTTCTGTCCTATGATGGGACTCTGAAGGTTTTGAACAGTTAATATTTTAAGCTTCATATCATTAAGCGACGTTCCACATTTATTCAGCATCTGTTGATCTATAATGATCCTCATCCACTGTAGAATAGATATGCCCCTCGTTGCTCAGGAATTCCACAGCTTGTCTGGAGAAAAAACAAACAGCAATCACTAGATGCTTGTTACACTCATTTAAAACTTTTCTTGTGTAGACGCGACAAAAGGCAGCACTAACTTGATTGCAACGATGTTCATGTTCTTCACTGTTCTCCTCATAAAGTCAATGCTCATGCCCTCCTGTTCTTGACAGTTTCGAATTAAATTTAACACCTGGGGGGAAAAAAAACAATACTTTAGTTGCAACAAATATCAACTTACTTCAACTTCAAAAAAAAATGCTTCTCCATTTCTAAGAAAATTTATGAGCTCAACATCCATGTTAAGAGAATAAAACCATGATCCACTTTCTCCACTCAGTGACAGCATAAAGGACTAAGGTCAGATACAGCACAGGGGAGATAAAGTAAATGTGAGTTACATTTTCCACACCACTCAGTCAGTTTGCCACTTAGTGGTGAACTGAGAGATGTTTTGCCCAATAGAATCATGTCCACTAGGAATTAAATTGGGATGACTTCAAAACACATTTCACAAGAATCCTTAAAGCCTCCAGAAATCCAAGCCCAACATCCCATCTCATCCCAACAATGTGATCTGAATTCTAATCTTGGTTCAAGAGGTAAAAGGCCAGTGTGCTAACCCACCTCTTCAGAGCAAGCATGTAACCGCTTTCACAACACAATTCCGGACTGTAGATGGGTAATATAAAGGGTTATTAAACGTCACTACAGGCCATTACTTATCCCTTTTCAATTTATGTTTACCTGGCTTTGTTGACTCGTTAGTCCATTCATTACCATATCATTACTGCCTGAGTACATTCCCATTGTGCCACCCCCATCACGTTGAGCTGGAGTATTGAAAGCAGCGGCAGATCCTCCAGGTGCAGACTGTGAAGAACAAAATACAGCCGTGAGATTCCAGGGCAATGCTTCACCAAATCAGCAGCATTATCTGCAGAAAATTCTAATTTTGCTTGCTTTCAAACTCAATGATTTACAATGTTATTGCTGGATAACTGACTCTGTTAGTCCACCAAATCTATGACAAACAACTTTTATATTGCCAGTCATCTGCCTTTTATAAATTGTCATTTTATGTATTTATATAATAAATAATTCATTATGATTCCTATTAAAACATTTGTCTTACGAGTTGCATAAGGACAGATCAAACCAAACCATCTGTTAATATGGAAATTCAAGCTCATAACACTTGAGGCATTGGGATTCTATAAGCTCCCAACTGATCAGGCTTATCAAGCTGCCTATCAGCATTTATTTTTATCTGAGAAGTGGGATAGGAAATTCCTTTTAATAATAAATTTGATACCAGTTTTCTCTTTCCCTGCACCTTTTCAGGGAATACAATCTACTAATCCAACTTTATCAAGATATAAATTTCATCAAAGTGTAACACAACAAACACATGGTTCAAAGGTAAAAAAGTGTGTGTGTGCGTGTGCACGTGTGTGTGCACGTGTGTGCGCGTGTGTGTGTGTGTGTGTTTTTTTAAAAAAAAAGTTTACCCAGCAAATAAGAGTCCTGTAGCTCAGTGGTTAGAGCACCCGCTTTGCAAGCGAGAGACCTGAGTTCAATTTCAGGCAGAGGGCCAAACCTTGGGCAAGTTTCCTTACTCCACACAGAGCCTAATAATAATCCCTCCAAAACCAAAAACAATAATAAATTGGTCATTTTCAATCCATGACTGTTTGTGGGACATTGCTGTGCGCAATTGGCTGCCGCGTTCGCCCACAAATATACAGTCAATTCACTTTACAGTGTGTTCTGTGAAGCGCTTTGGGACGTCCTCCCGACGTGAAAAGCGCTATATCAAATGCAAGGATTATTATTATTATTATCTAGTAGTTCACTCATCACTTCTGACCATGCACTTAGCTAAATATTGGCTGATAGCTGACCTAGTTAGTGATAATCAGAATTGCTTTTGGAACTGTACCTGTGCTTTGTTTAGCAAAAGATGAGCCTGCACGACTTCCAGCATGTGTGAAGTGAACTCATTCATGTCTTCCAAAGGCATTATCTTGAAAGCTACCAAGCTCTTCTTGTTCTATCAAGACAAACACTCGAAATCATTCAATGCACTTAAGTCAGTAAATCTGATATTTATATAAGGATCTATATAATTTAAAATTACAGCATTTAAAGAACCATCCCCTTTTAAATAAACTTACCAAGTTATAAGGAATTTATGTTTTCACTGTTAAAGATAAGGGGAAAGTGGCCAATGGGATTTGAGACTTAATAACGGCCCCAAGTACATTCCATTCCTCTACCCAAAACTATTACCACTCCTTCCAAGTATTGAATGCATAGTGGACAAAATATATGATTCCTTAGTCATAAATCCAATATATCAAATTAATCAGATGCTATAAATGCAACTGTACAGAAAAGTCAAACAAATATAATATTCTCAAACAACTAATTCAAAAAGCTATAAGTGTCTGTACCTGGAATGATCGGAGATGGCCAGCCACTTTGACATACGTTCCTGGAGGAACCACAATATTTTCACTCCCAACTTCCTGCATTGGTTAAAAACAATGAAACGACATTTACGAATAAGTAATGTGGTGCAAAATAAACCATGAATAGATGGAAGAAGAAGGAGTTTGAAAAATTAAACAGCCCTGTATATTGTTTTCTTATTTTTGAATAGAAACCACATTATGCTTAGATGCTGGAGAAAGAAACTGTAAAAATATATTTGCTTACATCGGTGTCTACCCACTGTCTCACATCCATCGGAGCTGCTGTCATATCATCCAGTTTATACAAAATATTTGTAGGTGCTTTCTCTGCATCCCTGATCACACCAACTACAGTCACCTAACAAAAATCAAAGCCACATGAAAAGCCTACTCATAATACATTTAACTAGAATAATTAGAAAAAAAAGTTTTGTTGACCAAACGATAAATAAACCAACAGAGAATCTGTCAACATGCTTCGCTCACCTGGGATAGCTCCACTTCTCCAATCCTGAAAACTTCTTCTGCCTGAGAAGTTGACAATAGCTGCGATACTGTGCAAGGAACAATTTGCTGGGCTCGTGACCTCTGCACACAGGAAATAAGTTAGATTTTAGACTAGATTTTAGATTAAAAGTTAGACTCATCTTAGTGCCACCTTATAGAATTGCATAAAACGGTCAGAAATTACAACAACAAATTAGATTACATAGCATTAATTACAGCATTATTACATGACAGCACCATATCCAGAAATGTCACTGAAAACAAAACACTGACTTCCATAAAGCAGAGCAAATAACTGCTGCATTCTGATATCCAAGTGTGCTTTGTAGGTTTACAGGAAGAGTTTGGGGTCATATGATGCTACAAATCTTGCTCAACCAAAAGATGCCAATTCAATTCCTCCTCTTCACCAAGTCCTTCCACTTTGTTTGATTGTCCAGTCATTCACCAAAATTGCACAAAATATTTGTAGGTGCAAGCACTTCCCTTGCAGAAAGGGTCCCCATGGAGAAGAGGGGAGGTCCTTGTGTCAGCACCTCCTTGAAAAAGGTTTGGCTTGGTACTGTACTTACTGTTTTTCGCTCAGCCTGGCTGCCTCCCGCAGGTGACCCAAATCCTCCAGGTGACTGCAGGTATCCACCACCTCCTCCGTCACCAAACCCTCCATCAAAGCTTCCTGGCAGGCAAATATTAGACAAGATCAGTTATACAATAACAGTACACAAATCTGCAAAGTGCTCTGACACACATCGGCAGGGTCATCGATGCTACCCTGCGGGGAGAGCATTGCAGAAGTGTAAGTTGTTGTCGTTGTATCAACGATAAGGGTTTATTATTATTAGAAGAACGGCAAGCCACTGAAGGAACAAAGAAGCCACTGGGGGGGGGGGGGGGTGGTGGAGAGGGGGAGAGCGTTAATAATAATCCTTGGATTTGATATAGCGCCTTATCACGTCGTTGAGATGTCTCAAAGCGCTTCCCAGAATATTCTGTAAAGTGAACTGACTGTACAGTTTGTGGGCGAAAGTGAGGGGCAAAAACAGTGAGAGTGAAAGACCAGGAGGAAGCGGTTTTTAATCATTCCGATGAGAAGACTTTTCCGCCTCGGTGGCCGGATTCGCAAAGCAGCGAATAAAAAGACAGCGGGACAACAATCCCGTCAAGACGTCTCAACGCCGCGATGGGGGGGGGGGGGGAGCTCGTATCAAACGCCGGGATATACCTCACTGCCGTTGCCGTTGCTCTTCTTGCGCCTTCGCCCTACACCGTCAGGCAATAATAGCGAGACGCGCTCTAATAATAATAATAATAATAATCCTTGCATTTGATATAGCGCTTTTCACGTCGGGAGGACGTCCCAAAGCGCTTCAGAATATACTGTAAAGTGAACTGACTGTATATTTGTGGGCGAACGCGGCGGCCGATTGCGCACAGCGATGTCCCACAAACAGTCGTGGATTGAAAATGACCAATTTATTATTGTTTTTGGTTTTGGAGGGATTATTATTAGGCTCTGTGTGGAGTAAGGAAACTTGCCCGAGGTTTCGCCCTCTGCCTGGAATTGAACTCAGGTCTCTCGCTCGCAAAGCGAGTGCTCTAACCACTGAGCTACAGGACTCCACTCTCAAACCGATAAACCCTGACACGGTCCTTCCGCATCGGGAGGTCACCTCTGCAACGCTCAACGGCGTTGCACAAGATTTCGCCTTCGCGGCCGACGTCGCCCCTCTCCCCACATTAACCCGACAGCCCTCTCTGTAGCTTCGTTGCCCGTCTCCTTCCCCTCTCCCCACCACCCCCGCGACCCCCCCCCCAACACCCGCCAACCTCCGCCAACCTCACAACGACTCGACCTTTCTTCCTCGAGACTTTGCGAGTGTGTGTGTATTACGTGAGCGGAGACTCTTTATGACGACGATGATTATTTATCATCGTCATCACCACCATTAAGCCTCGCAACTGATGTTGCCCCTCCCACACTAACTCTGTAGCTTCTCCCTCCCTCTCCCTCTCCCCCCTCTCCCCTTTCTTCCTCGCAACTTTTTAATCTGTGCGCGTGTCTTGTGTTCCCGCGTATTTTTTTTAAAAAAAATTAGGCCTCGACTTGAGCCTGGGAGTCGAGTTCTGTCTGAGGCCGCCTCACCCACCCACCCACACACGCAGGCAGGTAGGTAGGGGCCTGGGCCAGAAGCCGGAGTCTCCCCCCCCCACACCCCTCCCCTCGGCCGCCCCAGGACAGCGCAGGGCCGGGTCGGTGGGAGACACTCACCCGCGTTGCTCCACATCTCGAGCCTCCGAGCGACCCGTTTAACGGACAAAGCGTCTCGTGGGCACCGCTCGCGCCTTTGAACCGCTCCAACCGCCACCTACGAGCGCGCGCGCGCGAGCGGACCACGAACGGACCAATCAGCGCCTTCAAAACTCCCGCGCGCTCTCTCTCTCTCTCTTCCTCTTCCTCCTCCAACATCTCCCCCCCCCCCCCCCGGCAAGTTTTCCCGGAAGTGCCTCTGACGTCAAACGCCAGCTTGAGCCCCGAGGCTCGGCCGCCATCTTGGTTACTGGCAGAGCCATTGCCCTCCCCCCCCCCTTCCCTTGTGACCGCGCACGTGCCTTCTTACCACTCGGTGCTCGCTGCTGAACCTCAGCGGTGGTGGGGAGGGCTTTCAGCCACTAGGCCCCAAACTCTGGAACACTCCCTCTCAATCCCTCCGCCTTGACCCCCTCTCTCTCTCTCTACCCCTCAATCCCTCCGCCTTGACTCCCTCTCTCTCTCTCTACCCCTCAATCCCTCCGCCTTGACCCCCTCCCTCTTTCTCTCTCTACCCCTCAATCCCTCCGCCTTGACCCCCTCTCTCTCTCTCTACCCCTCAATCCCTCCGCCTTGAACCCTCTCACTCCATCTCTCCCTCAATCCCTCCGCCTTGAACCCTCTCCCTCTCTCTCCCTCAATCCCTCCGCCTTAACCCCCTCCCTCTCTCTCTCCCTCAATCCCTCCGCCTTGACCCCCCCTCCTCTCTACCCCTCAATTCCCTCCGCCTTGACCCCCCTCCCTCTCTCTACCCCTCAATCCCTGCGCCTTGACCCCCTCCCTCTCTCTCTACCCCTCAATCCCTCCGCCTTGACCCCCTCCCTCTCTCTCTACCCCTCAATCCCTCCGCCTTGACCCCCTCCCTCTCTCTCTACCCCTCAATCCCTCCGCCTTGACCCCCTCCCTCTCTCTCTACCCCTCAATCACTCCGCCTTGACCCCCCCTCCCTCTCTCTCTACCCCTCAATTCCCTCCGCCTTGACCCCCCCTCCCTCTCTCTCTACCCCTCAATCACTCCGCCTTGCCCCCCTCCCTCTCTACCCCTCAATCCCTCCGCCTTGCCATCCCCCCCTCTCTCTCAACCCCTCAATCCCTCCGCCTTGCCCCCCTCCCTCTCTACCCCTCAATCCCTCCGCCTTGCCATCCCCCCCCCCTCTCTCTGAACCCCTCAATCCCTCCGCCTTGACCCCCTCCCCCTCTCTCTACCCCTCAATCCCTCCGCCTTGACCCCCTCCCTCTCTCTCTACCCCTCAATCCCTCCGTCTTTCCCCACCCCCTCCCCTCTTTTCAGGTCCCGCCTGAAAACGTTCCTCTTCGACAGTGCTTACGCCACTATTAAGACATTATCTGAGATGCTACCCCGCCTGGAGGACGCAATACAAGTCCAAGTTGTTGTTGTTGTCCTCAAGTCGCGCCATCGGGACGACTGGAAGAGCGGAGATCGCAATTCGCCCGTCGAGGCGCCTCGAAGAGCTTAATCGGAGACAGCGATGTGACAACCCTCTCTCTTGCCTCTGAGTCAGAAGGTTGTGGGTTCAAGCCCCCACGTCGGGACTTGGAATCACATAGTCTTGAGCCGACGCTCCAATGCAGTGCTGGGGTGGGGGGGGGCTGTTGCATTGTCGGAGGTGCTGTGCTTCGGATTAGACATTTAAACCGAGATCCTGACTGCCTGTTCAGGCGGACGATAAGGTCCTATGGCACTATTGGGAAAGACGAGAAGGGTTCTCCCTCCCAGGGTCCTGGCCAACAATCCCCCCAGATAGAATTGGTCACTCGCTCTCCATAGCTGTTTGTGGGACATCCCCGTCTGAAAATTGTGCTGCCGCGTTTCACCCACACCGACCAGGAAAGAGAAACTCTGCTACTTTGACAGGCACGGAGAGGGAGCTCTATTTGGAAGAAGAAGATGAAATACAAAGGCGTTTATTCAAGTTAACGTTGTTCTTGCGCTAGCCAAAGGAGTAACTGGTAAGAATAGAATACTACTCTTGATCTTAGCCAAAGGACGAGAAACAATCTTTATTAATTAAATATTCCTTTGGGATTGAAGGAGGGGAAGTCGCTTTTCATTTGACCCCTGAGATAGTGAGGAAATAGCTTGACTAAAGTTCTGACTCATTTCTGCTTTATCTGCTCAGTAAAATGGAACAGTCATCCTAAAGTTCATTAAGAGTAAAGTCGATCGATCATTTTCTTAACCTTAAGCTAAGATGCAATAAGCGATATCGGTGGAACTAATCCCAGTGAAGCAGCTGTGAGCTGGCACTCGCCAACTGTTGCACTAAGATGGAGGTTTTGAAGTATTTTCTGCTCATTGCTAACTGTGGGTTCCTCTCCGGTGACGAAGGTAAGGCAGATTCCCTTTGGTTCATTACGGAGGCAATCTTTGTGGAGTCCTGTAGAGTACTCGTCAGCGTTCTCGACTCACAAGTGAGAAAAAATGGGTTAGATTCCCAAGCGGGGCAAAACCTTAGGCAAGTTTCCTTACTCCACACACCTGTTTCCTTAGCAGTAAGTAGGAACCCAGTTGTTAGTCAATTGGCGGGTTGCTCTCCGTGGGTAAGAATCCCTCGAAAATGTCCGCTCCCACACTTGTCTTCTGTTTTCTGCCAATTTTTCTGCTGTCTGTGGGGATATTGTTGTGTGCAAACTGGCTGCCGTGTCCACTTACACACACAGAGTCATTGCACTTCACAGTAAAACCTTGCGTAACACTTTGAGATGTCCTCCCTATGTGAAAGGCCCTGTAAGAAATGCAAGGATGTATTATTTTAAGGGAGCATCTTGTTATTGATGTATTGCGTGAGGGTGTAGAAGAGTAACAAGAATAATAATAATCCTTGCATTTGATGTAGCATCTTATCACCTCGTTGAGACGTCTCAAAATGCTCCATAGAATAGATTGTAAAGTGAATTGACTGTGTATTTTGTGGTTGAGACGTGGCAGCCAATTGCGCACGGCAGTGTCCCACAAACAGTCATGGATTGAGTGACCCAATTTTTTTTTTTTGACGGATTATTACCCCTCTGAGAGCGATCCACACCAATCAACTAACAAAAGAGTTCCTACTTACTGCTAGGTAAGCAGAGGCTTGTGGAATAAGGAAACTTGTCTGAGGTTTTGCCCCAGCAGGGAGTCAAACCTGGGTCCTCGCACTTGAGAGGCGAGCATGCTAACCACTACCCTACGGGATTCCACAAGTCCTAAGAATTCGTTCTGCTTTTCCCTCGTGCAGGTCAGTTTTGGCACATCAGTGACATTCACTGGGACCCTGACTACAAAGTGACGGACGACCCAAATGCCGTGTGCCCATCGTCGTCTAAACCCGTGCAGGATGCGGGAAAGTGGGGAAATTACTTGTGTGACGCCAACTGGGACCTTATCAACACCACCATTTACACCATGGGAGAACTCCTCCCGAATCCGGACTTCATCCTTTGGACCGGGTAACGCACGCAGAACCTTGTTGGGACGCCTTTCCGACATGAAATTTTATTGTTGATGTTGTCATCTACTGACTTAAGATAGTCACGAGTGTTTACAAAGTGCACAAATGGAATGCAACAATCTGATTATTCTTGTTTTTCAGTGTATTTTGCATCTCATGACATTGCGTATACACTTTCACAGACACCAGAGTCATCGCAAATCTCCTGTTACAAGTTGTGTTGTGAAACTAACACGAAGGTTGGGTCGGGAACTACCATAGGTCAATATATCCAAAGGGTCAATGTCCTATGTTGAAATTCGTGGCAGTTTCTTGTTTGTTTACAAAGAATTATGCTCCTTTGCTTATTCTGAGTGATGTCGCTCACTTGTCATCGCAAATAATGTGGCCTAGATGTGATTTCAGTTCTCGCTTTGGCAATTTTTTGTACCATTCGTTCAAGAAACAAACACTTCTTTTTTTTGAAGGCAGAGGGGAAAAGTTTTGTGCCCCTTTCATTGTATTTACAAAGCTCTTTTACAGGGTCAGTGTACGTATGAGTGTCGGTGTGCGTGTGTGCGTTTATCTAGATTTGCTTAATTTATGTCTTGTGGATCTTGTGTTTGTCTTTTCGCTTGTGTGTGTATACCCATGCGTGTGTGAACGTGTACGTGTTTATGCGTGCGTATCTGTGTACGTGTTTACATGTGTATGTCTGGGTGTGTCTGTGTTTATGTGTGGATGTTCTTTGGAGACACACATATTACATATTATGAAGTGGTACATTATCCCGGGAGCTGTCTTGTGAGGAATCCGCCAGTGAATGAGGCACCAGCTGGTACTTCAGAGAACTTCACAGAACAAGAACTTTACAAAAAAAAAAATCTCTTATTTCCAATGTAAAACCCTGGCTTCTCCGCTCACAATATCAACTGCAACAACAACATACGTATAGCATCTTACACATCGGGAGGACGTTCCAAGGCGCTGGGACGCTAGCAATCCAAGACAGGCATAGCTGCTGGTTGGATCAATGTGCTAATCACATTAAAAACAATGTCTTCCCTCTTCATTTAGTGATGACACCCCTCACGTCGCTGATCAGCAGCTGGGAGAGGAAGCCGTGCTGAGGATAATAGGCAACTTAACCCAGCTGATACAACAGGTATTTCCAGGTACGATACGTAATAACAGCTCACAGCTTTCTCTACTGTTCTTCCCTCCTCTCTCATTTGTGTCCGTTTTCCTTCTTTACTGGGAGCGAGGGTGCTCCAGGGGCAAGGAATGAATGAGTGTGCCTTGAACCGACATCTTCTAGAGGCCCAAAATTTCCAGTACCTTGTTGGGACGCCTTTCCGACATGAAATTTTATTGTTGATGTTGTTATCTACTGACTTAAGATAGTCACGAGTGTTTACAAAGTGCACAAATGGAATGCAACAATCTGATTATTCTTGGTCTTCAGTGTATTTTGCATCTCATGACATTGCGTATAAACTTTCACAGACACCAAAGTCTACTCCGCACTGGGAAATCATGACTTTCACCCCAAGAATCAGTTCCCTGGTTTCCATCACAGCATCTACAACAAGACTGCAGAACTATGGGCATCTTGGTTAAACAAGTCATCCGTTGCTACGTTTACTCGAGGTACTGTACAGCAAAGGGAAGTAGGTTTCCAATAGCATCAGTGGAGTAAGAGCAGCATTGGGTTGGGTTGAGTTGGGTTGGAGAAGCCTAGGATAGCGTTGGTTTCTGTTGGGAAGATGGACGCTGTTGTAGAGGGAGAGACCGTGGAGGTAATGAGGAGTAAATGCAAACTGATTACAAAATTATCCTCTCAAAACAGTGCTTTGGGTTTGTTTCCAGGGGCTTTCTACAGCGAGAAGCTGGTGGGCAGCGACAAGCAGCGCATTATTGTTTTAAACACAAACCTGTACTACACCAGCAATAAACTGAACGCTGATGTGAGCGACCCCGCTGGTCAGTTTGAGTGGCTTGAAGAGACACTTTCAAACGCGGTGACGGGAAAAGAAAAAGTAAGTAGCGAAGCTGTGTATTCATTCTGAATGGGATTACAGTAGATCAACTAGATGGAGATTAGATGGCTCCTGTGAAAGAACAAGCACAGACATTGTGGGGAAAGAGCAGGACTGAATCACTCTGGTATACTGTAACCTATATATTATATCATTCTTATAAATATAAAATAATAAATGTACCTTTTGTGGGATATTGTTGTACACAATAGGCTGCAGCGTAGTCGATTCCCTTCAGGGTATATTCTGTGAAGAGCTTTGAGACGTCTGAACGACATGATAAGGTGCTATATCAAATGCAAGGATTATTATTATTATTGTTATTATTATTGTAACGGGGAGCGAGCACCAGCACAGACCCAATGTGCTGCTGAATGAGCTCTCATGTAGAATCTATGCGTATCACTGAGTGTGGGAAAAAAGGAGATATTCAGCACCTAATGTTTGGGGGCTCACTCTTTTCACAGGTTTATATCATTGGCCATTTGCCCCCAGGTTTATTCGAGAAGAAAAGAAGCCAATTTTGGTTTCGAAAACATTTCAATAAGAAATACATTCAGATTATACAGAAGTATCACATTGTGATAGCTGGCCAGTTCTTTGGCCATCACCATACCGACAGCTTCAGGATGTTCTACAATGACTCAGGTATTGACTCATTCTTGAGTTGAGAGGCAGAACACATTACACAAATGCTTAATCTTGTATTCATTTTGTATTAATGTTGTATACAAATGTAATTTTGTTGTTGTTGTTGTATTCAGGGTCTCCGATAGGAGTTATGTTCCTCGCGCCAGGCATTACTCCGTGGAAAACAACTCTACCCGGGGTAGAGAATGGAGCCAATAACCCTGGGATCCGAGTGTTTAAGTACGACAAGGAGACAATGATCATTAAGGTGAGAGAGATGACTTGACGCTCATTGCAAGATCCAAAATCCTTGGCCTTCAAAATCCTCGCAAAACCTCTTCCCTTTATTATAATAATAATAATTCTCTTTGATCTTTAACCTCAGCCATGATCTTATAGAACGGCGGAATGGGGTTGATGGGCTGAATGGCCTACTCCGGTTCCTTTTTAATACCTTTAAAGTCTCCTTTATCTCCCCCCTGCTCTGCGCTCCCTATTTTCTCGATGACGTTCCTCAAGACCCTCATCCTCCGTGAAAGGCACTATAAAAAGGGTAAGTTGGTATTGTTATTTCTTTTAGGATATGATGACGTACTATTTCGATCTGGCCCTGGCTAACGCGGGGGCCCCAAACTGGAAGCTGTTGTACACTTTAAAGGGGGCGTTTGGTGTTGCTGACGGCAGCCCCGGGTCTATGCAAAAGGCGGTTGATTGGTTATACCAGGACAGCAACCACCTGCAGGAATATTACAACTACAATTCCGTCAACTACGACCTGGCCAAGTGCGATTTCAACTGCAGAATCGATCACATTTGCGCCATCAAAGAAGTTGATTTTGATAAATACGAGCAGTGTGTGGTGTTTGAGAGGTCCTCTTCCTCTGTCTACACGTCACCCGCTGTGTCCCTCCTGCTCTCCCTCCTGTTCCTCCTTTCATTTCAGGTCCTGTGAAATAACCGCACATTTTGGCAAAATCCGAGAGTTGCTGAACGTAATACCACAACAATAATTTGCATTTACGTCACAGAGCGCTTGAAATGTTTGAGAGACGCTTTAGCAATGTTTGAGAGAAGTAACTCAAAGTGTTTTAGACCAGCGAGGTATACTTTTCTCTGTGCTCGCTTTGTCCTGCAAATAATGAGTTGCAGATCTATCTGAAAGCATGTTTGTTCTGGCCTATTTCAATCTTGTTTTGTTCACGCTTCATTCTATAATAATAATAATACTGCTTGCACTTATCACGTCGCCGAGACGTCTCAAAGCGCTTCACAGAGTATACTGTAAATGGATTGTCTGTGTATTTTGTGGGCAAACATATCGAATTGTATCATTAAATTTAATCAATGAGAAAAATCAGGAAATGTTATTATCTTGGCTTTTCCTAAATTGTTGGCTCAACTCCCTTTCCCTTTCACGTCAATCTTTCCTGAAACCCCTTGTATCTTAGTTGCTTATTATCCTGGTTTATGGCGTTAGCCTGGCTCAGTCGGTATCAATCTCACCTCTAAGTCAGAGTATAGTGGGTTTAAGCCCCAGGTCAGGGCATTGAACATTGGAAGGATGAAAGAAATGGGCCAAACGGCTCTTCTTCACTTGAACTCTCAACAACAACAATTACTCAGTGCCTTTCACGTCGGAAGAAAGTCCCAAAGCGTAGGACAGTTGAGGGTTTGCACCCGGATTGGGGGTTGGAATCAGAAGGTGGGGGGTTGTGTGTGTGGGAAGGTGATGGGTGGGGCGGGGCGGGGGGTGTGTGGGAGGGCATCTTGAGACAGGCCTTGAAGGAGGCCAGGGAGGGGACGAGGCGATGGGGATCCAGAGGGTGGCGGCAGAAAGGCTGAAGGCACGACGGCCGATGGTGGGACAGGTGAGGAGGGCGGGGGACATGCCCGCCAAGCGGAAGAAGGGGACAGGTCGGTGTGGGGTTAGCAGGTCACCAAGGTAGGGAGGAGCGGGGCTGTGGAGGGCTTTAAGAGTGAGGACCAGGGTGTGGGTCTTGTGCCTGGGAGAAACAACAACAACAACAACAATAATAATAATAACCGCTGCATTCGATGCAGCGCCGGGTTATCAAGTCTTCGAGCCGTCTCGCAGCCCTTCGCAGGATACGCCACAAAGCGCGTGTGTGCTTGCGGGCGAGCGAGCGTGGGGGGACAGGATTCATTTCAGCACACACGTCAGATAAATAAACCCAAGAAAACACTAGAGGGTGCCACACACAGATCCGACTCAGAAGGAGGGGGTGGGGTGTAGGGGGGGGGGGGGTGGGGGAGGTTTGTAGGAGTGAGAGCTCGTCTGTTTCCCTTTCCTCCCCATTAACCAAGGAGACGTCGGTGGGATCCTGCAGTAACTCGACCCGCTTTCCCTTTTGCGGAGGGAGAGAAAGAGGAGCAATAACGTTGGGAAGTGATAGAGCAAAGAGCTGTGGGGGGTGGGGGGGGGTGTGGGGGGGGTTGGGGAGGAGTGAGTTGGACACTATTGTCTCACAGTGCAGTAACTCGACCCGCTTTCCCTTTTGCGGAGGGAGAGAAAGAAGAGCAATAACGTTGGGAAGTGATAGAGCAAAGAGTTGTGGGGGGGGGGGGGGGGTGGGGTTGGGGAGGAGTGAGTTGGACACTGTGTCTCACTCCTACGAGAACGGAGCCACCGCAGGGAATGCAAAGGGAATACAAAGAGCAACAGACTTGCACAAGTCCTCCGCTTGGTAAACGGAAACGTTTTGAAGAAACTTTTTCTTTTTCGCGCGGGGGCGTCTGGCAACTCTTTTTTTTTTTGCTCAGCGAGGGGAATGGATGACTCAGAAGACAGTCCCAGCTTCAGTGCCCTGGACCTGGTCTTCATCCTCGCGGGGCTGGGGACTTTCCTGCTCGACGTTGGAGTTGACGCCTGGGTGGTGGTGGGTTTCTTTCGAGACGGGGATTATGTCTGGGCGGCCACGGTTCTCGCCCTGATCCTCCTGTGCTCAGGAATCATGCAGGTCTTCAGCTGGTGTTGGTTCAGACAGGATCAGGAATTGCTGAAGGAAACGCAGAACCTCCCAAAGCTCAAGACGCCAGGATCTCTGTCCAAGGACCGAAGTCTTCTCCTGAAGTGGCTGCACTGTCTCCAACTGGGATTTCTAGTCAGGTCAGTACGGCAACACAAAACACACAGTCACTGCACCTGACAGGGTATCCCGCGAAGCGCTTTGAGACGTCTCGAAGACGTGATAAGGCGGTGTAATGAAATGCACGGACTATTATTATTAGCAACAGACAGAGAGAGAGGTGGCAAGAGATGGAGAAGGAAATGGGGGTGAGAGAAAGATAATAATAATAATAATAATCCTTGCATTTGATATAGCGCTTTTCACGTCGGGAGGACGTCCCAAAGCGCTTCACAGAACACACTGTAAAGTGAATTGACTGTATATTTGTGGGCGAACGCGGCAGCCAATTGCGCACAGCAATGTCCCACAAACAGTCGTAGATTGAAAATGACCAATTTATTATTGTTTTGGGTTTGGAGAATTATTATTAGGCTCTGTGTGGAGTAAGGAAACTTGCCCAAGGTTTCGCCCTCTGCCTGGAATTGAACTCAGGTCTCTCGCTCGCAAAGCGAGTGCTCTAACCACTGAGCTACAGGACTCCACATTGGGTGAAGTCCCATTACAGGCGATGTTTTTGCAGAGCATTGCAGAGAGGAGAAAGAGGAATGAACCAAGACAGGAAATGGAATAAGGAGGAAGGGTGACAAGAGAGGAGAGAGAAGTGATCAACAGCTTGACAGGGACAGGACTAGAGACCAGAGACACACATATTGTACTTACCAAGAGCTTCAGTCTACTGCAATGGTTGTGGATTGAATACCGGGTTCCGATTCATTTACGAAACAACTGTCCAGTGAATCCTACATTAGACAAAAAACACTTTCCACACGGAACAGTTGATCATTTGCAATTCACATTGCTGAGCGAGCGAACCTTAATGTATCTAAACACGCGAACCCAAGAGGGTAACCCAATCAATAATCAAAAACTCACACTGGTCAATGATTTATATGTATATGTGTATATATATATAAGCTATATATATTTATACAGCACACTGCAAACAAATAAACCTCAATTCTGCTCATTTAAATAAATTTGCAATTTTTTTCAGATTTCTCAACACCCAACAAAAACACTGGTGGGGCTAAAGACAGGCAAATGGAATTGGGGTTCACATCAGCCATGATCTGACAGAATGGCGGAACAGGCTCAAGGGGCTAAATGTCCTCCTCCTGTTCCTCTATTCCCACGACTGGTTCCTGGGATCCTAGTCGGCAATATTTTTCTGTCTTGACGAGAGGATAAAGAGAGGGTAAAGGCTAGCAATTTAGAGAGATTGAAGACAACACCCTTGTGCTTTTGCATTCCCTTCTGCAAACAGCCCAGGGTTTGGCCGAGGCTCCTTTCATATTTGGAAAATTGCTTGAGGAGCTTTTGGTTTTATTTCTGGTGCAACATTTATTCTGCCCTTTGGAGGAGAGTCACTGTCAAATATACAGACTAAACTGAGTGTATTGGATTTGGAGGAGAGGGGGGGGTTGTGCGAGAGGTCGCGGGGGAAAGGGGAATAGGGAGCCAGTGGGTTCGGGATGACGGCCAGACTCCATTGCGTTCTTGCCCGAGTGATGAGCCTGCGTTCACGCACTCTCCACCCAGGTTCCGTAAAAGTGAACGGGGCACAAACCCCCAGCTCGCACATCTGTTTCCCACACCGCACGTTAACGTTCATCTTGTTTCGCCCACAAAATCCACCTGTCACTCCACTTCACAGTATATTCTGCGAAGCGCTTTGAGACGTCTCAACGAGGTGGTATATCAAATCAAGGATTATTATTATTTAAGGCTCGGCACTAGACTCCTTTGTCCCGCAATGGACAAAATCATAGAATGTTATAAAACAGACTATAACATTCAGAGCCATCCATTTAACCCCTCGCCTCTCCTCTCCTTCCCCGCCAAGGGGGACTGTATTTTAGAAATCAAATCCCAGGACACACACCTAAAAATTCACTACAATTTCTGACGCTGGCAGTTACTGGAGAAGTACGTTGGATTAATGGCTGTTTCTCTGATGAGTGCATCCATTTTAGAATTTTATTACTTTTGCTCAGTTTGTTACTGAACTCAAGACGGGGCAGATTTGGCCTCACGGACACAATACCTCATCAGGGGACTGTTCCCAGAAATCGGGGATGTATAGTCACCCTACTTTTGCCCCAGTCTCTGCACATAAACACGCACACTACACTTTTCAATATTGTTTTTCTTAATAAACGTGTCTAATGGGGACTTCTCCTACCCGGATGTTCAGAATGTCACACCAACCAGCAGGAACTCTGCTTCGAAAGTAGATTGCCTTCTGCAATTTGCATTCTGCGGACAAGGCCCTCGACAGGAACAGGCTGAGCTCTAGGCTGTGGTTTTAGAATTATTATTAATAATAATAATCCTTGCATTTGACATACTGCCTTATCAGGTCATCGAAACTTCTCAAAGCGCTTCACAGGATATACTGTAAAGTGGATTTGACTGTATTTTATGGGCAAAATGTGGCAGCTAATTGCGCACAGCGGTGTCCTACAAACAGTCGTGGATGTGGTGGGTGGTGGGGTGGAGGGATTATTACCCCCAGAAAGTGATCCGCCAATCAACTAACAACCAGGGTTCCTTTTAACTGCTGGGAAAACAGAGATGTGTCGAGTAAGGAAACTTGCCTAAGGTTTCGGTCTGGCCAGGAATTGTGTACCCGGGTCCTCTCGCTCGCAAGGCGAGCGCGCTAACTACTGTGCTACGGGACTCCATAATAACAGCTTGCGTTTGATACGGCGCCTTATCATGTCGTCGAGAGGGCTTCGCGGGATACACTGTAAAATGGATTGACTGTTATTTTGGGGGTGAAACGCGGCAGGAGTGACCCCTGTATTGTTGGTCCCCAGGTACGTCGCGGCGCTGGAGCTGGGTTTCCAGGCGTACGTTAGCAAAGATCGCAGTGAGAGCGGGTGGGTTGTTTACCTCATCACCGACATCAGTTTGTTACGTCTCTTCGAAACCATCCTGGAAAGTGCTTCGCAACTGGCACTGATGCTGTACATCATCCTCCAGAAGAACCAGGTGGCCATCTACCAGTGTAAGTACAGACGACGATTTACAGTAAGCGCTTTGGGTCGCTATCCTGCGTTGCTGCTGTCGTCGTCGTCGTAGCTTTTGATACAGCGCCTGATCGCGTTATTGAAACAATCTCTCAGAGCGCCACAGGATTTACTAGAAAGTGTCATCGCTGTATCCTCTCGTAGATGATCGCAGCGGCCGATTTTTGCACAGCGACGTCTCCGTTTTATTTCGTTAGGCAGTCCCTGACGGGAAAGGCGTTGTGTAAATACAATTGCTTGTTGTTGTTGTTGATGTGAGGGCAACGACTGTGCGATTCACGTTCAGGTATTTCAGGGTATGTTTGCCAAGCTTTCCGCCTGATCGCTCGCTGGTTGTGTCCCCGCAGACTTTACCATTGTGATTTCTTTCGCTTCCATCGCCTGGGCCATGGTGGATTATCACCGGTACCTCCGCCTCTCGCTGAGCCACAAGCGGGAGCTGAGCACGTTGGCCGCCCTGCCCTACTTCCTGTGGAACCTGCTGCTCATCTCCCCCAGGATCGTGTGCGTCACGCTCTTCGCGACCGTGTTCGGGGGGTATGTGGCTCTGCACGTGTTGCTGGTCTGGCTGACCATGGTCTTCTGGGCTTGGGAGCAGGACACAAAGTTCATGAACGGCTCCAAGGGCGAGTGGTTCTACAGGGGCACCGTGGCGGTCATCCTGTACTTTGTCTGGTTCAACATCTCCGAGGGCAAAACCAGAATCCGGCAGATTATTTACCACGCCTTCATTGTGGTGGATTGCACTATTTTGCTCGTGTCCTGGTGGCTTCACAGAGATCCCGTTTCCAGCGCTTCCTACCACGCGCAGCTGCTGGCCGCCATCCCAGGCTCGTACGCCCTCGGCCTGATGATGAAGGGCGTTTACTACCGGTGGTTCCACCCCACCCTGTGGGTCGCGCAGGAGCCCGAGGGAGACGAGACGGACAGTTTGCAGGATTCGGCACCGTGCTTCCGATCCATGGCCCGCGTCCCCGTCCCCGTCAACAGGAGGATTAAGGCACTCTCCGCTGACATGGTATGCCACCAGCCTCAGAAAAAGAAACGCGGCAAGCAAAGAGTGGAGAAGGCGGTTGAAAACTCCAAGGAGGTTTCCATCTGAAAGGGGGATGGACATTGGGCCCAGAACTTCCACATACAGCTCAGTCCTGAAACTACTGAACGTTTGTTTCAGAATGTAAGGATGGAGGGCTCCTGCGAGGGAATTAGATGATCTGCAGTGGATCTAATAAGGTGGCCGGACAGATTTGATGGTTGACAGAAGTAAAACGGTTAACTGTGGTCCTTGCATTTGATACAGCGCCTTGACACGTCGTCGAGAAGTCTCAAAGCACTTCACAGAATATTCCCCCCACGTGAAAGGCGTTATACAATATGTAATTTTGTATTGTATAGTGTATATTGGATTGACTGGACATTTTGTGTGCGAAATGCAGTGGCCAACTGACCAAACGGTCATGGATTGAGCCAGTAATCCCTTAAAAAATGTATTTTTTTTTTAATAGAAGGATTATTAACTCCAGAAAGCGCTTCACCAGTCGACCAATGACTGGGTTCCTAGGCAAACAGAGGCGTGTGGAGTAAGGAAACTTGCCTAAGATTTCCCCCTGCCCGGGATTCAAACCCGGGTCCTCTCGCTTGTAAGCTCTAACCACTATGCCACAGAGTAAGATTTTATTTTAAGCATTAATTCTGGCGAAGGACAGAGTTCGCACAAGACGCCAGAAAGTATTTGCTTGCACGTAAAGCAATCAACTGGTGGAACGGTTTGCCAGGATGTGACTCACTTGAAGCAACAGATACTTTTGGTGGAATGAGCAGATTGTAAGGTTCTGAAATTGAACTGTGGAAGAATGAGGCCAAATGGGGCCCAAGAGAGTTCTTTGTCATTCCCACAGCTCGGTACAAGTATATCTGCAGTTAAACTTACCACCCCACCGGTTCCTGCTGGCCTGGCACTGATTTGGGAGACGGTGCCAATAAATATTATTGCACTTTTGTATCCATCGAACATCCAGCAATTTTATCAGAGATCTCACTTGACCCAAAAAACTGCTATGGAGCTCTCGTCCACCAGAGATTTCCCTTCCCTCCCTTATCGCTGACGTTAAATTTTTAAGGATGCTTTGCATAATCCACCCACACACCCCAGTTGACACACACCCCCTTACGGCTGAATCAGCGCAGTCTCTAAGAGTCCAGTTCAGCTTCAGGTTGAGAAGTGAATGTATTTTCGAGTTACATAAGTCCCGCAAAGTCCACAGTACTTAATTATATTTTATTCCTTCCACCTTGGAACAGTCCCACACACTGACGAGAGTCCGAACCAGCCGCAATCCAATGGAAAAGGTGCTGTTAACTTTATTTCAAGTTTATCTCCAGAGGAAACAGGTTCCAGGAGGCAGGCAGGGAAGAAAGGAGGCAAGAAAGATATAAAGGGATTTGCTAATGAGTGTCAATAGAAGCAAATGGCTTTCTCAAAGCAACATGCATCTTAGTTATTGCATTTTCCTTCGTGTTCGAAGGAATTAGCTCATCGAGGATTAAACTCCCACCCAGATTGTAATGATAGATTTTTTCAGCTGGGACTGAAGAGAGGAATTTTTGTTTGAAACCGACAAGATTTCACTGTAAAGTTAATGCTCAAAAGGCCATTCAAATACCGCCTACAGTGCAGAAATCATAATAAAAGTAAAACACATTGGGGGAATTTGAAATTTTCGAAACACATAAAACCATTTCACTTTTTTTTTTGGGGGGGGGGGGAGGGGAGAAGTTTTGTAAACTGAGCGATACGCTAGTAATTGTCATATTACCTAAGCAGGGAGCTGCTGCAGGAATAAATGTAATGAGTTTTTTTTTAATGAAATGATTTAAGTGTTGAGTTTTGGTGCATCCATCAAATAAAGTAGGGTTCCCAGTACCAGCGCAATGTCGTTGTTGATTGCTGAAGATGGTGCTTTGTTGGAGAATGCCGTTAATTCTTGCACAGTAGGTTTGTTTACATAAGTCTAAAAGAAATAAAAAATCTCTACCTGAGCAGCATATATGTGTGTGTGTGTGTGTCTGCGCGCACAGTTACTTTGCTTAAGTGTTCTGACACGTGGAAGGATGCAATTTAAATGCCTCCTTCAAGACCCATCTCAAGACCCCCTCTTTGACCGTGCCCATCACCCTCCTACCTCTACCCTCCCCCATCCTAATCCCAATCCCCTAGCTCGGGTGCGGATCCTTGAGCATTCCAGCGCCGAGGGACGTCCTCCCGACGTGAAAGGCGCCAAACAAATGTGATTTGCCGCTGTTGTTTTATCAGCACTGCTCCTGTGCGCAGACCGCAGCGAAGTACTCGGCAGAGCGATTTATCAGAGCAGCAAAGCACTGTAACCCCACTCATTCAAAACCAGTTCCGCTGTAGTTATTAAAACAGGGGAATTTTATCGTGAAATCACCGCCGGTCTGCAATCTGATCGCAGATCCGTTTCTAGGAATCAGCCAGACATTCCGGGAAGGAGTCCCCGTTTGGTAATTGGGATTCTTTGGAGACGTCTCGTGTATCACAAACTGAACCCCAAACGGATGGGGGCAATGAATGTAATATTCAAGTCACTAAAGGGCCCCAAAACATGCTTTAAACATGGCACAACACACATTTAATTTGGACTACGGGCTGTTTTCAAAACTCAGCATTGGAATATAGCCTCAAACATACACTGCAAATCAACCACCAAGAAGTACATAAGGGAGAAAGTTGTTTAATTCGCCACACTTGATGAAAACCACACCACCAGAATTACATACGTTTCCAGTGCTTGATCGTTAACGCATTACAATGTCCAAAAATCTTAAGATTTGTAAAATTATATACAGTATGTATCTCCACAGAATGATTGAACAATCAAGAAGCGTCAAGTTTTAAACAAATATGGATTTGACTAGATAACTGAATACATCGTTTTAATGGCTATATTCTTGCAGTTCATTTACTGATAATCCGCAACTTGTGTTTGCTTAGTGGAGGGTGGGGTGGGGGGAGGGGGGTGGGGGGGGGAAAACAGTCAGCGTGTAGGACATTTGTGTTGACAATCTCATCCTTTAAGAGCCTGTGGTTCTGACGGACTAAAACCCAGGGAGCAATATGAACGAGAACCCGGAGACAACTGCACGAAGAGGTGAGAGGACAGGAGAAAAGAAAAAAAGCCGATGGAAAACACTCAGCCAATTTTGCAACCTGCAAAGTTAATATAACAAGCACACAACAAGCTGTAATGGTCTATAACCTCTGCACTGTTTTTCTTTCTGTTTTTTTAAAAAAACTCAGCAGTCACTACTTAAGGCACAGTGTAAAATCCACTTGATACACATTCTTTCCGTCAAGCTTTACAAAAAGAAAATCCTAGAAAAAAAAAACTGCACACGCACACACACACACACACACACAGGGCGAGAGGTACCGAGGCACAGTATAATCACAGTAACTTCTACTCAAAACCCTCAAGGTAAGGTTGCAAATTAAATCAGTTCGAAGCTCCCACTCTGGTCCATCAGCTGAATTTACCAATCGGTACCTTAAAAGCTAAATTCTACTGACAAGTTTCTCAGGGGTCGGGAAAGAAGCTGAGGTTCCCACTTGCCTCTGAGCTCTCTAATTTTAATACCGTAGATCATTTTATTATATCCACGTCGACAGTGAGAATGTTATTTAGATTGCCATCGGGAAACATTTTATTATTTTTTTGTACTGAGTTGCGCTTGAATGCATTTCAATAGTCCAGGGGGAATCCTTTCCTTGTTATTAGCAAAATATGTGATCGAATAAACTAAAATCCTTGGTATCCATTGGGTGAGGGTGAGAAATTGACATTAGTTGCTGTGGGACAGACTGACAAGCTCGGTCTTCCGTATCAGGCTTAACTGCACACCTCATGGCAGCCACAGCCAGAAAAAAACTTGTGCCAAGGTAAAAAGCCACATCCATCCATCCTTTTGCCTACAAATGCACAGTCTTCACATAAAAACTGAAACCCTTTGCAGTAGTTGATAGTATGTGCTCACCTCTGTATATAATAATAATCCTTGCATTCGATAAGATTGCCCACAACTTGAAAATAGGAGATTCAACATACTTTGTTTCCCCGCCAATGTAAAACTCTTTTGCAATTTGAAGGCAGTGTCTTACGTTCTCACACTGTCTCTGCTCAAACAGAAATGGGATGGGTGTGAGGAAGGAATTTTACAGGGTTAAATGATCACCTTTTTTTTTGCAGGAACTCTACAGAGGTTCTTGTATTTAGCTCCGTAGAATTTCCTCACACTCACCCCATTTCCGTTGTGAGCAGCAACAGAGTGTGAGAACAAGGCATTCTGGAAATAGGAGGTGAGGGGTGGGTGTGGGGTGGGGGTGTGAAACAGACAGAGAACACAAGAATGGTAAGAAAAGGAGGGACAGCTGATGGAACGGTAGATAAAAAGCGGAAGGAAACACAAGGTGAAATTGAAAGGGAAATCATCAGCAAAAGGGGCTTCGGCTGAGGAACGGCTAGAATCAGAGCTATTAAAAGGAGGAACCAACAGGGGAAAATCGCAAGGTAGGTTTTATTATTAATAATAATAATCCTCGCATTTAATACAGCGCCTTATCAGGTCGTTGAGACGTCTCAAAGCACTTCACAGAATACACTATGAAGTGAACTGACTGTATGTTTTGTGGTCGAAATGTCTTAATGTAGCTCCAACACGGATCCTCTTAAGTACAAGCGATGGTGTGTAAACTATTGTTGGAATCCAAACCTAAAGGGTTTGAGCCTAATTACTCATCTCGCAATTTAACATCTCCCTATGCACTGGACGCTCGCCTTGGAAGCCATCCCGTTTCAAATGGTAATTCGAGTCCATCTTTTTTGATGCCCTTCGCACTTCATCAATGGTTAGAGAATGTATTGGGGCAGATGAAACTCAAATCAGAATTGGATTCACTCCACTTGGCATTCTGCAGTGGTAGAATAAATAGCTTGAAAGCGTATCAAAACTTGAACAGCAATGGGTCCAGCCAAGTATTTGTTCTACAGATTCTTTAATCATTAGAAATGAACTAGTACACATTATTACCCTGCACCTCAAATGTCCAGGTTGCTGAAACCAGATACTTCCTGGGGATTGCATTTGGGGAGTTAAAAAGGAGCATAATAAAGTTCACTTAATCGAGTAAAAATATTTCTCAAGGAACAACGCTGCTTAGCGGGGCAACAGAACAAAATCACTAATACAGCGATTCCGCTGTTCCCCAAATCAAACTAAAAACTATTTGAGCTTTAGGGAGGAGATGGGGAGAAAAAGAGTTGAGACTTTGAAATTCAAGAATATTTCCCATCCGCCCCCTCCCGCTCCCCATTCAAACACCAGGGGTGACTTGAAACAAACAGGCCTACCACAGTGCATCGTGTTGTATCTCATCCCCAAAGACATTCTGTTAGGGAGTTGCTGTTACCGTACTATCTTAGAAAGATTTTCTTTTCTTTTTATTTTTTTTTAAACATAGGAAGAAAATAAAACACTACTGGAAATTACAATTTTAAAAAAAAGAGACACCCAAACTCAAACGAATGTCAGTAAGTAAAGAAGTAAACAGAAGTACTCCTTTCAGTCTCTTGTCGAACGCATCTCCAATCACTACTTCAGCCAAAGGGGAGGCTCCTCCAGTATGTAAGCACTGTCCAGGCACGTCTGTAGGTAGTACTGAAGGGTAGAGATATTCAGGAAGGTTTCTACAGTAATAACCAAAGGATGTTTGCACAAAGCCTCCAGGGCAACAGAGGCAGAAGTTTCAGTGCATTAACACATCAACAGAAACTCGGGTGTCGTGATGCACGTGAATGGATTACGTTTTTCTTTCTTTTCTTTTTTGTTTTGGGAAAAAAAAGTGATAATTTAACTCTGTAGAATTCCTGTGACAATTTACCTGCGTTTTTTGAATTTTTTTTTCCTGATATCAACCAGAAGAAGGTCGTCATAAGAGTTCGACTGTTTCATTCACTACTGGCTTGTGTTGGGGCATAAAGCAGAATTGCTAACAACAAAATCAGTGGTCTGCTCTCAAATAGTGTACGTCCGCTGATGCAGTCTCTTGCCCAGTCGATCACAGGTAGTCCAGTTCCAGAGCTTGATGCAGGGATATCAGATCACCGTGATTCACTATTCTCCAGAACGGCATATTGTGCTGGAATTTAAACAAAAAAATTGCACGTTTAAAATATATTATTTTAAAAAAAGTCAATAGCTAATAACATTTGTGTAGCGACTTGCATGTCAAGAGGATGTCCCAAGGCGTTGGATTTCAACCTTGCACATTATAAATTGAGTTCAGAGCTGTAAACGGGTCACCCTTCATATTTATTTATCATTATTATTTCACCTACAAGATACACAGTCAATTCACTTTACGGTATATTCTGCGAAGTGATTTGAGACATCTCTAAGATGTGATAAGGCGCTGTATCAAATGCAAGGATTATTATGATGATTATTATATAAATCTTCTCCATTGCTCTTCCCTTTTTTAAGTGATGACGATAGTGATGATGTGTACTTAACCAGCATAAAGTTACATTATTTACTGGCATCCAGCAGATGACAATATGCAACCAGATATAGATGGAAACATGGATTGCATCCCTAACCCAATCCAATGAATGAAAACAGCAGATGATGTTCAACACCTTGAACCGCTGACAGAGCACGTCTGGCATCAGCTTTCACTGTGCAGGCAGCCTAACCACAGTGTGCTAATTCACTCGCTTTCCCCGTAAAGCGTTCCTGGGAAATGTATTGTACTTTTACCCTTTTCGCTGCATACTCTTCGTCTCGGCCGTCTCCAATGACTACATAGGTGACCTTCTTCCCAAATCTGGATACAATGCGCTCAAAACAGCTTTCTTTGCCTGCAAAAGAGACACGTCTCAGCTTTGGCAGGAATCTTGTCTACTGAGGTTAATAAAGTGTGCACGGGCTACATACAGATCTATCTCCACTCTAGCTATGTATGGGAGGTTCCCTGATGTGATTTCCTTTGCGCAGTTAAGTCAGTTGCACTTGCTTGCGCAGGTAGTGATGTCAGTGGCAAACCATAAATCAGTCTTTATTTTGGTGCGATGCAAAATCATTAAAGAAACGTTTAACAAAAAACAAAATCAGATCATAATCTGAATTTATGCTACAGCTGATTGGGATGCTTTGATATGACCTCCCGTCGTGAAAGACTCTATACAAATATAATTTGTTGTTTTTGATGAATCAATTCCACTCAAGAAATCACCTCCTTGTAATTGAATCAATGGGTTTGATCAACCTTCTTTTAAAAAATCTGTTACAACATAAATATCGAACTGTCTAAAGCGCAACTTTAGATTAAACAAAAGTACTGGGTTGAATTTCTCACCTATTTTCGTAGCACTGTAAATATTTTCAATCGGGAAAATTTCACCTAATCCGTACAGCAACACCTTAGCCAGAGCTGGGACCAGCTGCGTCGTTGTGACCAGGACATTAACACAGTTTCTTCTTTAAAAAAAACCCACAAAAAACAAAAAACAGACTCAGAACAGTGGCGTTTTAAACGTCTAAATCCACGACTGTTCGTGGGACACTGCTGTGCGCAATTGGCTGCCACATTTCACCCACAAATACACAGTCAATCACTATACAATATATTTTACGAAGCGCTTTCGGAAGTCTCAATGACGTGGTAAGGCACTATATCAAATGCAAGGATCATTATTATAATAAATGTTTTTCCTAATGGATCTTCCTCTTCGACCGTGCCTGCAGCAACATCCCACCAGGCTGGCATCGTGCTCCCCTCTGTCAAGCGCTGGGACATTACCCTGCATGAGGGACTCTGTACAAATGCAAGTTGTTGTTACCTTGACTGAATTAGCAAGAGTGATTTCAAAGCAGTTCCCAGCCAGGAGTCTGTTAAAACATCCACATCTGCTCTTAACTGCTGTAAGGAATCCCTCTTGGTTGGATTGAACAGGCCTGTTGAAATAAGGGGAGTTTATTACATTCTGTTATAGTAATCTTCTGAGCAGGGCAAGTAATTCTGAACCCAAATAAAAAATACATTGAATCTATAACAAATAATTCGACAGTGGCACGAATATTGAAACTTGAGAGAGACAAAACCTACACTTACTGGCAACCTCAATTCTCAAACATTTAGTAAATGTTGAGACAATGTAGAAAGCCAATGAGAACAACGGAAGCAGCTAACACATATTTGAGAATTAGCAAATCTCCGAAATGTTCTATTATGTTCTAATAAAGATTATATTGAGAATAGACTCAGATACTCCACGTCAAGGTGCTTAAGGACATTATTCTTCTTGTTGAACGCGCACAAGGTTTAGCTAGACAATAACAGTAATTCAGTAAAGATCAGCAGGACAATTCCTAGCGTTAATATTAAGATAGCTTTCACTGGATGGAACAGGCGGCTCACACTGCTACCAGCAATTCATGACCGAAGGAGCTCATGTGCTAAAATGTCGGAAAGCACTAAGGAAGCTTACCTCCAATATTACTACTGTGTGAGTTGTACATTTCTTTTACTCGTCGATATCGAAAGGCCAGCTTTCTCATCCAGTCAACGCCTCCCTGGACACCACCTCCTGAGGTAAGGCTTGAACTCGACCCACGAAAACCATCATTAGCAAAGTTGTAGTCGCTGAAACGAAGAATGAAATATATCTTAAAAAGCTTCCTACTGCCTGGAGCTCGAAGACCTATGTATTTCTGGCGCTGCCTAATGAATTGAGTTTGGCTCTGTGCAACACAGTGCCTTCTTTGGAGGTTGCATTTCTCCTGCTTTGTTGAGTTCTCCTCTCATTCCTCCCAACTGCCCTGCAAAACGCCACTCGAGATGGGTGACCACTGCTGCGTTGTGCTGAAATCCAGTGCTGTTTCACCCTAATATGCATGCACGCAAAAAGCTCACACCACCAAGCAAATGTCGAGGGAAAGGAAGAGGGGGGAGGGGGTGCGGGAAAAAGAAAGTCATTGACAAAAATCCATCTAAAAACGCGAATGGGCAAAGTGAAATCTTTTAAACAAAACAAGGAATATTGATAAAAATTACGTCAAGTCTTGTCCGTTATCATCTGCTGTAACATCTTCCACGTGGACCTGATCACACTCCTGTTGAAAGGTCAGAGAAGAAATGAAAATTACGCTTAAACAAAATTCAGCACACCCAAATGTCTAATACAGTGAAACTCGCAGAAGTCTGAACTGTATAAATCATATAATCGCCTAAGTCATACATCTGCCCAAGTCCCATTCTATGCAAGTTTGACATCACTTATACTTTGCAGAAGTCATATTAAATGTATGGTCCCAACTGATACGACTTGTGAGTCTACTGTACCACAAACAGCCTTCAGAGTCTCCCCGAAGCTGCAACTGACTTCAGCTTTTACATTGCGACTTCAATGTCAACGCGTCTGGGATGTTGGCCACAAAGAGGCAGCCACGTACCTCCAAGTCATTGAAGAACAAGTGTGTGTCAGCGAGATCGAATATCATCTCCTCCATTTGTAACCCTAACGTTAGCGCTGAGGACGAGTCCTGAAAGGCAATCAGAACCAGTCAGGTCCAGGGCATCGTTTTCGCAACATTGTAAATCCAGCACTTTGGGACGTCCTCCCGATGTGAAAGGTGCTACATAAATGTAAGTTTGTTTTCTACTGTATATGTATTTATTGAGAAAAGAGATGGAAGAATAGGGAAACTAACCAACTAATCAGCATTAAAAATGCAACCATAACAGCGACTTGCATTTATACAGCACCCTTCACTTGGGGTTGCATTTGGCACTTAAATATAGGTCTCCGAACACAATTAGGATGTCTAAGATGGATGCCGGTCAACTGTGTGCCCACCCATGCCACACTGTCCTGAACACAACAAATAACTTACTTTGAATTAATAAAGCGAGCGTGGAAAAAAATGATAAGATTCCTTAATTTACTACAAGCTTTCAAGACACTTTCCTTCAATGTTCAGCTCTGCAGGAAATGACCCAGCTTTACATCACAGAGGCAAAGTTTTCTTACCTTCCCAAACCTTTGTGCATATGACCCGGTAAGCAGTGAATGAAAGATGATGATGGTTTCATCCAAGTCCCAGACAAACACCCTCTGCAGCGAAATAAGAGAGAACTACATTTCAATTTGGCATATTGCAGGAATTAGTAAATAAACAGATTAATGATTAAGCAGTTCTTGACCACAAGCCACAGATAGATAGATATCGGTTAGGTCAGGGCATTAAGGGCTTATGGGGCAAAGGCGGGTAACTGGACTTGAGGTACAGATCAGCCATGATCTTATAAAATGGCGGAATAGGCTCGAGGGGCTGAATAGCCTACTCCTGTTTCTGTTTCTAAACACACACACACATAAAGACTAGTTAATCTCCACACAGACCTCCAGTTCATTATCAGGTGATGGTGACGAACAACTTTTCTTCCCTTTCCCCCTGGATTTTCCACCAACATTCTTCCGAGATTGTTCAAGTTCCTTCAGTGCTGTTGGTGACAGAATTTGAGCCGGACCAGATTCGCCTAGAGAGAGGGGTATTTGGGGAGGGGGGGGGAATAAAAGAGAATTCAGATAAATCATCTGCTGAGTCTAATAACAGCAAAAGGTCACGCGCTTTATTTAAAGCCATTTAAAGCTTTCCTGCTCAAGGGAATCGTATTTCCATCACTGTCTGACCTGATTCTTTAAACGATCATTCTGTTTCTAACAACAGGATTTGTCCTTTAGGCAATCTGCCAAAGCAATTACTGACCCGGGGAGTTTTACTTCTGTAGATAATGGCTGAACTTTTTGTAGCATTGATCCAAGAAACTACAGGACTAGAGGAGGCTATTTGACTGGTGGCAGATCATACAATGGAGTTATCTTCTCTAATCCCAATTCCCGGCTCTTTCCACGTATCCTTTTATATTGTTCCTGTTGCAAATCGCTATCAAATCCTATGGTTTTAGCTTCAATAGCCACAGAAGGCGAAGCATTCCACGTGCTAATAATCCTGTGCATGAAAGTGATTAATCTAGTTGATCAAGCAAGCCAGGCTAAGTAAATCTCATTCCCTCTCGTTTCCTAGCACAATTGGAGATTCACCTGGGAAGTTTGCCAAATATATTTCATAATTTAAAAAAAAACCTTTTTAATCAATTAAAACTTGTGTTCGAAACTGTGCCTAAATGCATCAAAACATCTTGAAGAGCGTGCACCCAATACAAACTTTTGAAACTAGCGGTAGCTACATAGGCAAACTCTAAAGTGGATTCCTCTCCGGCAGATAGCAATGAGACGAATAAACAAAGGTTTGTTGGTGATATGAAGATGGGGCCCTATGTTTAAGTCTCGTACCCTATTGTACATAAAGCTTCACAACACACACATTCTCTCAACACAAGAAAGAAATCAAATTACAAGCAGAACTTCAGGCCGTGCCAGAGCCACGTGAGCAGACTTACCTGACTGAAAGCCCTCCCCTGACAGACCAGAAACCTCCGCCTGCAGTTTCTGCATCGGGTAGGTGGCGGTGGTGGAGACGCTGCTGGCGTTCGTGGCCACTGCAGTGCTGTAGTTCGAATTGGGATAATACTCCACATATTGGCTTTGCCCAAGAGATGTGTAAGAAGGATAATCCTGCAGAAACAACAACAACTTCAACAACAAATTGCATTTATATAGTGCCACTCACATAGGGTAACATCCCAGAGCACTTTTCATGTGGGGAGGACATCCCAAGCCGTTGGACAGTTAGGGATTTGGACTGACTGCAATTTTTTTTAAAAAAACGGAACGTTTTTATGGGCAATTTGTTTTTTTTTTGTAATTTTTTTTAAAACCAGCAACGACAATTTGCGTTGGGAGTCTGGGACTCAAGCCCTCTGGGACGCCACGATAAACGCAAGCTGTTGTCGCGCTGACGTAACGCAGGGTTGCGTCTCGGACAGAGCGCTTGCGGAACAGCGCGCAGTGTACCTGATTGGAACTGCTGGGAGCTGCAGTACTTGTGACCACGGTCGCAGCAGCAGCAGCTGCAGAAGGAGGGGGAGGAGGAGGAGCAGAATAAAGACCAGGTCTGGTGAAACTTGAACCTGCTAAAAAAAAAGTTGGCTTATAAGAACAACCTTTGCATTTGATATTGCACCTTAGTATGAAGATAATAATATCATGATAATCCTTGCATTTGATATAGCACCTTTTCACACCATTGAGATATCTCAAAGCGCTTAACAAGATAAATTGTGAAGTGGACTGACAGTATTTTTTGTGGGCAAAACACTTGATAAAAGATTCAGTTGGTGGAAAGTAACTCAGTGTATAAGTTAAAAACTGCTGCAAATATCAATTATTTCTACCTTGTTTTCATAAAGAGATAGTTCTATACTTCAACACTGGTCCCCTTGTACTCAAAAAATAAAAATAATTTCACTCAACCCACGATTGTTTGTGGGACACTGCTTTGCGCAATTGGCTGCTGCCTTTCGCCCACCAAAATATACAGTCAATTCACTTTACAGTTTATTCTATAATAATAATCCTTGCATTTGATATAGCGCTTTTCACGTCGGGAGGACGTCCCAAAGCGCTTCACAGAACACACTGTAAAGTGAATTGATTGTATATTTGTGGGCGAACGCGGCAGCCAATTGCGCACAGCAATGTCCCACAAACAGTCGTAGATTGAAAATGACCAATTTATTATTGTTTTTTTGGAGGGATTATTATTATGAATTATTATTATTATGAATTATTATGAAGCGCTTTGAGACGTGTCGAAGATGTGATAAGGCTCTAGATCAAATGCAATGATTATTATTATCTGCAGATAGGTTTGATAGGTACCTTGAAGAGGATATGAATAGTGTGCTGGGCTGGTTTGGTTTGAGCTGAAGCTTGGACTGTAACTGAGGTATCCAGGCTGACTGGTGGATCCGTCCTCTGTTTTCACACCAGGCCACAACGCACCTAATGCGAAATAGCAGTTACTCCTTTTAACAACTTAGCATCAAGTTACCAAACACATATGATGACATTCAAATCTCTCTCGGGTGTAAGATGGATCATGCCCGTCTGTCATACTGAGTGCAGTTGTGAAACAGACATTCATACACCAGGACGAAGGAAGATACCAGGTGTCATTATACCAGGTGTCATTCCCTTTCCTTTCTCCAGCACATTAGGTTACATTTTGTATTCAACCTTGTTCCCTGTTCATTTTTTAAAATGTATTTACACACACAACACTTTGTTTCCCATCTTACGTCCTTAGACCTGCAGTTTCCTGCTATTTGTAGGCTATTATTGCACTCCTCCTGCAGTTCCTACCCCTCATTCAAATCTTACAAAAACCAAGTGATCAACAAGGATGGCTATCAGATTCGCTTACCAAAGGGAGGTAGTCCATAAGGCTGGTTTGGCTGAGAATATGCAGTATAGGATACAGGTTGCTGAACCGCTGGATACCGAGGCTGTCCAGTGTAAGAGGTTTGTACTATTGGTGGAGAAAAAACGTGTGGATATGGCCTAAAAAATTAAATAAGTTATATTCGCACAATAAAATCTTTTTCCACCACTCAACAAGAAACTAAAATCATTGAAAATAATCTAACAGTGCACAAGGTTAAAGCATTTGAAAACAGTCACATTATTACTGATCAAACATTACTTTGAGAACACCAGTCTTTTAATTATTTGGACTGGTGTGTGAACATTTTTAAACCGTAAGGAAACTGAAAGTAAGGCTAAAAGTCTCAGAAACAGAGGGGAACACTGAGCAAGGAGTAGAGGAAGGAGAACTTAAGGATGTTAACCCTTAAGGCACAGTCAGAGAGAGGTTTTTACGAGGGTTTTGAGGGCAAGGAAAAGAGATTTGGGGAAGGCAGAGATGGGCCATTGCCATAGATGGTGAGATGGAGGGAATAAAGAACAAGCAGAACAAGTTCCAATCAAATAGAGAAGTGCACTTATACAGCACCTCACCACATCAGAGTCTCAAACGCGTTTCATAGCAATTAAAGCAACATGTAAATTGTTTAAATTGAAACTCACTTTGCAGGAAACATTAGCACGTTATCTTGATTTGGCACCCGTGCACTGTAACCCGAGCACGTTATAACTGCAAGAAAAAACAATGGAGAATATTCAACTCGATTATTAAAATCAAGAGTACATAAACAAGAGAAAAGCCTCTTTATTATTACACAATTCCACTTCAACCGCATTACAGTGCGTTCTACACACACCTGTGCTTCTAAAGTAAGCCCAGCGCCACCAAACCTTTGAAAGACAGGAAATACATTTCCTTTTTAAAAAACCTTTTAAGTGTTTAATCACAAGCGTTTGTGAGAGCAGCTGGTGCTCGCGATGAAAATCAGAAATCGCTTGGGAGAGAAAAAAAAGATTTACAACAATGTCATTTAACTGCTTCTCCATGCAGATATCCCAACAACATTTCCGTAAAAAAGTTTAATTTAGAGTAATTTCAAGTGTGAAAATCGAATTCTTACCCGAGTCTGGATACGGTTCACCAGATCTATCTCCTGTTGGAGTTTCCGACTCAGTACCTTGCACTGCTTCGTTTTTTACTAGACAAGCAAGATAAAAAAAATGTAAATAAAAATGTTTGGTGTCTGCATTGAAATACCATGAAATTTTATGTCTTGTGTATATAATATACATACATCCTAAAGCGCTTAACAGTACTGGTTGGGCACACGAGCTGGAGATTGGATCCAAGAGGGCTGGGAGCCAAGAGGTATGGGAGCCAAGAGGGATGGGAGCCAAGAGGGATGGGAGCCAAGAGGGATGGAAGGGGAAAGATGACCGATAGCGAGGTCAAAAGGTAGACTTGAGCATTCTCAGACTAATCCAGCACAAGACCAGCTTCCGTTAGTGAGGACATCGATAATTCATCAAATTCATGCCGCTATTTCCAAACAGTATGTATTAGGAAAGAGTGAGGAAAGAGGAGGAAGGGAATAATCTGAACTCAACCATCCAGAGGTAATTCGAAGCTCAACCCACCTTCTGGCTCATTCAGCACAGTTAAATCACTCGCCAGGCTGCTGGACTCAGACTTTTGGATTTCATTTCCACTGCTTTGATTCTGAAGTCTGATTAAGTTCTGCATTTCCCCAGTCCTGCATCGGTAGAGAGAAATAAAAGAAATTACTGAACTAACTTTAGGGGCTATTATTTTTAACCCTGATCATTTAAAAAAATCGACACTTTTGAAGGAAAGAAAAGATTGCCCAAGTTGAACATTTTCTTTGTCCACAGTTCTCTAGTTTATCTACAAATATTCAGTCACTACAGTGGACTGTACATTAATTTTAGCCAAAGCAAACGAAAAAACTGAGAACAGTATATCAACTAACCTTGAAGCAATAATAATCCTTGCATTTGATATAGCGCATTATTATGTCGTTGAGACATCTCAAAGTGCTTCACAGAATTTGTTGACTATTTTGAGGGTGCAACCCAGCAACCAATTGCACACAGAAGTGTCCTACAAACAGTCATGGGTTGAGTGACAAATGTTTTTTTTTTGAGGAACTATTACCCCCAGAAAGAAATCTGCCAATCGACTAACAACAGGGCTCTGACTTACTGCTAGCTAAACAGAGGTATAGGGAGTAAAGAAATTGCCTAAGGTTTCGCAAAGTATTGGCAAGGACTGGAGGTCAGAAGGGTTAGACAATTTTCATATTTGTAGCTTGATAGTAAATCAAATACACACGCACTGAAAACTTCAAGCACACATGGACGCACCTTAAACTTTTCTCTTCTGAAGTATCCAACTCATGCCTTGCCTTTTTCACCTGCAAACGACAGAGCAAACAGTAATTCAGTTTCCTAGTTGCAAAAAGAGTTTAGCAGACCTTAAATACAGTGTCAATCTTCCCACTCCACTATTCTTTCAATCACTCAAAAAGGTAATCAATAAAAGAAATCCAGGCATAGCAAAATCTGATTGAAAATTAGCACAAAATTGCTCCTCTTTTAATAGGCTGACTACAATCTGTGTGACAACTGAATCTGGCAAGGAAGCATGCCAATATACCACTAATGCTATGATTTCTACTTGCGGACCTGTAAACATGCAATTAGGAAATGACTTCACTCGAATTCAGACATTAAAAAAGGCATTTGCTTAAAATACCCTAAAAAGGTCATACAGCCATCACAACGTTATAATAATCCTTTGACATAGCGCCTTATCACCTCTTCGAGATGCCTCAAAGCATATACTGTAAGGTGAATTGACTATATTTTGTGGGCAAAACGCAGCAGCCAATCGCACACAGCAGTATCTCACAAACAGCCACCAAAATGACCAAATTCTTATTATTTTTTGCTAGGTAAACAGAGGCATTACAATAGAAGAAATTGAGGATGTGGTGAAAGGAGATCCTTACAAGCTTTGCACTTCTGAGCTATTGAGACAAGGATGTTTAGATACACCCGAGTGCCTGTGTTTTGAAGGAGAACAGAACATTTTGAAATTGCTCGACAATTTTGATGAAAAGGACACAAATCACATTATTTTAAGCGCAAGAAAATAATATGCCACATCACTCGTTTTATCAGTGCCAAAATTAGAAACGGTCAAACTGCTTTGCACTTTTAATGCTGCCACAAAGTTCAATACTCTGTGCCGCATCACAGCATAAAATGTTGGTTTGACGTGAAATGCAGGCAAATAATGCTGTGCTCAAGTGGTTCAAATACAGGTTGCCAGAACTACAGCAAGCACAAGCTTAAACGTCACCCCCTGCCTAGCTATGGGACCAACTCACATATTCACAACAACATCCTAAAAAGAGTGAAATGTGTTTGGAGTCGCAGGCAAAAGCATTTAGGTTTGTTAAGAAGGTAAAGACTCTATTTTCTTCGTGTCTGTGTGTGTGTGGTGGGGGAGGGAGGAGATCTGGATGAAATACACATCTATAATCATGTACTATACAGGTGCATTAAAAATCAAGAACTTTCACAGGAACCTCCTGCTCACTGGGGCTGCCAGTGATATTAATTTATTTGCATTGTCAACAACGATATTACATAGCAGCCACGTAGTAGAAGGTTTAAGCATTGCAAGAAACTCTCCTTCGACCAGGAAGTCTGCAAACCTACTCCATTCAGGAAAGTTAAAGTACAAAGGGAAAAATTCAAAGGAATAGTTGAAACTCAAGTCTACCTTTGCCACACAAGCCAAGAGGAGGAAAAGAAATGCACCGTAAAGCAACAAAGAAAATGGAGCGCATTTAAAGAAAATTAACAAATGTGAAATATGATTCTACTGTCGGCATCTAACAAACTTTTTCAGTAAGATTCAGAAAAAGCTTCCACTATCACAAAGCTGCGAGCTCAGCCGGTCATTAAAAGCCACTACTCAATACCATTGAATCTGTACTAAGAGTTTACAACAGGTGCAGGGCACCAAAGAGTAATTCAACGTTTGGGAGAAAAGACAAAAGAAAGAAAAGCAAATGCTTGCAGGTTCTAACATTGATACAGAGCATAGAAACATCTGCAGCATGAATGCAACTGTTGTAATGTAAGAGGCCACACACAGGCACAATTGATGCTGATTTAGTATTTATGAAGCCACATGGTCAAGCAGTCAATGTCAATTACAAACATACCTACGAGAGGAATGCAAAAAGTGAGCCGACAAGTTCAGATGAACAGCAGATTGTCCTGTACTATAAATGTAGCTTAAACACCAAATGGAATGGAGAAGAGCAAAAGACACACGCTGAACTTTGTTAAGCCTTAAGCAAAACTAAGCGCTGTGTAATACTTACAGGCCTGTCCTGTGAATCCTGTGGGTCTTCCATTGAAGTTGCAGGTCTGTTGCCACTCCTCTCTGCGTGAGGACGCAGAGCAGTGATGCTTGCTCGTCTTCAAAGACTACAGTGCCTGTCAAAAATGTTCACAGCCTTATATACTTTGAAGGGATTTGTCACAAAAGGTTATCTGTTATATAAAACATTTTCAAACCACATAGGTTTATCGTTTTAAATCTGTTAACACATGAAACCCAACCTTCAGAGAAACCCTATCATACACCAAACAAGGGAAAAAAATGAAAGCAAGCCTTTTATTATTAAGGTCAGCGAGGTAAAAAGCGACATACGTGAAATAAAGCAGCACGTGAAATGACTTGGAAATCACAGTCACGTGTAGCTGTCCGTCTAGATACAGCACTTAATTTTATTTCTACTTTTGAGATTATCCGAGCCATATCGAGCGATTTGCCACAATTCACCTCGCCAATAAGCAATCTGATATGATTCAACCTGGTTTAAAATTAGTTCACTTATATAAGTGGCCCAAAAAGTAAATGAGGGCAGCGGGACTGCAGACAAGACATGTGAGCGATTGGTGAGGTAGACAAAAAAAAACTGGAGCTCCTGAGGTGAATTTTTCTAACTTACATTTTATTTTCATGAGGGTAGGGGGGAAAATAACGTTTATCGAAATCGACATTTCGAACTGTGCTGCAATTTCTGTGCAAAGCCTCCGCCCGGTAGTAGTTTGGAACGACCGCACAGCATTAGACAAGTTTAAAAGTACACGGCACCATTAAACCTGGCGACTGTACAATCCTTCTGTTCAAACACCTTTCATGTCTGCAAAGCTGACTTATTAAGGGAGGGAGGAGATTAAAGTCCCAAACTAAGGTTACAACCACCACGAACACACCTTAGAGATAAAGAGCAACCGCTATTCCTTTCCATTCACTCAAGCCCTGCCCTCCGCAATGCACAAATCCACAATCGACTTCTTACGCAAACAATTGCCCCAGTACACAGAGGTACAAGCACTAACTGAAACCTTCACTGAATTTTCGTGGACATAGGGAAGACAAGTTAACCACAATAGAGAAGTGATATTTATTACAGCAGATTAGCAAGGTACAACTCACATAAGTCATATCAGTCAATAAGACATTTAAGTCCGACTTGCAGGTCAAACTTGTATGAATTGCACAAAATCCGATGTAATCAATAATCTACACTGTCCATGTGTAATTCAATGCAGCCGGTAAGTGCGCATGCGATGACGGGTCAAGACCACGTTTCCCACGATTCAATGCGTCTTTACTAGTCACTGCATGCACACTTATGGGCAGGCATTAAATCGTGGAAAATATAGTTTTGACCTGTCATCACGTGCGACCTTACTGGCAAGCACCGGAGTCGCAGGAAATGAAGTTCTTCTGCACATGCGGCAGTGGGTCAAGACTATGTTTCCCGTGATTGAATGCAGCCGGAAAGTGCAGGAGTAATGGAGGATAGGAGAGCAGCGTTACGAGTTAGGAGAATGATTTGCTTTAAAATACGACTTGTGCAAAGAATCTAAATGGTTTTGCTAGGAAACTGAATGGGACTTAGGTGCATGTATGACTTAGGCGATGGTAATGATTTATGAAGGCCAGACATATGCAAGTTTTACTGTGTGTCTACAATATTTTTTCTTAGTGGAATGATAGCAGCCCTTTCAAGTGCTGAGAATCAGCCCAACAAATGGCAAACCAAGTTTTTTGTCCTTGTTTAATGAGGACTGACTGGAACTACTGAGCATTCAGTAATTTGTTCATGTCAAACAGCAGCATTCAGTCTCCCAATTAGCTAAGTGGCCAGGTAGTATTTTTTTTTGGATTTGTTGAAATTTTAGGCTTAAACACAGGGTGAGGGTGGCAAAAAAAAATCTGAATCAAACTCAAGTTTAAAAAAAACACTGAATGGGGGTGACTTGAAAGGGGCTATCCAAATGTAATTTTGTTTTTGTTGTAAAATAACAAATAGAAGAAGAGAATATGGACAAAGAAAGAGAAGAACAGCAGCAAAGTGGATTATACTAGAGGATTTTTGAGTAGCATAGCATACAAGCTTTAAAGAATCTTTACTGAAAATGTTGATGTAGAGAGCAACCTCGGCCCTGAAGCTGCTGGCAATCTGAAGAGTAAAACAAAAACCTGCCCTCTAATGCAATTGGTGAATTATTACCTTAAGGACAGAAGCAGGGTCTCCGAGCTGACACGGGGATCAATTGTGCAGTCGCTCTTAATTAAGAAATCCCCAACACAGACTGGCCGGGATGGCATTCCCAACTAAATTTCAGACCTGGAATCCCTCAAGTCAGAATGGCATACTTACAGAGGAAGTCCCTGCCTGCACGTGTTAATTAAGAAATCAGTTAAGAAATACCGCAAAATTGACCCCTCAAGGGATTACCTTTATTTTGTAATTTAAAAAGGGAGAGATTTATTGCCAGTCAGTTGGTGCAGCAATTCACGAGGATTTCCACTAATTAAACCATAAACTAAAAGAAAGCTACTGTACACCCCTCTGCAACTCACTGCCTCAATCCCTCCCTCTCCATCCCCCACTCCCTCTTATCTTTAAATCGCTCCTTAAAACTTGCCTCTTCTGCCATGCCTACGGTCACTCCCCGTCGTCAGTGCTGGGGGAAGGGTTGTTGCATTGTCGGAAGGTGCCGTGCTTCGGATGAGATGGGAAACCTGTTCGTCTGCCTGTTCAGGTGAACGTTAAAGATCCCATGGCACGATTTGAAAAGAGAAGGGAGTTTCTTTTGTTGTCCTGGCCAGCAATCTCCCAAATAAAATTGTTCACTCGCTCGATGGCTGTTTCTGGGACATTGCTGTGTGCAAACTGGCTGTTGCGTTTCGCCAACAAAATACAGTCAATACACCTTAAACTATATCCTGTGAAGCTCTTTGAGACATTTTCACAATGTGATAATGCACTATATCAAATGCAAGGATTATTATTATCATTAAGAATTGCTAGAAACCTATCTAAGGCCAGTTATTAATGGGGGGGAAGGTAACTAGACTTGTAAGAACTTACCCCTGAGGTGCTCCGAGTAACAATTCTCTTTTAAATTCGCCTGAAAACAGAAGTTTGAAGCACTCCACTACAGAGTCCAAGATATATCCATTTTATTCATGAAAATTGAATGGGTACACGTTGGGAGGGAACAGACGATTACTGAGCAAGGTTTTTGGGAGGAGGGTAGGGTTAAACCATGTGTCCACTACCCAAAAACACTTGTGAAAGCATTTTGTTTCCAGCCTGACCGAGGTTTTTGTACATTTATTTTAAAATCCCAAACTCAAATCGCTTCCAGCTTTATAAATCCTACTTTGTCAGCTCCCGATAGACCAAAATCACTCAACTTATTTTCAGATCTCAAACCTCTGCAGCGAAAATAACATGACTTCAGCTGGAGAGAGGCTGGCAAGCAGTTCAATAGGAAAGCAAAGCTGAAATATCGTTTTGTACTTTGGTTTATTTTTTGGGGCAACCGACTTAGGATTTTGCCGAAAAGTGCAAACGCAAAGAGCAAGAGCTCATTCATCATTGTGTCAACACATTACTGTCTAAGACAAGGAAGGTACAGTTAACCGTGAGGTGACGACAACCGGGTGACCCTTTAAATGCATGTTAACACCAGGCTTTTATTGAAATGGTTACTCCATTGCTAAACTGCTATTATAACCAAGGTGCAATCTTTGTGAACATTGAAGCGATAACTCATTTCTTAACCTCTGGTGCTTAGTGCACTGTGCAACTTTGTAATGAGATAATATTCCTTGCAAAGCATAAAGCTAATCAATGTTGGAATTTGAGGGGTTTTGCCTCAAATGCGTTACAGTAAAATCTTATTTAGATATCATAGTAATGTCCTTGCGTTGGATGCCACCCTTACAAAATTGAAACAGTAATTCCTGTCAAATATAGTGACTGTGTTTGTGTAAGGCCAGACTAAATTTGCACAAGGCAAATTGAATGACTAATATATCTGGAGGTATCCGGCCAGAACATTGGGAGAAGCTCCCTCTTTTTAGAAAAAAAGCATCATAGCATCTTTAATGTTCACCTGAACAGGCAGGAGAGACCTCATCTGAAGGACAGCATCGCTGACTCCTTCAGTATTGAACTGGAGTATCATAATTGGCAATGAGCTCAACGCTGGTAGATCAGTCAACTCGACTCATTTTACTTCACTCTTGCCTCTGAGTCAGGTTGTGGGTTCAAGCCTCCTCTTTTTTTTTCTCCTCTGTATATTGTCCACAGAGTATATCAATAAACCACTGAAAAATGTCAGGCAAATTTCAACAGAAACACACAGCTAAAAGGCGCTGGCTCATTAATAGTCCAAATGCTTACACACCCATAAAGAGGTATGCTTTGAACAGCAATCTTAGATTTAGAAAAAAGTCTTTAGCTCTCATATTTTAAAACAACCTGCTAATAACATGCCATTTATATTGGCTAGACTCCACAAACACCTCAATAAGCAGATGTTGAAATTCCTCTTTGAGATGAAAAATACAAACCTTGCACATGTGAGAATAGGGCATTTCAGTCTGCAATGTGCATGGATAGATACTAATATACATTCAAATAAAAGGATTTGATGCTCCCTTGATACAATACAAATTTACATTTGTATTGTGCCAAATTTGTATTGCGCCTTTCATATGGGGAGAACGTCCCAAGGCGCTGAATATTCAGGTTTTGGACCTGAGCAAGGGAAGGGGGTTGAGGTAAGCAATAGTGGACAACAGGGAGGGTAGGGGTAGGAGGGTGGCCAAAGGCACGGTCAAAGAGGAGGGTCTTGAGATGTGTCTTGAATGAGGCAAGGGAGGGAGCGAGGCTCAGTTAACAGGTTATCTGCCATGTTAGTGAGCCACAGACTGGGAGTCATAGGTTTGATCCCCATTCAGAGGATCTCCCAAGAAAACAATAAGAAAATTATAATGACTTGAGCATAGGAAACATGAAAAAAAATCATCCAAGGTTCCTATTTCTGACCCTATCCAGTGAACCCTACAGTAAAGTATGTAACTTGCACAGTGCAGGTTTATCCAGCTTGGTCTTCATTCAGAAGAGTCTCAGAGCTAAAGTACATTTTCTAATCGAATGTGTCACACAATGCCTCATCCCCAGCACTTTATCTATAATATTTGCGCATTATGAACTAAAAGATGATTATATTTTCAGCTCAAGAAATTCAGCTTAAGTGGCTGTACACAATCATTTTGTTCAATCATTCTAGTGGAAACAATACTTTATTTCTCCAGGTGCTTTTTTNCTCCCCACTCCGGGAGTTATAAATCAAAGATGAATAACGAACATTGCTACAGAAGTGATAATAAGTAGTCAATTAAAATTATGTACAAACTTTCTGCACCCACATCAAAAGCCCTGCCAACTCACACCTCAAAAGAGAGAAGCTTTGATGCGAATAACTGAAGGGATTTTCATAAGGATTAACTATTCAGGTTAAACGAAACAAAGCCCAGAATTTTTTTTAAAAAAGTTCACTTCATTATTTGCAAGCAGAATTGCACAGCAATTAATATTATTTGGGAGAAATATCACGTGACAACACTGTAGTTTTCAATATCAAGGAAACATGACCTGCAAAATTCTATAAAGCAACCATTAATTGTCAGTTAGTCAAACAATATAATAATAATCCTTGCATTTTATATATGTCTTAGCATGTCTGAGACATCTCAAAGTACTTCACAGAATACCCTGTAAAGTGAACTGACTGTATATTTAGTGGAATCAATTGGACGCAGCGGTGTCCTACACACAGTCTTGGATTGAGTGATTACATTTTTGTGCTAGGCAAACAAAGGTGTTACAATAGAAAAAACTAAGGATATGGGATTATTTCCCTGAGAAAAGCGATCCACCGATCGACTAACAACCAGTTACTGCTAGGAAAACAGAGGCATGTGGAGTAAGAAACCTTGCCTAAGGTTTCGCCCTGCCGGCTAATTGAATCCAAGTCCCCTCGCTCTAACCATTAAGCTACAGGACTCCACAAAAGGATAGTAAAAAAATTATATGTTCTGAGACCCAAAACTTTGTATTGACATTCCCTTTGGTACAATACCTTGGTACAGACCACTCTTTCACTTTAGCAATGCGCGCCGGCCTTTTTCCAGGTTGATAACACTTTCAGGTTCACGAGAAACTTCACAAACAAAGATGCGATTGGCAAAGTTAAGTAACTAAACGGTCCAGCCGCAAAATAACTCACATGTACAATACAACACCATGGGCCTTCTTCTTGTGCTGTAAAAATAAAGTCTAACTTGTCCAGAATGAGCCCCTCAATTTGAAACCTAACAATTCACCAACAATTCAGAGTGGCACCTACCTGAAGCCAGTCCTAAGATTAAGAAGATAACTACAGTACTTCCATGCAGGTGCTTTGTCTCAGGGGTTTAGGAGGGTTCAGGAAGACATTTTTAAAACACCCCCCCCCCACCAAAAAAAAACGTGTTTCCTTTTAAGAAGCACAGCAAAGTGGCTGTTAAAAAGAATGAGAGCGACCAAACAGTCGAAGACAAAGTTTGGTGGTGGGAACGCAAAACAAAAAGCCACTCATTTTTTTTTAAAAAAACACCTCAAAGCAATAGCTTTCTTTTCCCCCCCAAAAAAAATCTCCCACCCCCCCCCCCACAAAAAAAAGAGCACAATGTCCTCTCTCTCCCCCCCACCCACCCACCCACAGATGCCAGAACACACAGGTGAAAACAAAAGCTGAAAACAGGAAAGGAAACCTAATACCCCCTCAAAACAACACAACTTTTAGCTTCGGGATCCAATGCTGATGCCTTCACTCCACTCTCCTCCCCACACTCCCCTCCCCCAGCACTGTACACAAGGCGCACTATTTAGCAGGAAGTGCCCTTCCCCCCGGCAGGGCGCATGCGCGCGGCCCACCCCCACCCCGGGCGTCGCTCCTGCGCTCGCTGAAGAGGTGGGTGGGGGGGGGGGGGGGAGTACTCACTATTTGGCAGGGGGTTACTCGGAGCCTGGCCGCTCGCTCGCTCGCCGCTCCATCCAGGCGGGGGGAACCGGGGGCGCCCGCGCTCGCAGGTGGTGGTGGTGGCGGCTGACGGTGCCGCCGCCGCCGGAGGAGGAGGGTGAGGGGTTAGTTTTTTTGAGGGAGGGAGGGAGGGGGAGAAGAGAAGAACGTTTCCCCCCTCTCCCCGCCCGATGCCGCATGTGACGGTAACGTTCGGCAGAGACGGGTCACGGCCTCCAAGAGGCGGCGTCGTCGGCGGCGGCGGCGGCGGCTGAGCCTCCCCGCGACACCGGCCGCATCCCCGGCCTTCCCGCTCAGGGGCTGCGAGAGGAGAGGTCCGCCATTGCGGCGCCGCGATGCACCCTGGGAGGGAGCCGCCGCTCTCCTCTCACACACCCCCGACCCCCCCCCCACCGCCCGGCGCGAGCAAGGCCACGTGGTTGCAGTGAGTGTGTCAATCAATGGGATCGGGTCCCCGCCCCCTTTTTTTCAACCACGTGGTTACAGCGGGTGTCAGTCAACGGGGGTCGGGTCCCCACCCCTTTTTTTCAACCACGTGGTTACAGCGGGTGTCAATCAACGGGGGTCGGATCCCCGCCCCTTTTTTTCAACCACGTGGTTACAGCGGGTGTCAATCAACGGGGGTCGGGTCCCCGCCCCCTTTTTTTCAACCACGTGGTTACAGCCGGTGTCAATCAACGGGGGTCGGGTCCCCGCCCCCTTTTTTTCAACCACGTGGTTACAGCGGGTGTCAATCAACGGGGGTCGGGTCCCCGCCCCCTTTTATCAACCAAGTGGTTTACTACAGTGGGTGTCCCATCCTTTGGGGACCTGCACTGTAAAGTGTAGTGACTGTCTACAGTTGCGCACGGGCGGTGCCCCACACTCAGCCGTGGATTGAGCGACCAAATTATTATACATGTGTACATTTGTATATATATATATATATATATTTATTTATATATTTTCTGGAGGGTTACGAACCCCCGGAGCATCGACTAACAGCAACCGCTCGGGCAAACAACAACAACAACAACAACAACAACAACAAGATTCCATTTACAGAGACTTGCCCGACGTTTCGCCCAGCCCGGGACTCGAACCCGGGTCCTCCTCTCGCTCGCTCGCCCGCCCGCGAGCCGAGCCCTGCCACGGGGTCACAGCGAGCGTCCGTCAACGGCAGCTGATTTCCCCTCCTCACCGTCATCGGGGGCTTAGACCCAGTTGCCAGCCTGGCTGAACGGGTGGCACTCTCGCCACCTCGTGGCACACCTGCAGGTTGTGCATTCGAGTCCTGCCTTTAGGGAGGGGGTGGTTGAGCTCGAGGTCCAGGCTGATAATATGCCTCTACGGTGTTGTTTGGGGGCTGGAGGCTTGAGATCCCGTGATAAAATTGGTCATGTGTTTCGTGGCTGATCGTGGGGAAGTCGCCGTGTGCAAATTGGCTGCTGCAATCATTCAACTTTTACTTTGACCTGATGAGGATTACAGTATATAACATGCTTCGGCGACACAAAATGTACATTCACCAATACCTTATTGAGAACTAACTCCTCGTCCTTTCACTTCAGACAAAAATATCTTTGATGTTGTGTCCGTCCTCTCTAAAAATCCAGTAAGGAACAGATTGTGCAATACCCTAGATATAGTGTAACTTTGGATATTGCTTAAAATGGTAAAGAAATTTGCACAATGCTCTACTGTTGAGAAATATTCAAAGCAAGAGAAGAGAAAAATAGAATTGGTACTGCATTCGTTGAGAAAGCAGGTGTTTTTAGACAGCTAGGGTGCAAAAACAAGGTGTTGCAAATGACAGGTCTGTACATGGATCACATACTGTCTATTCATCTCCGGGACATCTGGAAACCAGCTGTTCCGAAGAAATGTTCTCAGAAACCGCCTGATCCTGCAGAAACTCCCCACCAGAGAACTTCACTCGAACACAAGGCTTCAAAGTTAGCACTTTACTGCAAATCTCCTCTCCCCAATGTCTCAGTGATTGATTGACAGGCCAGACGGAGGAAAAAACACCCAGAAAGAGAGCCATAGATGCTGCTAATGAGCAGTTCCTGGGCGCCAGATTGAGCAAGATTGATAAACACACATACAACGGTGTTTCAAGGAAAGCCATTAATCATCTGAGGTCTGTTCCTGACAGTTTTATAAACATTCTGGGTTACAAGGAGAGATAATAATAATACAAGCAGCATTCCACAACTATGGCTGAGAGGTTAAAGGAGCCCTCTTATCCTACACAAAATATCTTGTAGATGACAGTCACATGGGTTCAAATTGAGGTTATCCGTTATAGTAATAATAATCCTTCCATTTGACACACCTTGAAGACGCCTTATCACGTCTTTAAGGCATCTCAAAGCGCTTCACAGAATTTACTGTAAAGTGAATAGACTGTATATTTTGTGGGCGAAACGCAGCAGCCAATTATGCACAGCAGCGTCCCACAAACCGTCGTGGATTGAGTAACCAAATGATTATTGTATATATATTATATCCACTGTTAATAAATGGCTCCATTATCAGCTTTGTACCAATTGTTCTTTTGAATGCTTTTCTTAAATGTTGAAGGGCACGGCAATATCTTTTTCCTCCACGTTGATCCTGTTGAGGGATGTCAGTGCTAAGGGAACACATTTTCCACTTCCGTTGTTCTGGATTAGGGCAGCATCTCAGACCCCTTACAGACACGAGTAAGGCTCAGGGTGACTCTATCCTAGTTTTGTACATTTAGCCAATGCCAACCATCTTTGTGGGCATCTCTGAGCAAGGTCATAGATCAGGGCAGGAGAACGACTGGAGTGGAGCTGGATTGTCATGAAGCTTCTGTTCCCTGAGAGGGGATGCCTTGGCCAGAGGTAGAGCAATGGAGTGAATGGGAAGATGTGCGTATATGGGATTGAGTGGCGTAATGCTCACTGTCGTAGGCAACATGAACAAAATGCTTCGCTTTAAAAAAAATGCTTTGCTTGAAATATGATCCAGGAACTCACCGGCTGTTCAGCAACAGGTCAGAAGTCAACAGGTGTTACATTGATCACTATCACATCACACACACACACAAAAATACAGCATTTTTCCGCTTTCCCCTCTCTCACCAAGAAGGTCTGAGCTTCCATTGATAGCGTATTATAATAATAATAATAATCCTCGCATTTGATATTGGGAGGACGTCCCAAAGCGTTTCACAGAACACACTGTAAAGTGAATTGACTGTATATTTGTGGGGGAATGCGGCAGCCAATTGCGCACAGCAATGTCCCACAAACAGACATGGATTGAAAATGACCAATTTATTATTGTTTTAGGTTTTGGAGGGATTATTATTACTGCTCTACGCTAATGGGAATCAGAAACAATAGATACGAAAGCATGAATTGTTGGTTGTGATTGGTGATAACTTTAAAGGTAAGAATAATATTCCTAGCATTTGATTATAGTGCCTTTTCACATCAAGACGTCTCAAAGAGCTGCACAGAATATACTGTAAAGTGGATTGACTGTGTGTTTTGTGTGTGAATTGCGCACAGCAATCACCCGCAAACAGTCGCGGATTGAGTGACCAAATTATTTATTTTTGGAGGGTTTATTAGCCCCGGAAAGCTATCCGCCCATCGACTAACAACCGGGTTCCTACTTACTGCGAGGTAAACAGAGGCGTGCGGAATAAGGAAATTTGCCTAAGGTGTCGGGCCACACGGGAATCGAACCAAAGTCTTGTGAGAGGAGCGCTCTAACCAATACATTGCAGGACTCCCAGGTGACACATTCACCTCTTTGAGTCGTTAAACCTAAACAATTTGTTTTTCTCTGTTGAGTTCGAACCTATGCTCCCTGGTTTCATACGCAGCACAGGTCACTACACTTGGTGAATTCTGCCCCAAAAAACTTTTGATATCTCAATGATGCAAAAGGCAGCGGATCAAATTCAAGGGTTAGATTATATAATTCTTCCATTTGATGTTGCACCTTAACACACTGTTGAAACATCTCAAAGCACTTCCACGGGATTTACCGCAAAGTGTGGCGACTGTATTCGTAGGTGAAAACAACAGCTAATCTACGCACAGCATTTGTTGTTAAACTTCCTCCGATGCCCAGATGTACCTGAGTGTAATTTTTTGGGACGGGGAAATAAGAGTAGTTTAACAGAATCTCGAACTACCGTATAAGAATTGAGAAGCAAAAAAAAAGTGACTATTCATCAGTTACTTATCGCTGCCTATAAGGGGTTATAGCGCCACCTTGTGATTAAAAAAACACAAAATAATTGACCCCAATCAGGTTTGGGGGTAAGATTCATGCCGGGGTATTGCATTCTTAGAGTGGTACCTTATGTTAAAGGTCTCAGTTACTGTCAACTGTACGAATAGGAAGGAAATATTTACTGGGAGCTCCGTTCCTGCTCAGATTTGCCCCTTAGTGGTGCATCTAAGGAATATTAAACACAAGACTGAATCCAGAGCTAACCATCTAGTTTTCTGCGCAAGTGTGGGATCAACTAGGGATTTTTTTTTAAAAGAGAGTGAGAAAGACTTAAGCTGCTGTATCCAGGCAAGCGGCAGGCAGTAGAGGGGTTGGGGGGGAGAAAAGGGCATCACAAGATCAATTTGGAAGGTCCTTTGGTCCATCTGATGCCCATCATTCCAAGATATCCACTCTCCCCATTGCGGCATGAAGCACCACCACCACCACCACCAACAACAACAATTTGCGATCATATAGCGCCCCTCACCCAGGGGTAGCTTCTCAGAGCTCTCGACAGTGGCAGAGCACGACCTGGAGCTGGGATCACCGCGGTGTTAAAAGATTTACAACGATCAAACAAATGAGTTTAACCCCCCTTCCCACCTCCAAGAAAAAAAAACGTAGTGATGTCCAAACTAGTGACGGTTTAAGCATTTGAGTTTATTTTCCGAGTTTGGGTTCATGAATAAACAAAATGCATCTCCAGCTTTAGAAATCTGTCACTGTTTCATGTGTAAAAAAAAAACACATACACAGCTGGACTGACTGATCGTACATACACACAGGTGCACAGTATAGATACAGACCTACATTTTACATATGTACACGCACCAACCAATGTCCGTGAAGCGGATTAGACATTTGTATTTGAACCAAAGTGACAAATTAAATATTTTTCTGGCAGGACTACAGACAGAAACCCAAAGAATTGGGGGCGCGCGGAGGAGGGGAGAAAGAGGGGGGGGGGGGAAATCATTTCTATTTGATACACGCAAATATTTGGAGCGTGCTTTAACTTAGAGACCTCACGCTGCGCAGCACAGAAGTCGAATTGTGGGAAAACTGCTTAAGACAAGCTTTACAGTACTTGGCTGCCAAACTCAGTAGAGCAGCCAGGATTAAAAAAAATAAATATTTCAAGTTTAAAAGTTTTTTTTTTTTTGAAAAAAAACCTTCGAGTCTCAAAAAAAAAGGAAGAATATGTACCACGACTACGTTCGACATTGTGCAATCTGACGTCTAAAACAGGTCGAGCAAGGCAAGGGGTCTTTTGCCAAAGAGCCCTCCTCCCTCCTCCTCTCTTTTGTGCTTACAACATGTGTAAATAAGGAGTTAGATCTTCCAAATATGAAAGATAAAAACGCAGCAGATTCTCTTAACCCTTCGGAGTGCTGACGATTCAGAACAACGTCAACCACAAGAAAATACGGATTCGGAACGGTGGATCAGAAAGTTGCATTGGCGAAATCACACAGAAAGTGGACGGTTTGACTGCTTAGCTAACTGGAAGGTTCACAGATTCACGGGTTATTTTTGGTACAGAAATCCTACTGCAGTTCTCAAAAGGGTTGAAGGGAGTCTCTGCGTGTAATAAAAGCATCAGCAGCCGACTGGAAAAGTGGCCCAACGCCTTTGTTCAATAAAAAAAGAACACACTTAAATCAATCGTTCCACTCTCTTGAAGGTTGAAAGATATATTCTCATTTAAAAAAACAAAAACATACAACACTTGGAAAGTCCGGTCTTCTGGTCGATCAATCAAGATTTCAAATGGTCCCAAGTTTCAGTAAACCGTGTTGCCAATTGCTCAACACTTCACTAAGAAGTCCCAGAAATAAATGGACACTTCAGTTCCTTGTCCTTTTGTGGGGAATGGTAAAGCACTTTTCACAAGGGAACAGTTTTGTTCTTTGGATTAAAGTGGTCACCAGGAAAACTAAGCTTACTGTGCGGAGGTTGCAGGGATGAAGAAGTTCTACCTTCAGCAGCACTGAGGTCCTGGACCACAAACCACGTTCAAACAGAAAAAAAATATCAGTTGGCCTTCTGCAAAGTTCCCCATCGGATATGAATAAGGTACCGAGGGAATAAAGTGGCTTTAGTTTCAGTCTCGGCGCGTTCGTTGATAGTATCCACAGGAGTGACTTAAAATAAAAAAAGTCAATGATCCGAGATCAACAGAAGCACCCACCCACCCACCGACAATCCTCTCCTTAACAACCTGCCTGAGAAAGGTGGCTTCTGAACAAGGACAACGATGGAGAGGGGAAGTGGGTGGTGTTGTTGCCATCACCCTGATGATGAAGCAACAAATTCCAAATGATCCACTGCGGACGATAGGAAAAAAAAATGCCAAAGAGGTTTCTTCAGCGAGTTGGCGATTCACGAATAAGGTGCTGAATTCTAGAAAGTAGTCATCCAGCTCAGCGTCAACTGTTAAGATGCCAAGATGGCCTGGTTGGGTGACTATAGGTAGGTGTCGTTCACAGGGGGCACGTAGGAGAATCCGAGGAATGCCTCTGCTGCTTCTTGGACGCTGGCGGTGATGAGAATGTCCTCGGAGGAACTTCCAACAGAGTTGGGGACCGGTTGCTGAGTGAACTCCGGGTCAAAGTGCCGCAGGTCAGTGGGTCCTGTCTGTTGAGCGAAGGAACAAAAAAAGGATCAGAAAACTATTGCAAAAACCTTTTTCCAAAAAGAAACTCGCGCAAGTCATCTCGTTGCAAGACATATAATTGCCTCAGTTGTTGTGCACCCAAGTCCCATTTCATTTTCCCCGCTGAAAACGCAGCACTTTTGCTACAATAATGACATTTGGCCCACAAAATACAGTCAATTCACTTTACAGTATATCCTGTGAAGCGCTTTGAGATGTCCCCAAGATGTGATAAGGTGCCGTATCAAATGCAAGAATTATTATTATTTTAAGCTGCAGTAAGATGGACCATTCTAGAATTATAAAGCACAGAACAATCCATTGTGTCCACCCCGAAAGTGGTCCATGTTGTCCCATCGCTTGCCCTTTTATAGTAAAATATACATCATCCAAATTGCCAGTAATCTAAGCCAACACAAGTGCATGTTTTTGGTCAGTTTGCTTTAAGCTGTTATCTTGTGAAACATGCAAACTAATGGGTGGAGGAGGGGAAAGCTCCAGACCTGATCGCTCACTTATCACCCAGAGACCAGAAAATTCTCTCTCGTCTCAGCCAAACGGCCTCGGTCTTAATACAAGATCATTCTTAGATTGAGTCTGAATTTAGGCGATGGTTTTCTGCAGTTTTTAAATACAGTATATACAACGTCCAGTGAGTTCTGTATTTTATTTCTTCTCTTCACTTGGTGAGGACACGCGGAGAGAGAAAACCAAACCATTATCATTTGGTTCAAAAACCAAAAGTTTGGCAGTCCCCTTAGTGCAGACAGGCCGAACAATTTCTTAGTATTAGTTGCAAAAGGAACACATTGAATTTCCAGATGCCATTCATGGCTACACCCAATTACCTACAACCCGTCAGCAGTTCTCCTCTCTCCCCCACCAATAAAGAGCTCTGCTTTTATATCACCCTTCATCCTGAGTCATTTGGATAGATAACAGCCTCTACACTGGGTGTGTCTCACATAACTGAGCTCTTTGCTGCTCTGCGCCTCGTATGAGTTCTCTGTACAGCAACGCAGATCTAGCTTTGGATCATGAAAACTGTGCTAGAGGCACAACAGGTCACCCAGAAAATATGTCAGAGCTGAGGTTCCTGTACGTCAAGAGTTTGCGGTCACTGTCAGGATTCGATACGCCATTTGCAAATAAAGGCAAACTTGCATAAGTCGTCGCATTACTCGTTGTATAACGAGTGCATGCACCCAAGTCCCGTTCATTTTCCTACTGAAACCCACTTCGGTTTCTTCGCGCTCGCTAGGATTTTACAAGTCGGATAAATACGGCTATGTCTTGGTCCCAAGTCATCTCCTAACTCGCACCACCACAACTGGCTGCCTCGATGAAGTACAGCGTGCGTGTGAGAAACACTACAGCTCGGTAAATCTCAATATACTTGAAATGAGTCAGTGTTAAAAGAGTTCTCTTTTTAAGAGTTCGTGCCGTTCATTGTACACGTTTTCTGCATGAGGACGTGTACATTGTTTCACTCACAAAATACTCAGTCAATCGTCTTTACAGTATATTCTGTGACACGCTTTGAGACGTCTCTGAGACTTATACGACTTTACCCCTTCCAAATTTTAGACCCTTTAGCAAACATACATCACCCGCCCCCTCCCCCCCACCCCCTACTCAAAAAAAACCAGCGCCGAGATAGAAAATGTTCGAGGGCGATCGATCGAGCCAGCGCTTTTCCTCACCACGGTAGGGATGAACGGAGCCGTTATCTTCTTAGCCATGAGATCGTCCCAGTTGATCGGGAAAAAGAAATCGTGGAATTTCAACTCCAGCTGCGGAAGCAATGAAGGAACAGAGAATTTCAAAAAGCGTTCGTTACCTCGAACCTCTCGGGATTCGGAAATTTACCCGGCTAACAGACAAGAACTCCGAAAGGGACTACGGCATCAAAAGGGTGACTTACAAAGTCATCCCTGGCTCCCAGTCGCTGGGTTCTGTCCTTCTGCAGAAGCCCCTCCAGCAGCTCCTGAGCAGAGTTTGAAATGTTGGCTTTGAGCTGCAGAGGTTTGTGAAGGATGTTGTTGTACATTTCAGCTGTGTTCCGGCTGTAAAACGGGGGCTGAAACACAAAGGATCTGATCAGACCTGGACCCAACGATGACAACGACAAGAAGAACTACCTGCATGTGCGTAGCGCCCTTCGCACAGGGCAGCGTTCGGAGCGCTTACAATGTACATTGCACAGATGTATTTGTTATATATCAATCGTATAATATCCGACTTGTCGCATTAAATGTTATGGTTCCCAACTGATACGACTTGGTGACGAGTGACAATTCACAGGCGTGAAATAAGTGACCTCAGACAAGTGCATTGGGGATTTGCCCCACTGTACAGGAGCCTCTGTGTATTACTAAACATAGCAAGATTTTATGACTGGTTTAATAACGGTAGCAAAATCCATCCCGATTAGCAATCCACAGATTAAAAACAGAGATGCTTACCAATCCGTACAGCATTTCATACAGCACGGATCCGAGGCACCACCAGTCTACTGTGCGATCATAAGCTTCCTTCTGTAATACTTCAGGGGCCAAATACTGTGGGGAGGACAAAGGTAAGAAGATACATGAGTAAGAGCAGCGACTGATGTTCTGGGCTGGTGTAGATTTCAAAGGAGCAATGCACTTGGGGTGGATCCGTCTACAACCGGGAAGTTAGACAAGCCTTTAGGGTGAAATAGAGATGCAGCACATCCGATATCACACGCGAATAAAGCCAAGACAGACACTCAGCCGACGTCAGTCATAAAGGCTCCTTACAAAGCAGGCGTTAGAGGGAGGAAAGAGAGAGAGAGAGAGAGAGAAAGAGCCTCTTACCTCAGGGGTACCACAGAACGTGGAGGTTGTGCAATTAGGTTCAATGCCTTCCTTGCAGAGGCCAAAGTCCGTCAGCACGATGTGGCCCTCGGAGTCCAGGAGGATGTTTTCCGGTTTCAAGTCTCTGTGGAAGCAAACATGAAACGATAAAGCTTAGAAAGTTGCAACTTTCGTCATGTAATAACATTTTACTCAGTACAATTTTTTTTTTGATGTGGGGGATGGTTGGGGGTCGATGGTTAGGCATTCCCGATTCTCTATAGATTCTCCACACGTCGAGATAAAAATACGGCTTATTCACATTAAATTATTCACAGTAAATCCTGGGAAGTGCTTTGAGAAGTCTTAATGATGTGATAAGGCGCTATATCAAATGCTATTGTTATTATTATTATTAATATTATGATTAATAACCGGAAAGAGATCACTATGGTCACAGGATGCCAGGGGCTTGGGCTTCCAATTTATGAATGAATGAATGAATGAAAACATCCTCTCACCTGTAAACGATGTGGAGGGAGTGGAGGTATCCCAGGGCACTTGCGATCTCTGCCGCGTAAAACCTGGCTCGCGGCTCCAGAAACACACGCTCGCGCTGAAGGTGATAAAACAGCTGGACGGGAGGGGATGGGGGAGAAAAAAAATAAAGCAAGGATTAGCCGTTAAAGTCGTCAGCGCACAGAAGCTGCTTACAACACGACAAGCGCTTTGTTTGAGGCCGTGTCGATGCTTCCCAATCGTCTTTGGATTACCGGTGGCTTTGTCAGGGAAGTCTCTGTGGAGCCAGTTTGGGCCCAACCCCCTCCCTCAAACCAGAAGAACACACTGAAGTGCGTCGTTGGATTTGACATTGCAAGGGTGACTGGGATTCGTAGGAACAGGAGGAGGCCATTCAGACCCTTGAACCTGTTCCGCCATTCTATTAGATCATGGCCGATCTGTACCTCACGCCTTTGCCCCGTATCCCGTGACACCCAGACCCAACTAAACTCTATCCGGCTCAGTCTTGAAACGCTTGGATGGATCCAGCATCCACAGCAAAACAAAATTCAGAAAACAGGCGGACTGTAATAAATGTTACTGTGGCCCCGGGAACGCGAGTTACTGTTAACCGGGTGGTCACTCACTTCTCCACCGTTGACGTAGTCCAGGACGAAGAAGAGCTTGTCTGTGGTTTGGAAGGAATAATGGAGGCCAACCAGGAAGGGGTGCTCCACATTCTTGAGGAGAACACTACGTTCAGCCATGATGTGCTTTTGCTGAAACACAGAGGAGAAGGATCGCTTAGCCCACACTCAGTGAGGGTTACCAGCCTCTTCACACTAAATACCTTTCTGTATTAAGCCTCCTTTATTATTTGCAATCTATTTTCTGTTTGTGGGACACTGCTGCGTGCAACTGACTGCTGAGTTTCGCCCACTAAATATACAGTCAATCCACTTGACAGTATAATCTGTGAAGCGCTTTGAGACGTCTCGAAGATGCGTTAAGGCGCTGTGTCAAACGCAAGGATTACATTATAGGGTAGTGTCCGAGTGTTTAAAATCACTAACGCTCGCGGTCCATTTGCTGCGCGGTTACCGCTGGGGAATTCTACAAAGTCTGAATAAATGGAGGGTTTTTTGTTTGAATGTAATAAAAACCCACTTCCCAAACCTGCGTCGACGCTACACTTCAATCAGCTACTGGGAGGCACTGCTCTCACAGCTCATAGACTCCCTGGCAGCTCAGCGGCATTAAGCAAAGCAGACTCCATGGCAGTCCAGGATAGACCTCAATTGGTCGACGTTACACGCTCGAAGCAAACACTTTATTTGGATCATCTTTCTCCCCATTGATTTTTTTCCTTCACACCCCCCCCCCCCCCACCCCCAGGCGCCCACTTTTGTTTGCAGTTTCAGCGAAACCGCATAACCCAACCTCACCTCTTTCTTCTTCAGGATCATCTTCTTCTGCAAGACTTTGATGGCAAAGAACTTCTGGTTGTCTTTGTGTTTGGCGAGGAGCACCTGCAATAGGAGATGGTTTCAAACGTTAAAAGGAAGTGGGCTGGGGATCAGCGGAAACGGAGGAATCTGTCGGACGCGCAAACCGAAGCAAAATCTCAAATCGAAAAGAACAGAAACGAACTCTCGCCAATTAAAGTCTGCAATTTCTACTCCAAAATAAAAAGAATTTAGAGCAAAAATTGCGGTGATAGTATCGCAAAAGTGTCGTTTAAAAAAAGGCAATTCACTTTACAGTTTATTCTGTGAAGCGCTTTGAGACGTCTCAATGACGTGACTCGCTAAGTCAAATGCATGGATTGTTATTATAAAAATGCACCTATATATTATAGATATATATACATAATATGTGAATTAATTCATGGGTTTGGAAAAGGGAAAAGATAAAAGTGTGCACTAACCTTCCCAAAGCTGCCTTTTCCGATGATCTTAAGATAATGAAAGTCTGATGGCTTCACACTGCGTAGAGAAGGGAGGAAAAAGTTTGGTGTTAATAAAAAAAATTTAAGAGGCGCAAATCTAAAAGAAAAGGAATCAGCATAGACCGAGCTGCAAAAGAAAAAAAAAAACTGACCTGCACGACGTGGGAAGATCAAATTCATCTGAAGCAAGGCTGGACTGCAGAAAGAGTAATTGCAAATTGTTAAATTTACTACTTTTAAACAAACAAAAAATATATATATCCTATAATAATACGGTCACTCAATCCACAACTGTTGGTGGGACATTGCTGTGCACAATTGGCTGCCGCGCTTCGCCCACAAAATATCTCATTTCTTTCTATGGTATATGCGCTTTGAGACATCTCAACGATGTGATAATTTGGTACTCTCGACAACGTGACACTATCAAATGTGAGGATTCATATAATAATATAATAATTTGTGTATGTTATATATGGTATAATATACACACAAAAAAATTCTAATCATCGGTCACTTACCCGATTAGAATTACTGTACGTCTCTTCCTCCTCCTCAGGTTCATTTTGATCGATTTGCAGAAAGACGTGGACGTCGTGGCTGCAAAAATAAAACCACACGATTAAAATTAAAACGTCAAGTCTAGTTATACTGTATTTCTATTAAACTCTCATTATTAAATAAAAACTCTCAGCTCCAAGCAGCCCAAAGCGGCCTACAGATGGCAGCACGACACAGGGTGTAACCCAGCAATGTGTGATTCAGCGCAAGTTGATAATTTTAGGGTTTATTGAGAAGATTAACTTGTTTAAAGTTAACGGTGGCAGCAAAGACGCTTCGATCCATTTCTGGTTAAAAGAAACGCTACAAATCAATGATACACAGCTGTAAGATTATTAACATCCGCTTGCCCACAAAGCCACATAAATGGTTGTCATTCGCTGAAATGACGCATCAGAGAAATCAAAAGCATTTATAGACACATATATATTTTTAAAACGTTTTAAAGAAAACCTTACTTCTGACAGATCTGCGGGTTAGAAACCAGCTTCTGGATGAAATCATTCAACCCCATTTTTCTCTGTTTTATAAAAGCTGCCAAAAGGGAGAGAAAACATAATTAAAATTCTATTATAAAATTCGACCCGTTCAAAAACCTAACTTCACCAAAATAGCTCACTTATTCACATCAACCAAGGGCTCTTGCTTCGGTTATTTCCGACCTTAAATAATAATAAGTATTTGATACAACGCTTTATCAGTTATCACCTGGTTGAGACATCTCAAAGCACTCCACAGGATATACTGGGACTGTGCGTTTAGTGGGCGAAATGTGGCAGACAGTCGCACGCAGCAGCGTCCCACAAACAGCCATGGAACGAGCGACCGATTTTTATTTAAATTCGCTGCTCTGCTCTTCCTTGCAATCAGTAAGCGATCGCCAAGGGTTTAGGAACTGCACAGCTTGTCACGTTAAATCATATAAAACACACATTGCAGAGCGTTCATTTAAAAAGAACCCAAAACACAAACTCTCTAAAAAAAAGTACGTATTTAACACGCGTACATCCTCAACACTTACGCGCCTGTTCTCCCTCATTCAAAACTTTAACCCGGGTTAAAGACAACAAACAACAGTGCTAAATAGAAGCTACTTAACGATTGCACAGCTGCTGTCAACGCAAAAAAGCTCAGTCACCCCACAACAGGTGTCTGTGCGTTGCTGAAATTTTCACCCACCAAACACACGGTCACTCCACTGTACAATATATCCCGTGAAGCGCTTCCAGACGTCTCAATGACACGACAAGGCGCTGTATCAAATGCAAGGATTACTGTTATATAATTATTAAGTACATACCAGCTACAAAGACAGCAATGCCTCTCATTTTGGAGTAAGTAAGATCGGTTGTGGTTGTAGTTTCGGTTACAGCCATGTGTAATAGACTCGGAGGGAGTTGGGGGTGAGGTGGGAGTGAGGTTGAGTTGGGAGGGACAGGGCAGGGTAAGAGCAGGAGTTATTCCAGTTGCAAACTACACAGAGCCTAAACAACGCAGACAACTACCATGCACTCAACCAAGGGCAGGGCTCAATGGGGCTCTTATTTATACCCTTGCAAACACGCCCCCACCACCCCTATGTCCCTCCCCTATAGCAATGGGTTGTCTTGCAACAGGAGGGAACTCCCCTTTCCCACCCACACCCACATCTTCCTATTGGTCTTCACCCAATTGGATCTGCTGCCCAATTTGGCCATCAGTGAGGTCCATCAGGGGAGGTGGACCCTCTGGTGGGAAATTAATAAGAGTCCAGTGAGTCTTCTGGATGACGATGATGATAATAATCCTTGCATTTGATATAGCGCCTCATCACGTCTTCGCAGAATGTACTGTGAACGTGAATCGTGCAAACACTATTTCGCCGGAGAAACGCGGAAGACAATCGCGCGCGGCAGCGTCCCGCAAACAGTCGTGAAATCGTTCCATTTGCTCCCCTCCACCGCCACCACCTCCAAAAAAAAAACACAAGACGCACGCACGCACACACACACACACACACACGCGCGCGTTTAAGAACTTAACTGTTTAACACAGACAGTTAAATAAACCACTTAAATAACCGATCGGGTTCTTTTTTTGGAAATGAATGCGTTTTTCTTCTTCTAGTTTCGATCAGTGCTTTCGTGCCTTAATGGTTTGCTGATCCGCTGGGGATTTGAGACGATTTGAGTCAGGAGATATTTATATATATATAATCTGCCTGAGATGTGCATCCGGTTCTACTAAGATTGGGAAAGCATTTAACCTGCCACATTGATGGTTTGCGAATTGTCGGGATAAACTTTGTAGGGTTTCAAGATTCCAGGCTATGCTTTTCTCCCCCCTCTAAAAAGACCCTTTTTGTGGGTTAAAACAAGTTGCACTGTTCTTTAAATGTATACAAAAAATAAGCGATGAGTGTGTACAGGGAGAAGGGAGAGGATAATTGGCATTGCATAACAATTCATTTTACTTCTCAAGGGAGAATCAGGGAGGATTTTTTTTTGCTGTGAAGTGGCTTAAATAGAATGAAAACAGCCTCTGTTACAATTGCAAGAGGGTATACTGAAGGGGGAGAGAAAGAGAGGGGTTGCAAATGATTTAATTATCTTAACTTTAAAGATGCATATGCAAGAAAAACATTTTTTGTGGTTGTTGTATATAGGTGTTCACAGCCATCACACTTTTAACCCATTTATTCCTGCAGTCCAGCCCAATACTATTTGCCCCAAACACACACAGATCTGCTCTGTAAAGTCACCTTTGCTTTGAATATTCTTTCTCTCCCACACCCCTCAACAAGCACAAACCCCCCCACACCCCCCACAAGCCTATGATAAGCAAAAGTAAAGCCATACAGGGTAGAAACCAGCAGAAAATACCTAAATATTTTACCTTAAAACAGCCAATGCAAAAAAAAACTGCAGCCACAAATTGCCATTTGTCATAATGATCCATTGCAATTGCTGGAAACAGGAGAAATGTCTTACCAATAAGGGACCTCTTGTTACTGGATGTCCTCATGTTCCTCTCTCTCTCTCCCAGCTTGATTCCCCTGAACTGCTCCCTGTATCTCTCTTATAAAGAGCAACTGGTTAATATTTCTCCAGCTCTTTGCTCCCTTTCACTGAGAGCTGCACAGGCTCACAGCTGACTGGTTGGCAATGCTGATGTGATGCTTGAGAGCAGATTTTGGGGAGGGGGTTAGGGGGGAGGGAGAGAGAGAGAGAGTGCTATATAAGTGCATGTTGTTGTTGTTGTTGTTGTTGAGTGGGGGCGACTTGGCAAAATTCCATGTTTGTTATACTGAGTGACTTCTTCCCTTGGGGATTATCGCCTGATTTATAACACAGGAAACTTGACCCTTGCCTTAACTTGCGGCGAGAATCCTTCCTCGCAATTGATGCGGCGCTTTTCACGTCTCCTCGACCTCTCAAAGCGCTTTCGCAGAATGCACCGTGAAGTGAATTGAACTGTACGTATTTTTTGCGGGCGAAACGCGGCAGCCAATCGCGCACGGCAGCGTCCCACGAACAGTCGTGGATTGAGCGACCAAATTGTTATTGGGTTTTTTTTTTCTCTTGTGGGATTACTGTGAGGCGTGCGGAGCAAGGAGACTTGCCCGGGGTTTCTCCCTGCCTGGAATCGCAACCAGGTCTCTCGCCTGCGAGGCGAGTGCTCTAACCGCTGAGCTGGAGGACCGTTGTTAAGCGCTGTTGCCACTTAACAACATTGTGCTGTCAATATCCCGATATTTACTTATTCCTAACGTCACCGACCCCCTTTCCCTGGGAGCAATGAGTTATCAGGAGTTTCCTGTATTTAATAATAACGCATTTTACACAGCGCCTTTCACCATCTGCGTTTTAAAGCTGGACTTAATGCGGCACCGGCTTAAATATAAACCCTCATCTTTCACCTCTGCCTCTGTTATCGCCAGACCCTCCCACCCCTTACCCCACCCTCCGAAGTTCACCCTAAACCCCATCCTACTGACTTGCCATCGCAACGTCGAGCCACGTTGCTTTTTGATGATCCCGGCCCCCTCCACACTGGGAACCCAGTTCCAACTGTGAATTCATACCCCCTTTTGAAGAAAGAAAACCTTCCTGGTGTTCTTTTCCCGAAACTGCCCATCGAATCCGGGCCCTTTATTCCGATGCTCGCATGTGTGAAAATGGGGGGCAGCGAGTGAGTAGATTGACAGGTCAGAGAGATTACGGCACTCCACCCACAGCACCCCCCCAACCCCCCCACACCCCCATCCCCCCACTGTGAAAATGAAGCAGGATTTCAGAGGGAGCACCACGGACCCAGCACTGCATTTCTACCTCTCTGACCTGCTTACTCCACACTCCGCCAACTGCCACCTCTGCTTGGCTGGCTCCGACCTCATCCCTGTCCCTCATACCCTCTGCTCCACCATCGGCGGCCATACCTTCAGCCAGTACCCCACAAAACTTTGGTACTCTCTCCCTCAATGCCTCCGCCTTGCCCTCTCTTTCCCCTTTTTCAGATCACGCTAGAAGACCTTTGTCTTCGACTGTGCTTACGGTCACACACACACACGCACGCACGCACACCCCTAGTGACTACAGCGCTCTGATCAGCAGGGGTGAAACCAAGCACAGTGGTTCCCTTGACTGCAACTGAACATTTTCCTGACGCCTTTTTATTTTAGCTACTGGAGACGAGCATTCTTTTGGACAAGCACGCAATGTGGGCTGAACCCTCTCTCTCTCACTTGAGTTATTTTATTCACACTCGATTGTGGTGAAGTGCTCCAAATCTATTAAAAAAAATGACACATGGTGCTGTTGAATCGCCAGCTAGCGATGAGTCAAATCTTTCTATAGCCCACCCCCGTCTCCCCTTCCCCAGCAGCAAATAACACTTTGTTTAGACACGCATATACACACACAGACTGGCTCCAGTCTCCTGCTTTGTCCCTTGCCCCTTGTTTCCTCTGCCCCATCATCAATGACTGGGGTTTCAGCTACTATGCCCCAAAACTTTGGAACTCTCTCCCTCAATCCCTCCGCCTTGCCCCCACCTCCTTCCCCCTTTTCAGAACGAGCCTGAAGAACTTCCTCTTTAACCATGCTTACCATCTCCTCCTCCTTCCCTGGCTCAGCGTCGGGCTCTGCCAACATTCAGAGCTCCGAGGCAGTACGCCTCACGAAGGGCGCCATATAGATGCAAATGGTTGCTGTTGGTGTGGGTTCACTTTCCTGTCAATTCAGGAAAAGTCCCAAATAAAATCCCCCATTATTTCCCTTCATACACTCAACAGCCATTCACGTTGCAAGGCACACTGGAGCCAGGTCTCTCTGATATTGAAAATTTCACACAAATAAACACACGCACACCCAGCTGGCATTGACAGTCAAGGGCATGTGATTTCAATCTTCCAACCCACTGAACAGTGCAGAGCGGTTTTGAATCACAAGGCCACCCAATATGAAAGGCAAGTGTTTCCTCCTGGAAGTTGGCATTTTTATCCCGCGGTGCCCTTGGGTGGCTTGGGCTGGGTCAAAAAGGATCGCTGAGGACCAGAGGGCAAGTCTCTCGTTACATGGCGTGGTGCACGGTGCAGAGAGTCAAAACATATTGGTTTATCTAAAAAAAAAGTCCTATTTTTGCGAAATAAGACACGATGTTCTTCCTCAACATCGCCTATTGCGAAGACTCTGGCAACCGCAAACGGCCCTGAATTAGACCCACATTTCCACACCATTCTCCTCCCTGGAGTTGCACCACTTCTGCTGCACAGGAAAATCCCAAATAAGTTTTCCCTGGGAACAGAAATCATTTCAAGACGCTTGACCAAAGTCCGGAACACAATGTTCTTTTCAAAAGTAGTAAAATGTAAATGTTTGACTGGATGATTCACACTTAGTGTGAGTGAGAGCCGTTTAGTGGGGCCACGCTTCATTTATCCCCGATGCTGAAGAGGCGAGTAATAATCCGAAGAATGTATCCATCAATGAACATTTAAAGGGGAACGTGAACAGGAATGGGTTCACTATTCCTAACGGATGCGTCAACTTCAAGAAATGTATATTCTGAGAAGCGCTTTGGGTCTCGAAGATGTGATAAGGCGTTATATCGAATACAAGGATTATTATTATTATTATCTTGAAGTGGAAAAAGGGGTATCACCTTCAAGATTAGAGCTAAAAGGGGAGAAAGTTCTCCTGCAAAATACACAGGCTCTACACTTTACAGGAGTAGCGCTTTGGGACGTCCTCCTGACGTGAAAGGCGCTACATCAAATATGAGGGTTGTTATTCTAAATCAGGGAAAATTTCTTTACGCAGAGGGCTTGTGAGAACATGGGTCTGCCCCACAAGCCTGCGGAGGCAGAGGCAGAATTAATGAGGTATTATTAAACAGCTGAGTCAGAATTAGCCTAAACTGCGCCTGCTTTTTAGGGAAAGTGGACCTGTTCTCAAGGTTTGTGGTGTCAGTATCCAGGCAACTTTTCTTTTCTACGTTTGGCATCCAATGTTACTGCAAAGTAGATAAATTGTCCATTCAAGTTCGTGCGTTCGTTCATTCGTCCGTCTCAGTGGAGTGTTTTATTATAACACGCAGTTTAGGAATTCTATTCCGAGAAGAGCCTCAAGGTTTGATATTCACGGAATTGAGGCATTATCCGCTCCAATGTGCGCTCTTAAATTTTAAGGCCAAATAATGTCAGTGGAGTTAAGACAAGGAGGCGTTCTGGTAGTAATAGTAATTTAAACGAAATCCCTGACTAACTCTACCCAACATGCTGGGACAGTGGAACACAATGCCCCTGGTTAATATCACCCATAATTAAGGGGTGCGTCTCACACTCTCACTGTGATGTGCCGCGTAAAGTGGTCTGAAAATCTGCCTCGTAATGAACTATCATGTGCTCACATTAAAGCAAGGAAATCTTATAAATCCTTAAACAAATTCCCCCCCCCCACCACCCCCCGCCCCCTCATCTCTTTGAACACGCATTCATGTGCCACCTTTCTCCAGAGTAACGTCATGCTCCCCCAAATCCCACCTAGTCGTCAACCACCAAGACTACCTTGGCTTAAATTTCGAAGGAATTCTGGAAAACTTTTGAATTTCAGCCTTATCTTGCAAGCGCCTTCCCGTTTAACAATTGCAGGGGAAATGGAAGCAGATTTTCCACCACAAATATGCTCAATCTTAAATGTTAAGGTAATATAATAATCCTTGCATTTGATAGCAGCATCCGATCACCTTGTGGAGACGTCTTAAAGTCCTTCACAGGATATATTGTAAAGTGAACTGACTGTGTATTTTGACAGCGAAATGCAACAGCCAATTGCGCACAGCAGTGCCCCGCAAACATTTGGGAATTGAGTGACCAAATTTTTTTTGAGGGATTATTGCCCCCGGAAAAGTGATCCACCAAATCGACAAAGAACTGGGTTCCTACTTACGGCCAAGTACGCAGAGCCGTGCGGAGAAAGGAAACTTGCCTAAGGGTTCGTCCCACCCAGGAATCGAACCCGGGTTCTCTTGCTTGGAAGGTGAACTCGCTAATCACTAAGCTATGCGACTCCACAAGGCGTAAGGTAACTGAGCTGCAAAGGACACGCTCCGAGACCTGACAGTAAGATACCAGCTGCACTGGAGGGGGGGAGTGGGGGGGGGGAGGGGTGGGTGGAGGGGTCACTCACTCTGTATGTTGATCAAACACTTCTGAATGTAAGCGGATTCATGGAAAAATACAGCAGCTGCTCACGTTTGAGATGAAACATTCAGGCCAGGATTCGGGATGTTACTAATCTACTGACCCGACTCTGTTATATAAAATTATTTCGGCTGATTTGGCGACGGAGGACGGAAATCCAAACGGAGCCGTTTGTGGGAACAAAATGTTAGAGAAAATGCTTGTTTCGATCATGAAATGCAAGCAATAATCAAGTTACATTTCAACCCAGTAGCTCAGCGCTCTGCCAGGTAATGTCAATGACTGAAAGGCTAACTGGGGAGCTCTGGGAACCAGCCTGACCACATTGTCGCCCGGTGTCCTGGCCAACAGTTCCCCAGATAAAAATTGGGTCATTCACTTCATGGTTCGTGTATACAATGTATAGTTTGGGACACGACATGTCAAGCGACTGCCAGGATGGTGGAAGGCAAACAGGATGAGCCTTCGTCTTCTTTCGCCGAGCAAACTCTTATATCCTTACGGCCGGACATCCCTGGGCGCAAATTGGCTGTCGTGTTCGCCGGCAAAACACACAGCCACCGCGCTTTACAGCAACACAGCAACTTGTGCGAAGGGCTTCGAGACTTCTTGGCAAAGGGGATATTATCGAATGCAAGGATGATTGTTACACGGGGTGATTCAGAAGTCCTTCCTCGTTGCGTCTTTAATTACTGATTACGTGCTTTGCGTTCAGGTCAACATCGGCAGAGCGCGTGCAGCTCTTACAGGAAACGTCTCTGCTGGCAGCCGTGGAAGTTTTTTTTGTCACCGAGTTGACACGTATGCAAAGGTCTACACGATATGGTTGGACATCTCGGAAAACCTGCGAGCGACAACAACCAGCAAAACAACAAAATGACGTTTGCGCAGCGCCATTCACGTCGGGTTCTTGTTTCTCGAGCGCCTGGAGCAGCGCAGCCTTCATCCTCTCTACCCCACCAAACAGAGGAACATCAGTGACCAAACGGCAAGGTTACCGCCAGATAAGAATAGTAACTGTAACTCTATCACCGTAGAGTTTGAACACAAACATTAAAATAAAGCAGCAACATTTTGCTACTGTAGAAAGTCAAGTCAAGGAGAGAGAGAGAGAGAGAGACACTGGCAACATCTGTAAAGATCGTGCAGAATTTTTGTCGGAAAAATTCAAAACAAAATGCTTTAAAGTCCTTTAAAAAGCAACTGATGTGGCCGTACCCGTAGAAGGTGGCAACGGTCACGACGCTGTAAGCAAGTGACCGCAGTAATCCTTACGACGACAATAACAACATACTGCAGTTACACAGCCCCTTTCAGGTCGGGAGGACGTCCCAAGGCGCCGGGCAGTGAAGGGTTTGCACCCCGAGCTGAGGGGGTTGGGATCAATAGGGGTGGAGGTGGGAAGATGATCGAGGGCGCGGTCGAAGAGGAAAGTCTTGACACGGGCTTTCAAGAAGGCAAGGGGTGGGTTTGGGGAGGTTGGGGGGGGGGGGACATGGTGGAGGCATTCCGGGCTGGAGTTCCAGGTATTGTGAAGTGTAGTGACTGTGTGTTTCGTAGGACAAGCCTCATAGTGACAACAAAACGTCTTTGTGGTCCAAACACCGCCGCCGTGACTTGAACGGGGTGAGAGAGGAAGGGAGCGAGTCGGAGGGGCTCCAGCATGGAGTTCCGGTGGGGCCGGGCAGAAAGGTTCGAAGTCCGAGCTCCGATGGTGGAGGGCTAGAGAGGGGGGGGTGGGGGGGATGCTGTTGTTCGCTGTGCGAAGGGAATAGAGAGGGTGGAGCTTGTTCACACTGACGGGACTATGTTTCAGTTCAGTCCATTCGGTGGGTCCTGTTTTTCGCCTTTTATTGTTAATAATCCAACATAATCTCTTTATGATTTCATTTCCTTTACTCCAAGGCAACTGATCCATCCTGTGAAAGAATGCAGGCGCTTGCCTCGACACGTTGGGGCAGCATTTCTGTCTAATGAGAGTGCGGAATGAACTCTCCACCACTTTTACCCCACCCTCTCCAGCTCTCACGCTGGATACTTGCTTACCTTCCCCACGTCTTTGCTCTCAAACCCCACCGAACTCCCTTCACTGAACCCCTTAATCCATTCCCTGCTTTTGGGCCTCACCGAGTTTCCTTCCTCCGCACTCCTCTGTTTACCTAGCACTAAGTTAGGAACTCGGTGGTCAGTCAATTGGCAGATCATTTTCCAGGGGTAATAATCCCTCCAAAAAAAAAAAACAGTTGATCAGTTGATTCACGACTGTTTGTGGGACGCCGCTGTGTGCAATTGACTGCTGCATTTTGCCCATAAAATGCACAGTTAATCCACTTTACCCATATATTCTGTGAAGTGCTTCGAGACGTCTGAACAACATGATGAGGATTATAATTTGTTAATATTCACAGAATTTCTCATGTTTTTAGGCTTAAGACCAGCCAGCGTCTGAGAATTCAGGATGGGGCGGAACTGTGAATAAACGCAGACCTCAGGTCAGGATTTGCCAGTTTTCTGCAGGACGCAGGATGCAACTGGGAGGAAAAAATCCTCATCTGAACCAAGACTGTTGCCCAAAATCTCTGCACGATCTTAGATTGTAAGATGTTGTTCCTGAGCTCAAGATCAGGAGAAGTTTATTTGGTTTCCCAAC